GATAAAGAGCCGGGCCCTCTAGAGGCACTATAGAGGCACTTCCTTTGCATAACCGCAGTTAACTAATGTCAGTTAATGAACTAACCGGGCCAAGAGACACGAGCCAAGTGCAAATGGGGCTTATGTAAGGAGACTTAATAGCAACTACTGGTAAGTGAAGGGTCGGCTATGGCTGAGGTTAGTATACCTCCATAAAAAATTAAAATATCAGATAGACAACTTTATTAGGACACTGCCAACACTACACTTTTTTGACTTGCGATGTAAGCATCTCGAGATCTTATTGGAAATTGCCGCTTCTGCTCCACCACCCTCCTGGCCTCCTTCCCCCCTGCCCCCTTGTTTTCATATTTATTAATTAACAATCCCGAACAATGGCGTCCACTCAGGCTCGAGGAGAGGCGCTGCTGCCCTAATCTCTGGGCTTTTGTCTGGTCCGTATCTCGGCTCTTCGGCTTCCAGATACTTTTCTCGACGGTTGGGGCTACTCCACGGTTCGTTGGCTCTGCCCCCAGTGTGTTGGAGTAAGTGGCTCGCGCTTATCACTCGGAGATAAATCGACGAGAGCATCCCCAATGTGCCTCAATGGGAAATTAAATAAAACAAAATAAATGAGCCAGTAGCCGGCCCAGATCGGGAGAATCGACACCACAGAGCCCCCAAAAAAATTAACGCCGGAATGTTAATTCAATGAGCACCTTTCTGGCGCTGTTTACGTCGCGGAGATACAGTTCTCAGATACAGATACATTTTTACTCGTCGGTCTATTTCGGGGATTGCTCTACCCATCAAGCATATTTCAAACATGAGCCGACAGATAGTGCCGTGACCTACCACAATTTTATGAGCACTCTGGGTGGAGGTAGTACTTTGAGTTTTTTGACCCAAATACTTGAAATATTACTCATTTTTTACATCTCCACAAGCACTCCATCCAACACCTCCCTGAAAAATCTCACATTCAGTTGGCTTCTGCCTGTAATTTATTTTTGTGTAAATAATTAGCTCCAAAAAGCACTAGATGCTCTACTAAAAACAAACAAAAAGGTAGACGGTTGTAGCTGTTTTAACAAAAAACCTACAAACTTTTGTGGTAAAAACGGGGATACACATCTGTGCACAGTGGAACGTAAACAGAAAGGTAGTGTTTCACAGTTCAGTGATCCCGAAATGTCGCCGCTTCTTCTGCTCCCTGTTTGGATTTCGAAATAAAAGCTCACCCACCTCCGCGGAGGGGCCGGGCCTGGGGAAAGTGTCCCGCCAGAAATGCATGAGTGGTTCTCGGTGCGTGGGGGGATCGGCAGCCCCACCAGATGACTGAAATTGCAACTGCAACACTCGAAATGCTGGCAAATGACTTGCAATGAAGGTGAATTAGCAACTGTCCAGCCCCTAAACGAACCCCAATCCGAATCCGAGTCCACTTTCAGCCAAACCCACTGACCATAACCAGGAAGCACTTTCCGATTGCATACTCCAGTGCCTACACTGGGAGGAATATGTACTTATTACTTATGAATATAAAGATTAGGTAAGTGTTACCTCTATAGAGGTACTTCCATAAGCAGAGGTAAGCCTCTTTATTTCTAGTTCCTATAATTGATGTACCAATGATCTTGGAGCCAGCTTTTGGACATATATTAACTAAATATATTTAAAGATTAAGTAATTCTTACCCAACAGACCAACTCTATAGAGGCACTCCTATAAGAAGACGTAAACCTTTAATGCTCTAATCTGGAATCAAATCTTTTCTCCAAGTGTCTATCGGACTCCCGGAATCACTCTACCGTGTTGTCGCATTTCCGTTGCGAAAACAGTGAGGTTCTCGATGTTGCTGATGCATCCCATTACCCATTTGCTGATGCCAGTCAGCGAATAACAAAAATCCCAATAGCTCTATGCATAAATTAACCAAAGCCCAGGGAGATGGAAAGCAGCGAGATACCCTTGGCAGAGTGCTTACCTCCATTAAGATCCCCCCCCCCCCGTCTTTATGATTATTTATTCACTTGATTGCTCTCGGCCTTTCACTGTCCTCTGAACCGCATCTCTGGGCACTTTACTTGGGTTCTCTTATTTTGATTAATCATCGAGAGGGCTTACCTTGTGCCAGCTTCTACGGACTAGCCCCGACCCCAGCCGGGCCAGGCCCCCTTCCCGCTATTCCCAATCAAGTGTTGCATTGGCATTGCAGAGGCGATAACAGCACCAGAAAGAAAACAATCGATGCCGAGTGCACCTCCATGGCTGCTCGGATTTGTTTTTCTTCCTGTGCACCGGCCTGCACTTCATCTCCCACAGCCCAGGCACTGCTCCGTTGGATGTTTAGAGGAAATTGCTGCTGTTGGTGCAAACAAACGTGATTTCCTTTGGCTGTTGGCTGGCATAAACAAAGTTATTCAAGTGCTTTCTTGGGGCATTCCGGCTGTATGGGGTGTCTGTGATTGCCACTGCCGAACAGGGCAGAACTGCTCCCCCCCTGAAGATGACTAATGCAGTACTGCTCCTTGGGGTTGTCAGGCCACCAACTCACCCTGGACTAGTGAGTACTAGTGGATATAGAGTCATAAATAACCAAAGTTTTGTTTCAGTTTTGGTCTCGAGAGTGGCGAATACTAAACTCATTTGCCGCACCCTCCTCCGGCCCTCTGCACCAGCCTTAATTTCGTCCTAATCCAGACCATGACTGATGCATGCACGTAACCCGCAACAACCCCGCACTCGGGGTGGTTATCCCGGGCACGCGGCCAGGTCAGAAGTGATTCAGAAAAGCCGCCACGCCGCACGTGTCCTCTTTCTGCAACAATTATATAGTAATGACCCACTCGATTCGAGGCGAGTCAATGTTTATCGATCTCCATTCAATTATTCAGCGCGGGAGCACGTATGACCTTTGTAGGAATCTAAAATTTACAAAGCATGCTGCAGGAACTGGGGACTAATTCTGCACACTTTCTAGTTCCTGGCGGGTCATGGGCCTTTGTCCAGGCTTTCCAACTACTTTGATGTATTGACATGTTGCCTTATTCGTCTATTATTTCTTAATTGCCGGAGGGGCTTGCCCTCTCTTCCCGTAGATGCAGACTTCCTGGCTAGAAGAGCCGGCTTTGTCAAGCTCTCCAAACACGTTCTATGAGGCGACGCAATTTATGCAAATGTCGTTCAATTCAGATCCACTAATATATGCATGCTCAGAGACGGCTTCCGTGGAGAGCCGAGAACTGGAGAACCGAAGACAGAAGCAGGAGATCTCGTTCCATCTAAATTCTTTTGACCTGACTCAATCAAGACGGACTTGAAGCTCTCGGGGAAGAGGTCTGTAAGTAGAAGCCACCATCAACTGGCTAGCAGTTGTCACATCTACCGGACTTGGAGAACTGCATTCTGATGGAGTGGCCTGCTCCCACGTTCTGGGCCAAGCCCGTCTGAGCCATTGCCGCATATTAATGATCCTCCACTGACTGGTGATAATGATAATTGTAAATGGTTCAGCTCGGAGCGGTTAGCTTGCCACATGAGTAAACAAGAGCCCGATAAGGAGAACAAGCCGCAAGTTGGGGGCGTGGTGCCTCGGAAAGTTTATCCAAGGCCTGAGAATTTTGTAAGAAGATTGTCAGAGCAGGAAGTAATTTTGTAAAAATTAAGTCAGAGTTGTGTTTAAATTCAAGAAGTAACAGGGAGCTACCCGAAATATAATACTGAAGAACAATTATCCAACTTTACGACCAGTTTCAAAGTAGTTTTCGACAATTATCTACCGAACCTCCTACTCACTTATGAGCCACAAGTTACCTCACCAGTTGCGGCCAGTTGGTCGGTATCTGAGGTTGCTGTTTTGCCATACAATTGCGAAAACGACATAAAGTTGCCATTTGGCGGCAGTTGGCCACAACGATCGAACAATGAGCGAGAACGAGTTGCCTCGAAAGTGGAGTTGGTGGCCAGAATGGAAAGGCTCGAGCGTGCGCCTCGGGCTGTGACCTTTTGCGGCCAGAACGACGACAATTAACTGGGAGAAGGGCAGCTTTTCAGAAAGTGTCGGGGCCAATTGTGGCTCGAAAGAAGAAAGTTTCTACCTGTCGGATAAATCTGCCACACGGTCGAGAGTAAGAGTGGGGCACGCCACTGCATTAAAAATCGATTTTTTGTCGTGAAGGGACAAACAAATGAAATGGGTTTGTCGGTTTTTTGGGTAAACGACGCGGGTACGTGAGTGAAGGCAGTCCGTGAATTTGCAACGAAACGTAGCCGTAGGGCGCTTCAGTTTCAGTATCTCTGAAATACGTGAGGCTTTGATAAAAGCAGCACTCTCAGATAAGCTAAACGCCCGACCTGCCAATAGCCAAACACCTCACTGCCGAGTGCCACTCATCCACCAAGTGGACAAGACAAAGCGAAACTACTTTGGTGATAACCAAGTGGCCCCCGGATGCAGGCGGTGGCTGGAGGAGGTGGCAGTAGGTCCCAGACAGAGCTGGAGGATGCCACAGTCTGTGTATCTCAATGTTTCTATTTTTCCAGACCAGAAGAAGCCACCGACGAAGGCAACAAAGTACAAGCTGGTTTTTCAAGGTTGTTCAAACCGGCGAGAGCTAACCGAAAGCTCCGAGTGGTGGCACAGTGGTGTGGAATCGAAGTTATTGTGGATATGGTAACCGTTTGTCATAATGAATAATGAATTAATAACTAATATTAGTAACTGGGTTTTATCCAAATTCTTACTTCTCATAAAAGTGATTCAAAATCTGGCCTTTTGAGGAGGTATTATTAATAATTTATTAATAATTAAGACACATTACTAAATGGGCTGTCAGGTCTTTGAATCATTATCAGATAATGGTTGAAGGCATTCCCATTACCGCACTTCATGACCCAAATTTCCACTGTGATTCTGACTAACTCGATTAGGCCCCAGGAACATGAATTTTTAGACTGTTGGTGGGAAAATGTAGACCGGGTGCTGGAGAATAGAGTTTTCCACTTTCCGTTGGACTCACCTTTTGGCTTTCCTCCGCCGCTCTCCGCGGCAGCTTCCGCTGGCAGCCAGCATGTGCTCTGCAGCACCAGCAGGAGCACCAGAGGCAGCTGCAGATGGAAACGCGACCTCTGTGACATCTTCGGCGGCTGGGCCTCGTGGTTGTTGCAGTTAATATTGGGGATCGGGATATTTGCTTTGGCTGACGATAGCGGAATGTGTGGAGACATCACATCATTGCGCTCCTCACACTTCCTGCTGCATTTCCATCTGATGGCCCCGAAGGCGGGGCTGTGACTTCGAATCAGGACGCGGGCGGGGGGCGGACGTTACAGATTCCCGTGCACCATTCGCGAATCAGCACTGTACACAAAGGGAAGTTGGAGACACTCGCTTTTGACGCGTAAACAAACAGGGGGACCAAAACAAAAGGCAGCGACAATCACTCAGAAGCTTTCTATTGGACTTCGTGGCGTTCTCGCTCCAGCTCCAGCTCCAACCCCACTTTTTTTTTTAATTTCTGCGGACTTTTATCCAATTTATTGAGCAGCACACACACACCACAGACACCGAATAACCCGCAATTGTGCTCCTTTCGACGAGTCTCGCGCAGGCAAAGATTTCCGTAGCGTCCGAACGACGAGTCTTGCAAAATGAATAAACTTTATCCACTGGATGCACTGGTGGGAGAGGCGGGCGTTTTTTTTATTTTCCGGCGCTGCCTTCAGGAAAATCGTGAAAATCCCAAGCAGACGAGCGCTGTCGTGCGTTTGCTTCGCGGCCTGGAGAAAGACTTACAGCTGGCAGTATTATTGTATATTTTTACAAGCATCGAAAAATGTTTCTATTGTTTATCTTCGGGAGAGCCTCGGCTTTTACAGAACGGCGTTGCCAGCTTGGCTTTTTTCCCGCCAAATTTTTTATGGCAAAATACCGTAAGCAATTCTATGTGCCCAGAGCCTGTCATGTTGGTTAATTTGCTAAAACTTTTACATTTTTTGCCCAGTAAATAAAAAAATGTTAAATGAGACTTGACTATTAATTAATTAATAATTTATTTGAAAATTTAGCTTTTTATGGCCATTTTAGTATGGATAAAACTTAAGATAGTTGGCAACATTGGCAGAGACCCGAACATTGCCGAACGGACTGTGAGAGCGAACGGCTGATTGCCGAGAGGTCGAAGAGAGCATGGTTTTTCTCTTTACACTGCGAGAAATTCTATTTATCAAATATTAATTTGGTATATACTAATTTGAAGACAATAACTTAATTTTATTACAATTTCCACCAAAATTCATTGGTGAAATCATTTCCACATAAACAAGTAGTCTAAAGTCTAAAATACTGAATAATACTGTAGCAATAAAAATCAAGTTTGGAATGGTTTGGAATGCTGGTATTTTCTGTAAAAGCAACCAGTGTAAGTGCTGTAAAATTCATATGTTTCAAACGTTTTGAAACACTTGGTGCTTTTTTCGTCCCTAAAACAAAATATTTGTTTATGTTCGTACAAATTGTAATTTAAGGGCTTGTAACTCGCCGAGATACAAAAATGGCGCTGCAATGTCGAGCCTGTGGTACCGAGGCTTTCGACACCAGCACCACGTATCTGTATGGTCCCGACAGCGCCAAATTGTTACTAAATTTGGAATTAATTTCGGGCACAACGGTAAATATAATTTGATGCATGAAGAACGATTTGATGTTACTTTTAATAATGGCTCCTCTGCAAACCTCCTCGATTACAGCTCCCCAATGAACCAGAACTGCCCAGTCACATATGCGCTTGCTGCGTCCTGGAACTGCAGCAAGCGGTTGCCTTCAGGGACCGCTGTCTCCAAACGCAAAGGGAACTGCAGCCCTTGCAATGTCCGACTACGCCGGAACTGATATCAGGTCCCGAGGAGTCCGTGGATGTCAAGATAGAGTGCAGTGTCGATGCGCTGCCAGATTTTATGATGGAAACTTCATTCGTTGAGGGGGAAGGAGCAGAGGATGACGTCTCCAGCGAAGAATCGGAAAGCCAACCGGTGGAAGACGCATCCGAATACGATCCCTTGAAGCAGCAACTTGAAATCCATCCAGAGTATCAACTGCCTGTCTTGCCTAAAAGGGGTCGAGGTCGTCCTAGAAAATACCCACCCAAGCCTCCCAAAGAGAAGAAGGCCGTAGTGTCGTGGAAGAACCTGTCCAAAGAGGAGATTGCGGAGCGGAGACGACAGTATCAGTACTGCAACGATGTCTGCGAATTGTGCGGCCGGAAATTCAAGTACAAGAGCAACTTTAAGCTTCACATGATGACCCACACGGGCGAAAAGCCCTTCACCTGCGAGGATTGCGGAAAACACTTTTACACCGAGCATTTGAAAGTGAAGCACCACCGCGTTGTACACGAGGGCCTAAAACCCTACCCCTGCCGCTATTGCGAAAGATTTTTCGGTACCACTGGCCACCGTACCAAACACGAGAGGTAAGAGTTAGCTTCTCCAGGTCATATCACTTTAATACAATTTTTTAATTTAAGGACTCACACCAATATCCGCCCATACAAGTGCAACGAATGTGGCAAATCCTTCATTTCGTCGGACAAACTAAAGCGCCACCAGCTCATCCACTCCGGCATACGGGCATTTGCGTGAGTACCATTGCAAGGGGTTTTTAGGCCAATTAATAAGTGACTTTGTTTCAGCTGCACCATATGCAACCAGACTTTTCAGCGCAATACTCATCTTAAGCAGCACCTGCGGTCTAAGACTCATAAGGCCAGGGAAGATTCGTTAAAAGGTGTGGTCGAGCGGAAGACCAGTGTGGTCGAGCGGAAGCCCAGACGGTCCAGATACGATGGACTGGCTGCTTTTGTTGATTAAGTTACACATTCCTCTCTAACTTTACTACCGTCGTTAGGTTTGTTTTCTTGTATAAATTTATAAAATAGGGCTCAAGTTATCATAAATAAAAGTTTGATTTAAAATATTGTGCCTCGTTTCATGTTGAGGTGTTTATTGAATGCCATAATTTGTTATTTTTGTAAAGGTGCTTATTTTAATTCAAAAAGTGGCGGTTTTGGGATTAACAGAATGTTAATGTTTAACAGCGGGCCAGATCACAGCTGACTTCACATTGCCTCCAACCTTTATAAAAATGAAATAAATATATAATTATATTTAAATAAAAAAATCATCAAATTTACGCAGATTTATTAGCCTTTGATTAAGTTAATAAGATAGATACTTATCAATGTTAAGTTAGTAAATATATGTATTCTTTGGCGTTACACGCTCTGGTCACACTGGTCCGAGGTACAATGGGCATCGCGCTTGTTGTGGAGCAGCCCCCCTTTCAAAGCTTAAATTTTAACAGCTGAGCGCGGACGTTTCGCTGCTCCCCGGAAAACGCGAATAAGCATTAAGCGCAAATTCGAAACGAGACGTTGGAGTAGTTGGCTGGGGAGTTGGTATCGCTCGTCATCGGCGTCAGTGTTTTTCGTCCGCCGCTTGCTATCCACCCCCAATCGCCCACCCCGTCCGGGAGTGTTTTCGGGACTTTTATTTTCTTGAATGAAAACCTTTCGTATCCTGTAGTGGGAGAACGCGGCTAGGTTGTTGGAGACCCACAGAATGCACTCGCTGCCCGGACAGTTCATGAGAATTTGACATTTAGGCAGAAACCACAACAAAAACTAGCTGCAGAGCTGCAGAGAGGGGCTGAAGTTTTTGCTTTTATATTTTGGCGTGGGCTAGGATTGGAGGACGGACACACCCACCCGAAAAACAAAGTGGTCCACAGCCATACAGTATAGAAGGCTTGTGTGCTTTGCAAGCCCGAGTGCCAAGTGCCAGTGTGTGAGTGGTGTGTTTGCGAGGAAGGGACTCGGAGCCGGTTTCGCAACTTAATTGACAAAGCAAACAAAAGCCAACAAACATTCAGAAATCATAAATGCAGGCACCGAGCGATACGATACACATCCCATGAATACGGCCCGCTGCTATAGCCTGGCAGAGATGCTGCTATAATTAGCTCTCCGGATTCCTGTGCAGTCCCACGCACCCAGCAACATGGTCATCGTCGTCCGAGCCCCTACCCGCCGCCTCGGCCCTCTCAGAGTGGCTCAACTCCTGCCCCTGGCCCTGGGCCTCTGCTCCTGGCTGCTAATCGCTGCCGCCACTGCCCACAACTGTCAGCACCAGCATCCGAAGGCCCATGAGGTGAGTTCCAATGAATCCCTATACGAATCCCGAATCCAATTAGAGCGTGAAAGCGAAAGTGTGTTGTTGTGGTTTCCTGGCAACCAGAAATCTGTCAAGCCTTGAACGGTTTAACAAAAGGACATTCCAGAGTCCTTCAAGCCCAGAGAAATTCAAAACAAGGAACTGCTTCAAAAATCGATATTGTACTTCCAAATGGAATTCACTTTTATTAATAAATAAAAATAATAAAAACAAAATTAAAATTAAATCATTAAACTTGAAAAAGCATCTCTCTTAATTACTGAAAAATTCGTGGAAAACTGGGGATTTGCGGCGGTGGAAAATTAGGAAAATGTCCCCAGCAGGCACATCATTGATTCTTTCTGTTCTCGAATTTCCTTCTGGCTGTGTGTGTCCTTTGTGCTCATTAGAGCAAGCTCCTAATTGGTCCTGGCTTCACGGGAAATTCATAATTGATTGGAGCCCGCCGCGGAACGGCATAATTAGAGGCCCCAGTGTGCCATGGTTCTCCATGATTCCCACATAGCCTCCAACACGACATAGCCTCCAAATGAGAAACAGAAGTAGAAAATGATTCTGAAACAATAACAGCATTGGCAACCACAACTTATTGACTAATTCCGAAAGATAATCGTATGCGCATTCGAGATCCAGATCATGCAATGTGGTCGGTGTTCAGGTGGTGCCCGTGGCGGCTACTAGCCCGATGTGGTTACCCAACCGCCTCCACCTGCAGCGTCTAAGAGCGGCTGCTTAGGGTTTAATGTCAGAGGCTGTCCGCCAACTTGTTGCATTTGCGATAATTTCCACTTCCAGCCCCGGGGGACCTCGAGTTGTTTTTGTTTTAAGGTTCATTTTTTATTTCTGCTTTCCAATCAACGACATTTTTTAATTGGCGCGTCGTCGCCGCAAATAGAGGTCGCCGTCAATTGCGCAAGGGGGGAATTTACATGACTACCCTACCCGGGCAAGGGGTAAAGTCGGCTCTGGTTGCTTTGAAATCCCCATAAAGTACATACTTGAGGTTAAAGCTAATTATTATATACTAGTCTGTAAAGTTTAGAGGCTATATTAGCTAACAGAGATTAGAAAATCCCCTAAGGTTTCCATCCTTCTCAGCCCTGGCGACTGGGAAGTTAACTCAGCCCCTGTCTAATGACTTAGTCGAGGTCGCCCGGCCAGTAATTAATTAAATTATCCGTAACTGGAGCTGTTGTAAACTCGAAAACAAGTCAGTGTCACTGGCCGCAGACTCCCTCCAAACCTTATCGTTCTTCGCCGACCCGTCGTCGCTCATCCAGATTGAAATTCATCCTGTCATGAACACAGATTGAACGACAAGTAGACGTATTAAATAAATAAATGCGGGCCGAGTCCACTGATCCCCCAGCGTGTTGTAAACCGGTCCAGTTCGAGCCAAGCACTCAATTCTAATTAGGCTTTTATAAATTGCGGAAGGCAGGGGCGGCGACAACGAGCCCCACAATGGGAAAGAGTCCCAAATTGAATCATTTGTCACGTTGCCCGGGCAGTGGGTTCTGGGCTGGCAGTGATGCTACGGACTGTACTCGCAACTGACTGGATAAGCGGATAAGCTTTCCTCACTTTTAGGAGATTAAGTTCGTTATTGAATATAAAAATGACAAATCTTTGATTATAAAAGCACCTGGGATTAAAGGGAGCTGAGTCGGGTTACAGGTCAGGTGTACTCCTGTTAGTGTAGTACTTACCCAACAGATTTTAAATGCAAATGCAGGTGCACTTGCACTACTTGCTTTACAAGCTATATCCCACATTTACATTTTGAGTGGATAGGTGTCTATCCGGACCTATCCGACGGTTCTCGCCCCCATCCATTCCTCACGATTAAATATTTATCAACCCGTCGAAACAAACGGCAAACAATCGAAGAGATACCTGCCACAAAAGTTGCGACAGAAGCCATTCACGAAACTCTAGAGCTCCTCCTGGAAGGGGAAGCGGGTCTTGAAGAAGCCCTGGGAGTCTTCTTTAAAAGCTGGGTGGGTGAAAACATTTCTGACTGGCAGCCTCATTGATTGGATTGCAAGCTTAATTGGCGAATTACGTGTTCGAGTTACGCAGCTACAGGTGAGCTTCGCGAAGTCAACTTTTTACTAAATGGAAACTGTCAGTAGTCAGTAATCAGTTATGAAGAGGTTTCTATGGCTACCTTCTACCTTATACGACAAATTATATCTTCTTTTGTTTCTCAGAAGAGTGACAACTGTAGGACTTAACTAGAAAGTGAGAAACTGTAACAGTAGCATTTATCTGCCGTTCCATTCAATTAAAACTTTGAAAGCAGCAGCCACTATTAGCATCTGTAGGAGTACTAGTTGCCGTGGCAATCGCAGACACAGTAATCGCCGCAAATAGACGCCACTAAAAATCTGGAATTTATCTCCGGCGAACGGAGGAAACACGTTTATGAAGCGAATGCCAAACGCAATCGCAGTGCGGCCTGACGACGACGCCGCTTCAGGGCCATTAAACGAAAACTGTTTTGAAACAAAACCCAACTGCCAACTGGCAACAAGTAATTTCAGGCGACTGTCTCCGTCTCCAGCAGGAAAACAACAGCTCCTCTTTGGTTTCCTGGGAAGAGCCCCCAGGGTCGTTGGGCGGTCGAGTCCTTGTGTAAGTGCAGGATTGGGTCTGGGGCAAGACACCATCATCCAATTTCAGTTCCATTCATTCTGAGCTTGTGCAATCCCACAACGTGCCATTTGCTGACTTTCAGTGTCCCTGGTCCGGAGCAGACGTGCCTCCCCCTGATTTAATGGCTGGCTAATTGGACCTTCTCGAATAATTGGCATAGGAAACAGAGTGTTTGTTTTCAGGCTTTAAAGATTGATTCATTAGATGGACTATTTATTCCGCAGCTAGAACAGATCCCAATTATTCAATTCGACTTATTGAGTTGGCGGCGCAAATAATCACTCGATGAGCTGCTGTTCCTAGATTAGCCTCTCCTATCCGCTCCACAATTTTAATTAAGTAACCCACAGCCGGTCGACACCTTTAGTTTTGCGGTCAAACGGTGAGGTAACGCGCCAATCGAGCAAAAATAATCGGCATGCGGCTTCGGATGAGTCAGAAACAGGCAGGCGGGCGAAAGAGCTCCACCAGCAGCATGCAAATGGCCATCGGCAAAGCCCGGCTACCAACCAAGAGAGTGGAGCAGTTCCAACCAGCTGAATCCGAGAGGGAGAGTGCCTGGCCTGGCTGGCCAACGAAAGTGAAAGCCCAAACAAAACGAGCAAACGAAAGCCCGGCTTCGATTGATCTGCCGAACTTGAGCGAGCGTTGAACGCCAGGTGACAGTCATGGGGAACGGGAGGCTCACGACACTGAAAGAAAATATTTCCTTTCTAAAGATAGGAATCTATGGATTTATAGCGATAGGGAATTGATGTACAAATCATTGAAGCTAATAGGTTTTTTAATTGGATAAATACTAAGAAATATATAAACATAGTACGGGACCATATGGCCATTCCAGCCATTTCGGAAGAGGTTCATGGGGAAACTTGAGAAAAATGCTAAAAATATTTCGATGATGTACATATTTTGATGCAAATTTATAGGAAATTAATTTACAAATCGATTAAGGTATTATATTTTTCTTCAGGATCTGGTATATATTTTCAAAGAAATAGACTAATCAGATAGCCTTAGAGGCCATGTCACTCACATCGCGGTAGGGGACTATCAGGAAATTTTAAAAAAATTTAAAAAATATTTCAATAAAAGGTTTTGATGCACATCGATAGGGAATCAATGTAGAAATCGTTTGAGGTATTAGGCTTAAAGATCTGATATATATTGCCAAAGATATAGGCATCACAGTGGGCCCTATATGACATACCACGCATTTTGGAAGAAACCCCACAGAAAATTTGACAAAAAATCTAAAAAATATTTTTATGAAAGGTTTTGATGCAGATAGAAAGTAAATCGATCTACAAATCAATTAAGGTATTCCGCTCAAGGATGGGTTGTGAATTGGCAAAGATATAGACATCACAGTGAGCCATATAGATCATACTATACCCTTCGGAAGGGGTCCAATAGAAATTTTGACAAAAAATGTGAAATATATTTCGATGAAAGGTTTTAATGCAGATTGATGGGCAATCGATATTCAAATAGCTAAAGCTGTTTCTGTCAAGGATTGAATACATCTCTATAAAGATATAGCCATCGCAATGGGACATATTGGGCCATAGTAGTATAATTTACTCCCCTGCATAGCCAACTAATGTCTATCGTGTCCCTTATTTAAATTGCCAAATCAACCCACTTTCCCAACACACAATTAAAAATGGAAACAGGTCTTTGGATATTATCTCAAATAAACAAAAGCATGATAAATGGGGAATTTATAATGTGGCTGGGGTTCATCAACACTTGAATATTTATTCGCGTTTCATTGATTTAATGCAGTTGTTTTATTTTCCGATTTATTGATTTTGCAATCTTGGCAATGACCTTTGAATAAATGTTTATCAAGACTTTTTATTGAATATTTTTGGAAAGTTTTCGCAATTGACTTTTTTAAAACAAATGACTAAACTCTGCAGGCTTTATAGTCTCTAGCTTCCGATTCCGATTTAACAATTTGGTGGTTAGCCAAGTCGGTAAAAAAGTTACGATTGTTTCTCTCCGTGCCTCCCAGCTCTGCGGAAGAGAGTGTAAAGTGAGTGAGCGATGAAGACGCAAACCCCCGGGAGGGGGGATATCAACAGACATTATGACTGCCCCGGCCGACAGACGTAAATAATTACCCAACCGCCGTCGATGATCGATTCCCGCGCCCAAATTAGCATGCGCATGCGCAACTGGACGGGCCTCATAATCCGGACCCCCCGAGCCACCTTCGGGCCATAGAGCCACTGTGCGTGGCTTGCAGTTTGGCTATTTGTGGCACCTCGCCCATCTGTTTGCCTGAAAAGTAAATACGGGAGGCGATCAGGCGGCTCGGGCGCCGGCGCAGCCAACTGTGCCAAATCCGAGCATTTCTCTTCGAGCTTTTCGTTTTTTTTTGGTTTTTTTTCAAATTGTTACCGTTTCTGGCTTAAACGTGAGTCGCATGGCCAAAAGCTGCGACTGGACACGCTTGAAAGTGGCCCACAAACCGACAAAAATTTGTTTGCCATCTCGGATGTGTGTTAGTATGCAGGCCGGTTGGGGATTACGTCTTATAGCCGATTGGGTAAGTCCATCTGCCTTCGAGCCGTGCTTAGAAAGTGTGGCCATAAATGGTTTTCCCTTTGGTTTAAATCCTGGCCATAAATTCTATCTACTAACAAGGAAAAACGATACTGAAATTAAATATTCCCTCTGTCCTAAAATCCTCTTTGATGATGGCTTATGTTTTTGTCAGAATTTTAATAAAGTGCTCTTTCAAAACCCCTCATTTATAGGCTTAATTGATTTATAAATCATTTAAAATATTCAATTAATCCCCCACCTCTGACACCTTTTAAATATATGTCTCTGGGGCTAGGCTATTATGAAAACAGCCCAGCCATTAGTGATTGCAGTCACTCGTCTGTTAACGGTTCGCTTCACAATGCATCTGGGTTGCAAGTGGCATGTTGCATTAATGCCGCAAGTTATTGACACCTATAGCTATAGCTGCCAATATCCCGCCCCTCCCCTCCCCCCTGCTCATTGCCTGTCAAATGGTACTTTGTGCGTCATCATCTTTCACCTGCCAAACGCTCCTAAGATGATTCGTCGTTGTTTCTTAAACGACTTTTCGATGCACTCGACCGCAGAAGGGCGGGGGACACTGCTCCGAGCTCTGGGCACGATCAATGTGAAGATCGTACATTATGTTGCTCATATCTCGTTTTTTCGAGGGTCGTTGTCACGATTAATGCCGGCTCTGGAGATATATCTCTTGACGGCTTAAGCTCCGTTTGCTTTATCGCATCGGCAGATGGCACTGGCAGGGCGGAGTACGAGAGGGGGACTGTCATCGGGAGTGGACTAGCACATCAACCAGGCACGTGACAGGAAGACTAATAGCCATTCAAGATGGGGTTGTCTATGGGCTTACAATTAGGCTTTCGGATAAATTTTAGTCGTTTTTGAGATAATTATTATTGTAAACAATGATGTTCGCAAACTAAGCCAACAATGACAGACAGATAATGTCACGATTCATGGTGTCTCCGCGAGCCGCTGATCCCAAGTCATTAGAGCTTCGATGACTTTGATATGATCTCCGGTTGGTGTCGCACCCTCGGCACTTGGCTGGAGCCACGCCACTGATGGCTTAGCTCATGGCTTCGATTCAATGCCAAACTCTTTTGTCAGATCGCCATTGCCGCAACTATTGTTGTTCTTTGGCCAAATGGGGGAATGTACTGAGCCGGGCTCGCGCAGGTGTCTCGACTTTGGCATTTAGCCGTCGGGTCGCACTCCCCAGTGAGAACTCCTCGCCAATCTTTTCCCACCAGGGGGACTCTGCACTCTGCATTCTGAAGCCCCAATTAAGGGGGCTAAGCTGTCTGCCGATTCAGGCGCAAACATATGTGCAAATTAGCTTTATTACCATTTCAATTGGCTTTGTCGATGGCGATGCTTTTGAAGCCACTGCCTTTCACTCACTGGCTGGATGGAATGGCTGTGTCTGGCTTTTGATGTCTGATGTCCCTTTGTCTTCGTAGATGAAAGCCCCCGTTCTCCCCACCCGAGAGAAGGGCTTCCAAGAACACTCCCAGCCCGCCAATAGCCCTCCTTGAGGTCCTTGGCAGATAAGCTGGCTCTAAATTAGGACAGTGTTTATTTTAAAGCAGAGGTCGGCACGGCCCTATCTCGGGGGCATAGGAAATTTCTCTGCCCGAGCTCTGCCACACACACACAGTATACATGTGTGAAACGTCATGCACACAGCCTACTTTCTGCTATTCGTTACTAACACTAATGCGGTAAAATCATAACAATGTATTGGGGTGCCGATCCCTGTTTTAAAGCATCAACCAGCCTGAAAATTGTGGGGCATTATTCGGAATGATACAAAAACCGACTCCCTTCCACTTGATGAATATATTTCTGGCCGCACTCGAGCGTATCTCTGGGATGCCGTCGACCAATTTATGCTGACGAGTGTCAAGTGCTTTGTCTATCTGGCTGCCAGCAGATTATCTCCGGGGGCAGGGCCATGCATATTCAACGAAGTCGTCTAATTTATTCCTAATAATTGGCACCGATTGCACAATGGGGCCAAAATAATTGGCACACCAGCAGTAACTGAAACAGAAACAAGTCACAGGCACAGGCCAAAGGGAAAATAGCCAAAAATACAAGCCCGCAAATCATTGACATTTGGATGTGCCAATCGTTCGACATTTTGGCGGGCAATTTAAAATTAATTTCCCTGCAATTTGGGGAGCCCAATTACCGCGACGGAGCTGCCTTCTGCGGCCTTTGTCTGATTTGTCTGACAACATGTCGTCATTTAAGAGTTAACAACAAATTTCGCTTTCGTTTGGCTCCGCTGGCTGATGGCTTACTCTTGATAGCCAACTCCCTTTCTACCCCAATCTCACTTTCTGCTACCAATTTTGATATCTCTGGCTCGTTTATAGGTCGTCCATGGCGTGCGCATCCAACTGGCTGATGACTTGGACGGGGAGTCCGCCGGAGAGCCGCGGGATCCAGCCAGGCATAGCGTGCGGCGGCGCAGCGTGGCCGCCGAGCAACCGCTGCGGATTCTGCTCGTCTACGATGACTCCGTCTACAGGTGAGTGTTCCAGCTATGCACTGAGAGATTTGCATGTGGGTTCGGCCAGATTAAGCTCCGAAAAACTATTAAAAATTTGTAAATCAAGGTTTATGGATAATTAGTCGAATAAAATAGCAGCTGCATTGCATACTAATTTTCTCCAAGTGCAGTGCTCCGCTCCAGCTCGAAAGATTGCCTTTAATTGCGCTTTAATGGCAGCCAGCCAAGCAGACAAACACGAAAAAGCAACAACAGCCCACCACCTGACTTGGCCGAATGTCAAGTTAACATAAAAGCGAAAAATAACTCACTAACGTTTTGCTCTGGCCATGCACCGTTACCGTTACTGCCACACTCGCTGGGTTGGGTAACAGTTCGGGCCCGCTCCAAAATTGGTTAGCCGAGTGTGTGCTGGTGGAGTGCTAGCCGGTGTGTGCGCAATTTGTCCAAATCAGAGGTGTCTCCTAAGGTTAGCCCCATCGATTGCTCCATCCGGCACTTGGCAGGTGGCTTCGATCGAATCGATTGATCGGATCGGAGGACAAGGTCGGCAGGAAAGTGGCAACAGTCCCACTTGACTCTAATTTTGGGTTTTTTATTTCGCTTTCAATTAATAAGTCAGTAGCGGAAAGGCGACTCTAACAGGTGCTAACAGGTACACAATTAGCCCGATGCCTAAGCCAACAACCAGGTAGTGAGTGGGTTTGTATCGTGACCTTCGGGTAAAAGTTGTTTGTTTAGCTTCCATTAAATAGGGGGATATAGATACTTAAACCTCATGAATATTTGGAATATCCGACTTGTGATAATCTGCTTCAAGTTGGCTAGTTAGAAGCTGTTTATGCTGAGCAAGTAATTGAGGCTTTCTTGGTAATAGGAAATAGGCTTACAAGGACCCACAAAGGACTAGCTAGGATTCCTATTAACAGGAGGTGCTCCAAAGCTGATTTATGTATTTGTAAGGGTGAAAGCATCAACAATGCAATTCGAGTGAATTCCAGAAATTCGAGATTTATTTGATATCCAAATGCCATGCTCTGCTGCCCCTCTGAAATCATTCTGAAGGGCCTTCACTCTGGCTCTTGAAATCTAATAAACAAAATATTTCCTCACTACTTTCAGGTTGGAGGAGGAGAAGTTCAATTTAATAAATGTGAGTAAACATACCTAGCTTTTTGGGCTTCAGTGCTAAGGAATTTAATTAAATCCTTTCTCCAGGACACTGTGCTACCGGAAGCCGTGCAGTTTTGGGAACAGGCGCTGATGGTGCGGGAGACGAAGGGAGTCATCCGGCTCAATAGGTGAGTTCCCATCCAAGAGCTTAATAATTCAAGACTGCAATTTGCGATTTTTTTTAGAAAGTGCGACAGCACCCAGGTGTACGTGAAGAATGGCCATACCCACTGCATCGACCACTGCAAGGCAACGACCATGTGCGGAGAGGTCCAGGTTCCCAACGAGCACTTGGATGTGAGTATAGCCTGATGACGTCTAGGCGCCCCTTGAACTTCAACGAACTTTCCACACTTCAAGCCAGAAAAGCAAGAACGTTTCTTGTGAAAAACTATGACCTTGGCTGAAGTAAATGTTGTCCAGCAAAAAGTTCTTAAAATTCAAACTGGTTTCCACCAAAGGCCGTTGATTAATAGCCGCTTTGGTTTTCAATTATCCACGGCCAGGAAAAACTGGTTCACATTTAAAAATATTGTTTCTTACCAAACTATACTCACCATTGATTCAAAGGAACCTTATTTTTAACCCAAATTCTTATGTAGGTCTGCAGGGTCTGCAACGCCACTGGGCAGAACTGCCGGGTCGACAGCAGCACCCAACCGGGGGATGGCATAGAGAACGCCGACTTTGTTTTCTACGTCTCGGCTCGCCAGACCCAGCGATGCTTCAAGGGACTGACGGTGGCCTATGCGGCGCACTGTCAACAGGAGGCCCTGCTGGACCGTCCCATCGCCGGGCACGCCAATCTCTGCCCGGACAGCATTAGCACGAAGCCGCAGGAGCTTCAAACGCTGATCTCCACCGTGAAGCACGAGATTCTGCACGCCCTGGGCTTCTCCGTCAGCTTGTACGCCTTCTTCCGGGACGATGAGGGCAAGCCCCGGACTCCCCGCAAGTCGGACACCGGCAAACCGTACCTGAACGAGAAGTAAGTAGATGACACACATTTTCGAGGCACAATCTAATCGGGAACTTCTCCATCAGGCTGCAGATTCATCAATGGAGCAACCAGACGATCCGCAAGGTGGTACGAGAGAACTGGTCCGTGCGAGGCGGCCACGTCCACAAGGTGGTGGACATGATGGTCACTCCGCGGGTGGTGGCCGAGGTGCGCAACCACTTTGGGTGCGATAAGCTGGAGGGAGCTGAGCTGGAGGACCAGGGTGGCGAGGGCACCGCCCTCACCCACTGGGAAAAACGTATCCTCGAGAACGAGGCTATGACGGGCACGCACACCCAGTCGCCGGTCTTTTCAAGAATCACGCTGGCCCTGATGGAGGACTCTGGCTGGTACCGCGCCAACTACTCCATGGCCACGCCCCTCTCCTGGGGCAAAGGCCTGGGATGTGCGTTCGCGATGCGCAGCTGCAAGGACTGGATACAGATGAATCATGCTAGAGGTCGTTCCATACATCCTTTCTGCTCCAAGGTGAAGCAGGATCCCCTGCAAACCGAGTGCACGGACGACCGTAACTCGGTGGCCCTGTGCAACCTCATACGCCATGAGTTTGAGCTGCCGAAGGGATACCAAAACTTCGACAGCCTCAACCATGTGAAGGATGGCGACGAGGGCTTTTACGGGGGATCTGTTTCCCTGGCTGACCACTGTCCCTACATCCAGGAGTTCACCTGGCGCAGCAAGAACGTGATAGTGCGCGGATCTCACTGTCGCTTCATGGAGAACAATCCTAGTAAGTTTTATAAGACATCAGGGGTTAATCTTTACTAATATTTCTCCGTCTATCTCTATCAGAGCCCGAGAAGAACTTCGCTTTGGAGAGCTACGGCGAAGGTGCCAAGTGCTTCGACCACAGCGAGTCCATGTGGGAGGAGCGCTCCTGCCACCAGACCCGCGAGTGGCAGCACTGGGGCAGTGGCTGCTACAAGTACGACTGCTTCGACGGCAGGCTGCACATCCTGGTCGGGAACTACAGCTACAAGTGCTCCTTCCCCGGGCAGAAGCTCTCCATCCGGATCGCTGCGAACGGATGGCTGCACAAGGGGGCCATCATGTGTCCTCCGTGCCACGAGCTATGTGCGGAGCAGTTCGCCGCCGAGGGAAAGCAGTGTCGACCCGGCGAAGAGCCCGATCCGCTCAACAAGTACCCGCGCGACAATCTCGCCTGTGGAGCAGGCAGCGAGCTCAAGCGTTCTATGGCCATAATCAGTACCGCCCTCTTCTGTCTGGGCCTCAGATGGGCATTCAGTTAGATGGATGATCCCTCGGTCCTGCGGGGCGGTTTTAACGCTGTCTGTGTATTTTAGAGAAATTTGTACATTTTAGCTGTAGGATATAAGCTCAATTTTTCTAAGTTTGTGTAGATTGTGTAAGTCAGAGGTTCTCCAGTGTGGTGTGGGTCGATTTTTTGGGCGAGCAAGCGTTGAGGAGGAAGAGAAGTATTGGCGCAACTCTTAGTTTATAATAATCAGCTCAAATTAATTGAAATATTTCGTGTAAATCGACCTGAGTACCTAATAATTAGCAATCGTAATTCCTAATTATAATTTGTCCATCCCAAAAATGTGATCTTTGCTAAGTGTGTCTGCGGATTTTATTTAAAATCTTAAGGAAACCTAAGGACAGTTCCGAGTTCTCTAATACTGATCTGAACATTCCAAAGCTTATTGCAAACAATACTTGATATTAGGGGATTCGCCGGCATCCCCCTCGCGAATTGTTAAAAATCTTTGTTATTTATTACGTCTAATGTTTTCGAAATCGTTTAGTTTCCTTATTATTTTTTATTTTCAATTAATTCTCCCCTATTTCAGCTGCCTATCAAGCATTTAAGAAGTTTTGTAAACCTAGCCCTCAAATAATAAAGTGTAGCCCCTAAGATTTTAAAACATTGTGAATATACCGAGTAACCCATGTAAATGTAAAACGTTGTATTTTTATTGCGACTGCCTGGAATACTTAGGAAAAGGCTAGCTCCTGCACGAGCTCGTAGACGATAACATCATCCGGGTTTTTTGATGGGGATGGGGTGGTCAGCACTGGACTTTTGCTGGCAATTTTCTTCGCTTTGCTGCGTTTGGCTGGGGTCTTGATGAGCTTGGACCTGGAATAGTTTTAACTTAGTAAATAGAACAGAAGATTGCCTGGGCCACTTACGCCTTGGTCAGTTCGTCCATCAGGGGCAGGAGAGTGGACCGAGATATTCCCCTCTTCTCCTCTTCGGCCAGCTCCTCAGGATGAGTCTGCCGCTTGTGCGACCGGCAGTTGGATCCATTCGAGAAGTCCCTGCCGCAGAAGTTGCACTTGTACGGTCGAATGCCAGTGTGCAAAATGAGATGGGACTTCAGGGTCTTGCTTCTCTTGAACGAGGCGCCGCAGACATCGCACTTGAATTGCCTTTCGTCCGAATGGACCAACTTGTGTTTGTTGAATGTTCTGCGGGTCTTGAGCTTCATCCCACATATGGTGCACTCGTAAATGTTGGAGCTGTGAATGTCGGAATGGATCTGGAAAACATTGTATATCATTAACTGAAATTTCTTATAGGCCAGTGGTTGCAGTACCTTTAATCTCGCCTTGTTCTTAAACCTCCGGCGGCAAACCGGGCACTCGAAGGGGCAGTCGTCGGTGTGAACAAGCTTGTGCTCCTTGAGTCCGGTTAGATACTTGAAGCCCTTGCCGCAAAGAGCGCATTCGTACGGCTTGATCTGCTTGTGGACTCCCTCTATATGCCTCTTCAGCGTGCCCACCGTGGTGAAGTTCTTATTGCAGTGCGGGCAGCAGTTGTCCTGTTTCTCTTTGCTAGACTGGTGGGTGCGATAGTGAGCATTTAACTGGGAAGCCCTACTAAAGCTCAAACCGCACTGATCACATTCGAGCTGCGGCGATTCCGACGGTGGTGTGTGGTGGATCTCTTCCATGTGGCGTTGAAAGGCCTGATAAATAAAAGGTCATTAATTTGATTATATTTATTTTTTATCCATGAATGTACTTTGTGCTTTTTGTAGGTTTTGCTGCAAATGTTACACTTGTATGTGGTTGGTTCATACAATGGCTCTTCCTCTTCCTCATCCTCATCCTCGTCCTCATCTTCCTCTATTATTAGGCCTAGATCTTCCAAAAATTCGTCCTCATCTGAAACACTCTCGTTTGGTTTCATTGCCACTTGACCGTCAGCTTTAATGTTCTCCTCCATATCAATAATCTCCGACTCTTTGAACTCTTCATCTTCAAAATGTGCATCCTCTTCGTCTTCTATGTAATCTAGAGTTCCCATTTCCTCAGAGGCCTCCACCTCCAGCTCAGCGACAAGCTCCTCTAGTTTTCGAGCCCCATCGCTGGTCTTTAGGGGCTCCGACTCCTCAACTGCGCGGGACATAACATGCTTCCACTCGCTGGAGACCAAGCCGCACTCCGTTCGGAGGCTCTCAAAATTTGCTGAGGTTCCTGGATTTAGGTTTGACAGCTTGTTGAAAAGCGTCTGAACACGGCGGACTCTCTCTGAGAATTCGATAAGGCGCTCTATCAAGGTGAAACACTCGGTGCACAGATGATTGCTCAGCTCGTCCTCCTGTTTAATCTGAAAGGTTTAGTCCGTTGTGAGATCTAAACAACCAATAATTGAGGAATAATTGCATACATCCACCCAAAAGTACTTTCCAATGGCCATTGCCAGTGTATTCGACCAAGATTCTCCTTCGTCCTTCGGATAGTAAGCGTTTCTGTTGTTGGGATGATCCTTGGCGCAAAGGCGGCACCAACGGCGCCAGATTGTAGCATCACTAGAAGGCGACTCGGTTCCTGGTAGGCTGGACATTTCATGGACTCATTTAAATCTGTTTTGTTTTGTTAAATATCGAGGGCTGGCAAGCGTGGGGTAACCAGGGATGCAACAAAGATTGATTGCAGTATTTTCAAAGGAAAAGGTAAATAAATAAGTAAAATTATATTTCATTTTTCAAACTATTTTTTTGTTATATTATTTACCTCTAGTATTCCATTTATTGGAAAGATATTTGTTTTAATATATAAGCTTTAAAGAAACTAAATTATTTAGTATTATTGGCAACTATCGATAAATACTAACGTGTTTTTCCACCCCTGGTAGAAAACCATGGCGTTTTTTTTATTTAAATGGAAAAATAAACCTGGAGCTTTAAAACGTAATATTTTTGTTTGCAAAATCTTTTTTTGATTTATAGTTATTGGCTGTACATATATACATATTGATATACGTTTATGGTAGACTATATAGAGTGGCCGCTAAGAACTGTGGCATACTTTTTGGAAATAATGTACTTGGTGGAAAAAGTCGCATGCGATAATTTGTTTAGTTCCATTTGGGGATCCCCAGTTAATATTATTAAAAACACATTGACAATTTTCATTTGACTTTTCAATAACATTATTTATTTTAGCCATTTACAAAAGAACTTATGTTTATAAAATGTAAATCACTTTCTACTTATACATTAGTATTTGTTATTAACTGCGTTAATTTGTGTCCACGCTCACTTAAGCTCAAGCTCGTTTCGAACGTCTAGTTTATGAGCATTCTTGTAAATGTCCGTAAATCTGCATATCCTCAATTTCAGCGGCATATACTATATCGTATAGGTATTCAGCTTATAAGCCTAGGTAGTTAAATAATGCACTAACGACTTAAACTATCAAACAAAAAAATACTATGCTTCACTTCAACTGCCATTAATGGCATCCTCCGACTTCATCGTCGAACTTGGGACGAGTTCTCCGCCAGCCAGGAGGTCGGCACTGGAGGGGATTTCTGGTAGATTCGCTTGAGGCACTGGAACAGCCACTGGGATAACCGGGACCAAGGGCACGGCCGTAGGATCCACTCCAGGGGCCGTGCTTATAGTCCTGGCCAGATTTTTTTGTTGGCGCATCAGCTTCTCCTTTTCGCGAGCAGCCTTCAGCTTCTCGAAATCATCGCCCTCGTCCACTTCCGGCTCGGCAGCTCCCGCATTGACCAGAAGGTCTTGCGAAGCCCGCAGATCGATATTTTCCACTGGAAAGTAATAAGATCGTTATTAGTAAGATAAATTATAAAACAAAGGTCAATAAATGAGAAGGACGCAACGTGCAGGGTCTAATGCTAGGCGGGGTAAGGATATTAATATGATTTTTGGAGTAACGGGGTTAACGACTAATTACTCGGTTATCCAGAAACCCCTAGGTGGTAGGCTAAGCTGGGGTTAGTAATCAAAAACGTGGGCAGCGCCTCATAAAAACACATGCCAATAGGTTTTAAAATTAGAACCAACAAACGAAACAAGTTCAGGTATTTTAAAATTTTCTACCAATTAATGGAAACGGAAATACAAAGTCAACAAAAGAAACTTAGGAAAGTAAAACGACTCAGTTTTGTAAATTCTAAGAGTTACTAAGAGTTCTAATCATAAATAACTACGTTTTTTTTAACAATACCCTAAAGAAATAATTTTTTGAAATGGAAATCGTAAAACACCTGCTGGAAAACAGAACAAAGGCTTCAACAAATAAAAAAACAGCAACTAGTACAGAGTTGAGCAAGCTAAAGAATTCAACAATGTTAATGGGGCCAATTGATGAGAACTTTGAACTTTACCGGGCGTGATGAACCACCTGAAAACCTGCGGGGCATCGGGCCTCTCTTTAAAAAGTTCCCGAATTGAAAATTGTTGAAAATGAAGATAATTGTTAAAATGAGTTCTTAAGAAGCGTGGGTAGAGGCACTCCGACCGGAGTAGGATCTTCGACTTACCCGTCTCCCGGCTGGCAGCATTCTGGGGATCGTACAGGGACTTGGAGCTATCTCCCACGGGGGAACTGGGTGCCGTGGCGGCCGTGGAGAGCATAGACGGGCTTCCACCGGCGGGAGCCGATGTGCTGAGCAGGGCGTCCACGCCACCGGGCGGGAACAGAGTGGGCTCGTACTGGGATTGGGCTCGGCTGTAGGTTGGAGGCCTTTGTGGTATGTCGACGGGTTCGGAGTGGGCAGGAGGAGGTTGCAGGGGGGCAGTTCCTGCGGACGTAGACGTCGGAGCAAAGATATCCATGATATTCGGGCGCGGTTCGTTGGCTCTCATGGACGTAATGGTGGCCTGCTCGTCCACCTCCTCGATGACCTGCTGGGTAATTCTCAAGCTGCCCGGCGGTTTTCCTGCCGATGTCGCTGATCCCACATTGCCGGTGAGGCTGGCTGAACTGGCGCTGGCTGGGAAACGGTAGGGTTTCTGGTCCTCACTGGGCGTGGCCGATCCCGGCCTGCTATCGTCGCGACTCAGGAATCGCTTAAGCGCCGAGGCCACAGTGTTCACCCGGGAAAGGGTGCCCGAAACACTAACCAGCGACGGCGAGGAGCCAAGTCGCATCTTTCCGTTGCCCGCCGAGAAGTGTATGCCACTGGCATCATCCGCCTGATGAGGGAAAGGAGGTGAATTAGTAAACATTACAACTAAGGATTCGTAGTGTGTTTTTAGTTCCGCTGTGCTCGGATTACCGGATACCCGTTAAAAAGTGCGCTCTTTCATTGCAGCAGAAAGCGTTTGGAAATCGTGCAGTGCAAGGTGCAGTTAGACACTTAATAGGCTGTAGGCAGACAGTTGGAATCAAAAGTTAGTAGGCAGTTTCTTAAGCGTAGGGAGACACAACACCGTTCTTAGATTAGGGTTACAGAGGAGAGGGCCCAGTGAAAGTTTAGAGATAGGTTGGTTAAACAGGAAGGGTACTTACATAGCTCTTAAGGTAGGTCTAAGAGTAAAGTTAAACAACTATTGGTTTCTTAAGATTTAGGTTAATTTTATAGTAGTGATTTGATTCTATATCTTTCCGAACCTTCACCAAGCCCTTCTCTTGGGTCTTAATTAACAAAAATTTATACATTTATAGTTAGGTTTATAACTACCAAGCACCGCTGTGATTCAGAATGCCAATATGTATGAACGAAGTGGTTGTCCACCAATGAAATGTCAGAGAAAAAGAGGTTAGAAACTTTTGATTTCGAATTAGATTTCTGATTAGTCTCGACGGGATCGAGAGATGATGTTCAATTTGGAAGGACCAATTGAGAGTTGTCAGGTGCCAATGCTTCGTAACGCTAGGAAATGCGACCAACGTTCTGATTCTAACCTCCTCATCTGGCGAGCCCTTTGGGAAATCATAGGTAACGGACTGCACGCTTTGCGGCAGCTCGGATTGCCCCGAGACCTGAACCGGAGTCGTACCCGGCGGTTTTACATCCGGAGCGGCGGCGGTGTTGCCGCCGTTAGTATTACCAACCATTTCATCGATGCGAACGCTGGACATGTTCGAGGGCATGGCCGCGTTCTTGGGCACCTCGATCTTGGCAGTGGACGGTTCTGGGTGGTTTTCGCGGAACCTCTCAGCGGCAATGGTGTAGGGCAGCTCGTTGGGGAACACCTCGTCCCAGTACTGATCCTTCAGCAGCTCCGGATGGTCGTGGTGCATCTCGTCAACGATCAGATAGGAGACTTGCAGATTACGGTCCACCATCCAGTTTACCTGCAAGGATCAGCTAGTTAGTTTAATATTTTTGAAAGCGAAATCAGGACGAACCTCGAAATCGTCATCATCCTCGCCGAAAGGATTGATCAGAGACTCGGCCACCTTGAGCCATCCCATGTAGAAGAAGAACTGCAGCGTGGTGAAGACTGGGAAGTACAGGTCCACCTTGTTCAAGGTGGAGGTGTTGCCCACCATCTTGCCGTCGGTCCACTGCTTGCCCATGCAGCACGTCAGGAAGTAGGAGTAGACCGCCAGGGTGACCACCTGGGTGTACACCAGGGGCACACTGATCGTGTCGTAGCTGATGAGCAGGCCGCACTGGCCTCGGAACTTGTTCAGCTCGTCGATGATCGTCTTCACGGCGAAATCGTCTCGGATGCGACCCTCTTTCCTGGCTCTTGTGATGATGCTGGCGGCCCAGACGATGGGCAGCCAGTGCTTCGAAGGTCTCGGGAAGGCCTTGTTCATGGTCTCGATGATGGTCCGCTCGTTGTCGTTGAGAAGGCCGGCCTCCACCAGGTTGTTCAGACCGGGGAACCGCTTTTTCACCCTCGGGGAGACGTTGGCCAGGACCATGGTAAGGCAGAGGCAGACGTATCGCATGATTGTGCGCCGCATCACACGACCTCGTTCGTCCTGGCCATGAACATTGGAGCTGACAAAGACTGCAATGGGGTCTGGCCAGGGAATGGAGGTGTACTGGTTCCACCACCGGGTCATCACAATGGACACATAGAAGCCCAGAACGAATGAAAGCGGGATCAGTTCGCTGTAGCTGTCGCAGTACATAACAATGGCTTCGAAGGTACTGCAAATGGAATGGTTTGTTGAAAATATGTCTTAAGATCCATATTGTTGTTGTCTTACGTTTTTTGGGCATCGTTTAGGGCAAAGCGATACACCATGTTGATCGCATAGTAAATAGTTAGGAAGGCCAGCAGATCCAGCCACACTAGCTTGTAGATACTTCCTCTCCATCTGCAACAAAGTAATTGGGATTAGGAACTTGAAAACTGCTGGCCAATTAATAAACACTAGTCCAACACTCCAGATACTCGTACATCAGACTGTATAAATAGACTCCTACGTAAACTAATCAGCATATGATTGGCTCGTATCAGCAATAATTATAGGCATTATACTCCGCGTAAAGCCGCGATCCAGATTCGGCACTTGACTCGCTCTGCCCTTGATAGTGTATGCCTTCCTATAATTCTTCCTACGGAACCTGTCGGAATTTTTGGCCACTTGTCGTTGACACGGAAACGTCATAAAAACGAAATATGTATATATTTTTGGGTTACTGGCAGAAATATTTGCGCTTCGTCGTGACGACCAGACGACAGTATTTATAAACCTTATCAGATGAATAATGCGTGATATAATGAAACAATCGGACGATATCTTGGAACTAGGAGTAGGTCCAAAACAATAACAGAGTTTATGATTTTTGAGCTGTGAGCCAGCCCCTTAGGGAGAATAGAACTGAATCATGGTGGGAGATTCCCCTTCCAATACTAGCTAGTTAGTCCCTATCCGATATCGACAGCGGTTTTATTGGATCATCAAACTGGCAGCCCCCTGATTAGTTTTAGAGGCATAACCACAGAGTCCATTATCAGGAAAACGCGTGGGGGAAAGCTGTATCCCCCCTCGGCTCATTACTCTTTCATTAAATTATAATTCAGACAACAAGCCGTGACAGATGTCGGACGTATGAGAACACGAGTCTAGATTAGATGGCTAGCCAAGGGAGGGTGGGGGAGTAGTCGCAATTGCAGTGAGCTTTTGCGAAGGAAAGTGGAAAAGTTCTATAATTTGCATCGGTTGCAATTGAGTCGCCGGGCTGGCTATCCCCTCCAATTGTCCGGAGTGTGTCAATGCTCTATAATTAGCAAACGGCTAACAAGTTCCCACCGGGCTCACACTAAGCAGCTATATCTGTGGAGTACATAAGCGGCTAACTCGAACTCACCTGAGCAGTAACTTGAGAAAGCAGCCAAAGCCCCGGCAAGTGGCCACTTCACCTGTGTACGTAATTGTCATTTTTAGCCTTTATTTTCGGTTCCTCCTCCAAATTAGCTTGTTTGCTGCTCTACTCCGTACATGAGATTATTTTTATCGCATCTGGCACATTCTTGGCTGGTCTGTAGAAGAGAGGAGTGTAGATCAGAAAGGTTATGTAATTGCTCATGGCGGTTCCAGGAATCGCTGACAAGGTAACAAGGTACTAGTGGTAATGCAATTTGAAATTCTAAAATCGATTTTTCTTACAATTAGACATGCAACGACAAATGTAGAAAGCCTGTCGGGTGGGACAATTGATGTGCATTTAACATTTAGCTGAAATGCAACAGTAGTTTCCCGATTATATTAATTGCTGCAATTTACAAAGAGCTCAGCTCAGCTGGTGCATGTTCAGATACAAATGTATCTCTATCTGCTCCACTCAGATCGTTTCGCGTGTGGGCGATGTCAGAGTCAAGTGTGAGTGGCTCTCGGGCGGTCTCCATTTGATTCGGAGAGGTGTCACCGGGGGTCAGCCTCCAGCTCGATTAGATACCAATTAGCCAAGCAAACACTGCTCGAGAATCGAATGCCACCACCAAGGGAATCACATTATGTACTAACGTCGACAAGATGAGCTCACTGAGCGAGGAAAATATACGTATATCTGAAAAGGCGTCGAATTCTGCGAACCCGCTCAGCTAATGATCAAAAATCACACCACGAACTGGGCTCTGAGTACCGGAACCGTCCGTACTACCAAGAGCGAGCCGGGTCTGGCCCATGTGATCCCACTGTTTGGGAAATCATGACATCATTCAATGGCTTTACGGGCTGGCTAGGTATGCTCAGCTTAAAAGTGATCGCTCATTTGAGTATATATTTAGTTCGGTTTACTTTTGGAATGGCTCATAAAACACATTTGTATATAAAGTGACGTAGTACTCAGTCTGGGGTCTGCCAAGGTTACTCATCGGGCTGCAGGGCTCTGACGGTGATTATTTTTCCATAAATTCTTTAAAAAAATTGTTAGAAAAGCCTGCTGGCTTATCACTCCCTTTTTGTTCTCGAATAGCAGGCGCATGAGCGTTTTAAATGTTGGGTAAATAAACTGAGAGTGCGATAAGAATGAGACTTTCAACTGGATATACATATAGAGGGCATAAACGGAAAGTTAATTATCAGCCAGACAGAGAGTGGGCAAAACAAGATTTTTTTTAGACAAAGCCACTAGTCCTTAAAACAGGGTAGCTCTGAGGCCAAACCCTTCGATCCATTTCCAATAACGGAGGGTGATACTCGAAAGATAAATCAACTCGCTGTCTCCTTTGTCCAATGAGATTGTTTATTAAAAATGATATCAATGAGCTGGATTCAGAGGAACTGACCTCTTCCCTTGTTTGCTTGAATGCATTTCGTTTATGGTCACAATATTTGCCCAGCAAGCGTGGAAACTTTCAACGACAACATTGTTGACCTATAAAGACAAATAATTCGGCCAAGCACACAATATAGCTATAGAGCTTTGTAACTGGAATGCGATTGCTTTTGTCATTACACTCCGCATTAGCATAATATTCGATATTCCTTACACTGAATGAAACTTGACGGCACAACATTCGAATTCAAATGGCCGAGGTTAATGACATTTTTGAGTGCGAGAGCTGTCAGTGGGCCAGAAAGGCGCGTGGCTAAATTTAAATTATTCTCGGAGGAGAGCTCATTGCATTTTATGAAGATTCTCGAACTGTAGCCTAAGGCAAGTTGAGTAACTTGGGTAATGAATAACCAAGAAAATAATTAAAATTGAACTATCAAAGTCAAAGATAAAACTTATAATGGTAGTGAGTCGCATTAGAATGAATCACAGAGACGATAACCCCACCGAGAATGATGCTTCCTCTCTACGCACTTGGACTTATGACACCAAATCATAATTTGTTTTGATTCTCATTCCTCTGGGGAGATTGCAACTGCAAAGCCGGATGAGTCACTATACACTGTGTATACTACATACAATATCATATCTGCAAGTATATATAGAAGGGCATTGTTTCGACTCTCGGCTATTTCGGAAGTTTCAATCGATTTTGAAGTCCCCCCCAGTCACGCGGTTTCAAATGCTGTGTGTAGTTGCTGGCTTTTCAGTGATTTTAGTTGTGCACTGTTATTAAATCGCGCCACGGTCACTTACACTTACATCGTGTTTACATACCACTATTTTTGCATGTTGTTGCCTCAACCCACGGCACGCAAGGCGTCACAACAACAGAGTTAACGAATTCACAGGTAGCCCGGAGGTAGAAGGGCCACCAACACAATCACAGAAACAGAAGCAAGAACGTCGTCGTCTCTCTTTATGTAGTTTCTTCATGTAGTTTCTTCACTTGGCCTTTATGCTCCACTATTTTGCTTTGCCGCCGAACTTCTTTCGCGCTCACACTTAACACACACAGACAGACAGACAGACTCTAGCGTGGGGCGGCCATTCAAGAAAATGGCACCTCGGACCGGAGGAGCTGAGTTTTCGCTTCCGCACTCGACGACCGACTCTTTGAAATTGAAACTGCTTCGCGAAAATCATTCGACGACAGCTGTGCTGAACTCGAGTGCGAATTGTGGGAGAGTCGGAGCGGGCTGAGAGCGCGAGAGCCATCTAAACTAGTTTCCGAAGAGAGTAGAAGATAAGCCGGAGCCAGGTGGGGATTTCTGCAAAATGGGTCGTCTCTGAAAGGAGTTTTCTTTTAAAGTCTTTAATGGGGCGTATACTTAATAAATGTATATTAGGAATTATAATTGTTGAAATAAAAATAATATTCCCTATTTTTATTTTTGAGTATCAGTATGTATTTATAAAGTCTGTAATTGTATTGCTTGTTGGTAATTATCCAGGTGCGCCTGACGGAACACCTTTAAAAAGCAGTGCCCAGGTAACTGAAATCCCAAAAATCATAGCATACTTTTAGCCGTCGATGTATGGTTTTGTGCAGTAAGTTCAGCATATTCATGTAAAGATTAAACAAACTAATAGTTTGATTTACTTATTGCACTAGTCTTAAAAAAAAAATTAAAAATAGCTCATAAATAATCCCCTTTAAGAATATGGTAGTCACCCATCAATATCAAGTATCCGCCCCATTGGAAGAACACACCGAAAATTAAATTTTTAGTCATTTTATTAAATTAAATTTTAAAATTTTAAATTAATTACAATTCGTACGTTTAACGCATTCGCCAAAGGATTCTTAACACTTTAGACTATAAAGTAGTTGCATATTCATTTAAAATTAATTTTGTTGGCCTGCTTTTGTTCATTTTTACACGTAGTGGAAACATTTCGCTAATACACATTCGTTCGCACTTATAAACGACTAATGACTTATGTTAGGTGATTCTTCATTAAAATTAGGCAAAGAGAACTTTAGTACTTTTAGTTCAGAGTAGTATTTTACAGCGGCATCATCTCATCTCTCTGGAAAATTTGGAAAACTAGAAGGCCAGAATTTTCGCTTAGTTATGTACATTTGAGACGCAGAGGGAGGGAAGTCTTAGGCTAATCTTACAGAATAAACTATTTCTCATGTGTCGCGATCGGGTCGGTTGGGATCTGTGTTCAAATATTACTGGGCGGTCCCCGATGGGCGCGCTGTCCGTGTAACGTGGAATGTCTAGAGCCGGGACGCGAGTGCACGATTGCATAATCGTTATCGTTATCGATCGGCATCGACCTTCGGAAGGACGTTGAATAAGTTTGGATTTAATACACAATGAAATACCTTTTTGTTGCTTAAAAGGGGAAATCTTCAAAGCAGTTAGTTAGTTCAACTCATTTGAAATTGGCGGTTAGTCATTCGATATTCTCTCGTTTTTGTTTTTTGTTTTTTTGTGGGAGGAGGGAGTAGTTAGTTAGTTATTACCGGTAGACAAATGCAAATTACTATTCGGTTAATTACAGTTGCAGTATACTAAGGCACGAAAGGTTTTCATTCAATGTTTTTGATTTCGGACTGTTTTGTTGTGGCTGTCCAGCAGGGCTAACAAGAGATACGAGCATACGGTACAGAGATACAGATACGTAGATACGCAGATACAGATACTTTGTTGGCATGCTTTGTTTGATTTGTTGTATTGTTGTTTTGTATTGTGTGTGTGTGGCTCCACAGCTACCAGAAAAAATTAACGAGAGCAGAGCAGATGCATATTGAAGTGTGGCATAGAGGGGTGTGTGTAGGGTGTGGATGTGTCTCTGTTTCTGTGGCTACTGCTTAATATCTATCAGACCTATTTGAGTGTATCGTGGAGCCACCGCTGGTGTATCCCTTGTGAGCATCCCGGCCGTGGAGCGAGTAACGGGATCCGTACTGGCTGCCATGCCAACTGCGGTACGGGTCGTACTCCTCGATGATCGATGGCTCCTTTTCGATAATCTGCAAGCGTTCGAATTTGGCGGGATTTATTGAAGATGAAGTCACAATTATTTGAATTTATTACCTCTGTGTTGGCACAGCTGCAGCTCATGGCCGTGCACAGGAAGATGTTCATCAGCAGCATTATCAGGAACAGTACGCCCAGGGTGATGGTCAGCCAGAGCAGCCAGCTGGGTCGGATACCGTCCTCGCAGCTTCCCGATACCACTGCTCGGATACAAATAAAAGAGTGAGTGATAAATAATCCGGAAGGACAGTTTCAAACTCACATCTGGCCTCGGCGGGGTCCAGCACGAAGACTGTGGTTCCGGCCACGCTGGAGCCCTCCTCGTTCGGCCCGAACTTCCTGGGTCCGTTGGTGCCCTTGCCGAAACCAGCCAGAGCCACGTCGTTGCAGTCATCGATCTCCACACACCGTCCGTAGCACTGGATCACATCGCACTGCAGATGCACCTCGGAGCCTAAAAGGAGGGCAATAGAAAGTTAGGTGAGACTGCCTCGGGATGGAGCGGAACAAAGTGCATACCCTCGGGGAACTTGAACATCGAGGAGAGCACTGCCTCAGCAGCCCGTCCATCGGCTGTGGGCACAAAGCGACTGATGATATTCGGGTCGTGGGGGCAGCTGGGGGAAGATGATAATGTAGGGTCTTAGTATTCCGTCTCTTGATCTTGTTAGAACTATTTTAACTCACCCACTGTCATCGGTGAGCTTCTGGGTCCTGTTTTTCTTGTCGAAGGCAAAGCAGTTGCCCACACGCAGGCCGTAGGTATCTGATAGTGGTAATAGCAGAGCATAACGTTAAAATGTGGCTTAAAACGGAGGCCCTGGGGGGGGCAAGTAACTCACCATTTGGCTTGGAGAACTCGGCGCGGATCTTGTACTTGTGGCCGTAGACCGTCTCACGCACTCGGTGGTCGTTCTCCAGAAACTTGAGCACCACATGGGCATTGTCATCGCTGCAGGGAAATAGTTGTTGGCAAGTTGGGGTTAAACAAATGGTCGAGGGCGGCGGCTAACGGTAGACGGTAGACTGCTGCAACTGCTCCGTGTGGCAGGGGCTAATTAAAAGCCTGGCCAATTGGGCGAATCTGGGCAAAGCAATTGTAAATTCTGCAATTATGCAACTGCAACTGCAACTGCTACTGCTACTGAAGTCGAGGTGCAGTTGCATCGCCAATTGCCGGTCATTGAGCTGCAGAGAATGAGTTGCATTTGCGGGCCAGATAAGCGAAGTTATAAATACTATATATGTGTGTCTCGAGCTGAAGGCCCGTAGAAACATCCGAAACTATTTGTTCGTTGGCTTGCACGATTTTTATGTTTTTATGTTGGCGCTGTTAACAATTTCTTTGCCTTTTACAAGCTTAACAGAGCGCAACGTTTTCGGAAAACCGTTTTTTAATGCCATCTTTATTTCTCAGACAAGTGGGGCTGTGGTTTGGATCGGGGAGATAGTTGCGTAAGCTGGAGTCGCGAGCAAAGTCATTGGCATTATGCAAATAAGCCGCAAGGCGAGAAGGTAAATTAAATTGTTTCCCATTCGGCTCTAAGATGATTATCGCTGGCTGTGTACCGTTAATTGAGCTGCTGCCAAACTAAGCACTCTGGATTTTATTGATTGTTCTGCCAGTTTTGGGATTGTTTGATTGAGTATAGAGGTATAGAGGTGAAGTGAAAGAAGCGTATTGAATTCTGGCCAGAGCTCAATGGCCTTGAGTTCCAATTCCGCGCACAGAGTGCCAAGAGAAATTCGAACAATGGCCAAATGCCAAATACTCAAAGCCTAATGGGTAATGGCCAGTTGAGAGCAACACCTACACGGAACAATTACTGTATGGGCCTTCGAAGATTGGCAAGCCAGCGCTTTGATCATCCACTGACGGAAGCTTGACCAAATCCAAGAAATCACGGCACACACGGAGTGGGAGCAAGTCCTAAGTGCAGTTGTCTAGACAGCTTAGCCTAAGCATCATGGGCCAACTTACCGCGCGAAGCCCGATTTGCCACAGGTAATCACATAAAACTTATCGTCCGCCAATTCCAGAGTCTTGTGCACACGCACGGCCAGCTGTATGGAACGCTCCTCGGTCCGCTGCGGGGGATCAAAGGTAAGAGGGTGGTGTGGGGGAGAGGGAAGAGTTCATTTAATTGCCGGTTATTAAAAGTTTATGCCCATGACGTTAATGTTGATTGGTTGGAAAAGCCGAGTTAGTTCCCAATTTATGCGAAGCCGAGTAAGCTTCGACCATAAAACAGGAGCATAGGCAGCAAGCACTCGGAGAAATGAATATGCATCAGTTTAAAAAATGTAAATAAATGATTTTACTGTTTAATTTAAATCTGTACCTTCGCCATGGGTTAAGGATCGGATCTGAAGCTATGGCTGAGTGTAAGTGGCTGCAACTTGCACTTGTGGCATGTTAATTGTCACATGATGCAATCGCACAACGAGGAAATGCAAAATGCCGCCAAGTGTGACGCATTTTCCAGTTGTTTATTTTCTCTTGGGCTGGCTCTGCATTTTCCCCCAGCTCTTGAGTCTTCCAGAGCCCGTCGGCTATCATGGTTTTCGGTAGTTATTTTAAATTAATTTTGAATACCTCTGCAGACTACTGAGCCTGCAGCTGCTGGGTTGTGCAGCCAAATGTAACTGCAGATGGAACTCTTTTCCGAGAATCCCAGAGAACCGTGATGGCTTGGCTGGGGAATAGGACTGCCGTAAGTCTGCAGTAATTGCTGCTGCGATTAACTAACTGTTGCTCAGAATATTTTATAATGTTTTCCTTATGGCTGCAAGACCTGGCCTTGACCTGCTTCGATCGAGCAATGCAATCGAGCAGCTTTCCATAAAGAGATGTGCAAAAAGCACTGCCACTTCTGTGTCACAGCTGCCTGCCAAACTGGTTTTCATTACAAAAAGGTGTAAATGAATGTGTAGGTAAGCATTAGGTATTTAACTTGTATGTTTGGTCGGGTAAATATTTATTATATTTTTTATGACGCCTCCACAGGCCAACTGCAGTTAATACTTGATTAGAATTTAGTCGGGGGGGTTAGCAAAATCATATCGCAGTGCAAATAAATACCTCGCAACCAGTGATGTCACAATCTGGTGGCCAACTCATGCGTCACGCAGTTGCATGCCGCAGCGGATGAGCTCATTATCAGGTTGTTATTAGAGAAGTTGAGAAAATGGCTTATAAGCAAAAGTTCTCTCCTGAGATTACGGCACTAAACGTGCTGAAATTGCCCTGGAGGCAATTGCATTTGCAATTAACATTTAAATGTACATAATGGGTGCTAGACAAAGAACTGCCAGTGCTAGTGTAGCAATGTAATGGCAACCCACTCAAAAATAATAACAATAATGGTCGCCATAATAAGAAATAAGTTCAAGTACGCCAGCCAGCCAGCCAAGCAGCCATCCAGCCACCACAGCAGTCTTGAACTTTATGTAAAAATAGCTGGGCGTCTTGGCCATTGTCAGCGGCAATTTCATGCTCCAGAGCGGATTCGAAGATCCAAAGATACAGATACAGATACAAATACTTCGCCTTGAGGGGGAGGCAGAGGGCGAAAGTGGCGTTCGGCATTCTGCAGTTTACCTTTCAAGGTCAGCGACGACCGAAGGCATTTCGCCAGCAATTAAAGCTCCACACAAATATTTGCACAGAGGAATAAAATCAGCGATTGCGTCGCCGCACAAAAACATTCTTTTGACACAAATTCCACGCACTCGCAGCAACAATAGCAACTACATGCATCGAAATAAGCCACAACAGCGGCTTGGAATGCTGTCAAAGTCGAGCTCAGAGCCGAAGCGTGGAAAGCCGTGTCTGTGTCTGGGTCTGGGCATGTGAAATCCGCAGTCTGAAGCTAAAGCACCAGACGCCGGCGCAAGCTGCCAAGGCACTCCCAGGGAACTGCCTACATCAAACATTAAAGTACAGTACAGGATTGGAAAGCAGAACTGGGAAGGTTGTCAACCAACAATCCGCCAAAAAAATCATAAAAAGCTTAATCATTAGGGAATAAGGTGGGAAGTGTCCCCTTTATAGTCCATTAAAAAGTGTATATATTTTTTTAGAAATTCAAAGCCTTCGCTAGAGATATTTTTCACTGTACTTGGGTCTGCCTAAGCGGATATATGCGTGTTCGAGTACGTATAAAAATAAAATCCAGCCGCAGTGGCGATAAGAATGATTTAATTTTATGGGGGACCTCCCCTTTTTTGTCCGCAATCCGCAGGGAAACCCAAAGGAAGGTGGGCCCCGACGCTCGGAGAGGCAGTGCGGGCCCTAGTTCGGTTTTTGACTTTGGGAATACAGGGTGCGGTCGCTACGATTTGACATTGCAATTAATAATGTTGTATGTGCTCGTACTCATAAGCATCTGACAGTGAGCCCTTTGGATAATTTGCGTTTCAGCGCAGTAGTATCTCTGAAGGATGGATCGGCTACATCTAATGCGATTTGCTTTTGTATGGAAATGCTGGACTGAGTCCACGGTCAGACCCACACGGAATCGCTGTCAACGCCTAGGATGCACGTAGGATTAAACTTGATTTTTATTGCCATCGTTACTATATAGACCCGACTGCCGTGCCAGCCTCAGTCGCTGGTTTCGAACCAAGTGCAACACTCACAGATAGGCGGGCTCAAATTTATGGGCATGCGTGCCCTTTTTAGCCACACAAGACCTCGAACTCTGATAATCTGGTCTCTTCTAGAGAAGGCTGAAGCTCTACGGGTCGTCGCTTTTCTAGTTGCCCACTATTGCCTCACAGTTCACAATGGCTGGTTTCTTTGTTCGTTGAATCGCTAAATTTTGGTAGCAATTTGCAAATTATATTCGGCCGCTGACAAAATTAATTTGTCTTTGCCGGCTGAGGGAGGAGTAATCGAAAGACTTAAGACACGAACTTTTTCGTAGTACGTCTCGTCAGAATAAACTTAAATTCCTCCTACCATTAAGCTCTATTATGAAACTGGAATTAAATAATCTGAAAACCTTACAAATTGTCGACTTCACTTAAAACTCTTTGTTGACGCTTAGTGATTAATATTGTTAGGGAAGCTCGGGGGTTATGCTTACATTGCTTCCACTCACGTTGCTGACCAGGATGCCGCAGTAGTCGCTGGCACCCTGCTTGGCCCAGAGATTGAGGCTGAAAGCCACCGAGTCGCTGCCATCGCCCATGGCCATGCATCCGGGCGTGCGGTAGTCCCGGACGTGCACGGCTCCCGTATAGCCGGAGTTCAGCTTCACTTTGATGTTCATCGTGCCCGCCTTGCAAGTGGCCGTCACATGGGGAGCGAATTCTCCGGGCGCTCCCGATGCCGGTTCCTGTGTGGTGACCTGTAATGAATAAGAAAAATACGCAGAGTGTTAGCAGCTTCTTCGGTTAATAACTTTGACCTGATTCCGGGACCCTGGGAACTAACACCGGCCGGCCAGTTAATGCCGACTCATTGGACAAACACCAGAAAAAAGTAGCAGCACAGCAAACGAGGAAAATTCAAATTAATTTAAAATGGTTAACCGAAAGAGCCGGCAAGCCGTGGTCGCAATTAATTGCAAAAAGGCAAAGCCAACGGACCCGGAGTCAGAAAGCCTCAAAGAACTCTGGGCCAGAACAGCGAGCTGCCAAAGTTCTGCACGTTTTGGGTCAGTTCGGTTTCAGCTTACAGCTTACAGCCGCGCACTGTCAAAGCCATTTGGCTCGGAGATAATTTATTGGCGTGCCCGACTATTGGGCTGCTGTCGCTCCGTCGTGATAATTGAATTTGTGCTCCAGCTTTTGGGCCCACAGAACTGCCTCTAGGAACTGGCAATAGCACTGAAATGGAGCCAATACACTTTGAACAACTAAAACCCAGCACAAAACTAATACAAAATACAATATAAACATGATTAAAGTCTATTCTGTTTGAATTCCTTGCAGATTTTTGTTTGAAAACGAATGACTTAAGACACAAACTTAGAACTATTTATTGTATAAATAAACTTTTTTTAAATATAGCAGTGTAGCTGCCGGATAAGAAGTAACAAAGTTAAGTAAGTCATGTCATGACAATCGCCCAGACGCCGCCTCTGTGGTCCGGCAGCTGGGCTCACGTTTCTCGGACCTCGAGCGGTGGGACTTTTTTGTTGCAAGGAGCCTGCCTCGGCGGGAAAGGCGAAAGGCTGGCCTTTGATTTATATTTACTTTCGAAATGCTGCCGCAGCCGTCCGCCCTTTGGCGCGTCAAAAAAAAATATATGAAATTTCGTTCAGTCATCGAAGCAATTAATTTTCTACTCCAAACTCCGATGCTACTGAACGTCAGTCAGGTGAAATGAAATGCAGCCAGGCGACCCAGTTCCGTGGCAGGCCGAGTGCCAAAAACATGTTGGCCAGCGTCCCACTTTCTAAGGCAACTAGAACAGCCACTTTGCATGCCATCAGCAATTTATTGCATCTCAATAAGCCAGGCTTAGTAGTCCCCGAGCGGAGATACCACCTCCGCCTATACGGACCTCTCCGCCCCCACCGATCGGGGTTCAATGCGCCATGAGGGTCACATGAGATGGAGCTGGATGCTCAGTCCCTGGGTCCCCGAGCCGCTGCAGCAACTCCCATGACAATTTGTCGCTGGCTGGCAAAAAAGCCAATTGTTTCGCCAGGGTTTTTGCATTTTTCTGCTGGCTGGCTGTGCTGGCAGTCAATTAAAATAGTTTTTGCATGCCCGTTTCACTATCGTTTCGTTTTTGAGTGTGCGGCGGCTTGTTAAAATAACAAACAAACAAAAAATCGCACGTTAAGCATTGCCTTTGTATTATGCAACACGCTCTGATTGTGGTCTCAAAATGGAAATGGGAATTAGACACCAAAAATACAATTAGACACTTGCGCTGCCAGTCACGAAGCCAGCAGCCAGTGAGCTGAAAAATTTGCCAACCTGATGGATATTCCCCGCAGGACACCCGGCCTGCTGTCGGGTGATTTTTCAAAAATGTCTGTATGCAAATCGTATCACAGAAATACAAATCGAGACACAGCTGGAGCCCTGACTCGGCCAGGATCATTAGCCCAGGATGAAGGTGATTTATACGGCCATAAACTAAAAGTGTTTGGCCCGCCGAGCTTAAGCATTTAAGCCGTTTTAGAGCCAACTAACCAACTGACGAGGGCAATTAGTACAAAGGAAAGGCTGCCTTGTTTTGCCGGGGCAATTATCCGCTTAGGAATGACAAAACTGCAGACGAGGCTAAGTGAAAAATGAAGTTCTGCTTAGAGCAAATAAATGAGGCAGCACCGTTCGTGGGAAACTGGCTAGGAACGATTTTATGGCTCGTTTTTTATGAAAAACGTTTTTAATGAGCTTCAGTTTTGGAGAATGGGGCCTCGAATTTGAATTTTATGTGCCTAAATTGCTGGGTCCTTGTCTATATGTGGGAGAGCCATTTAAAGTGGAAGTGCATTGGTACAGCCCATATGAACAAAGTGGGTGGTAAGCCTGCTTACTATTAATGCCCCACTAAAATGTCTAGGTATGTACGTATATCTTTTCCAGTATACATCAGATTCTTGAGCGGTATGTACGTATATCTTTTCCAGTATACATCAGATTCTTGAGCGGAATACCTTAAACGATTTGTGGATCGATTCTCCATGAATCTGCTTCAAAATCTAGCAACAAAATATTTTTTCGATTTTTTGTCCAATTTTGTAGGGGATCCTTTTCGAATTCGGGGGAAATGAATGGAAGGTCAATATGGCTCAGATCGAAGACCATATCTTTGGCAATAGTCATCCGATTCTTGAGCGGAATACCTTAAACGATTTGTGGATTGATTCTCCATAAATCTGCATCAAAATCTAGCAACAAAATATTTTTTCGATTTTTTGTCCAATTTTGTAGGGGACCCTCTTCGAATTTGGGGGAAATGCATGGAAGGTCAATATGGCTCAGATCGAAGACCATATCTTTGCCAATAGTCATCCGATTCTTGAGCGGAATACCTTAAACGATTTGTTGATCGATTCTCCATAAATCTGCTTCAAAATCTAGCAACAAAATATTTTTTCGATTTTTTGTCCAATTTTGTAGGGGATCCTCTTCGAATTTGGGGGAAATGCATGGAAGGTCAATATGGCTCAGATCGAAGCCCATATCTTTGCCAAGAGTCATCCGATTCTTGAGCGGAATACCTCAAACGATTTGTGGATCGATTCTCCATAAATCTGCATCAAAATCTAGAAACAAAATATATTTTCGATTTTTTGTCCAATTTTGTAGGGCCCCTTTTCGAATTTGGGGGAAATGCATGGAAGGTCAATATGGCTCAGATCGAAGCCCATATCTTTGCCAAGAGTCATCCAATTCTTGAGCGGAATACCTCAAACGATTTGTGGATCGATTCTCCATAAATCTGAATCAAAATCTAACAACAAAATATTATTTCGATTTTTTGTCCAATTTTGTAGGGGATCCTCTTCGAATTCGGGGGAAATGCATGGAAGGTCAATATGGCTCAGATCGAAGACCATATCTTTGCCAATAGTCATCCGATTCTTGAGCGGAATACCTTAAACGATTTGTGGATCGATTCTCCATAAATCTGCTTCAAAATCTAGAAACAAATATATTTTTTTTATTTTTTCCAAATTTTCTTGGGAGGCTCCTTTTAAAATGGGGAAGTGCATGGATGGAAAATATATCCCCAGCCATGTCAATCCCAAAATGAGGTTCTCTTGGAAAGAGCGGAACGGCCTAGTATCGGATGTAATTTAATCTGCTGGATGTAGAATGAAATAGTTTTGGACTCCTAGGCTCCCACAACTAATTGGGGTTCTAAAACATGATTGCCTTCTTTTTGTGGCAGTGCGCCAATTAAATGTGGTTGTGATTTATGAGAACGGCTAATTCCACTCAATTTACCTGGCTAGCTGGCTGGTTAGCGAGGTGTGTTTCCTTTATGCCCGCTTGGGCCAACTTAATGTTTCGCAAGAGCCACAGCTGTTTTGTTTTTAAACCAATCGATACAATCGCCAGAGTGCCTAGTGCAGCTGGGCGCATAGTTGGCCAACATAGATTGGCAAAAACATTGAAAACATGTGCAACAAGTTTGGATTAGAAGCGAAAACAAAACTCGTGCATAACAAAAGCCGATGGGCGGTCAGAGATGAAGAGGGGTTGCTCCTAACATATTTCGTGTGCATTTGAATTTCCGCTATATGGCGCTCGGCAATAAAGCTCAGCTCGAGGTAAATTATAACATAAAGCCGGGCCAAGCCTCGGACTCTGGCTCTGGACTCCGACTTCGACTTGGCCGGGCCAAGAGTCCAGCGCGACTTGAGCTGCAACTTGGACTGTGGCTGATTGCAAATTGTCACGGTATTTTCACTGGCAGCGCATAAATTGCCGTTTAACTCGCATTACTGTGCACTTGAAAAAATTCCTAAAATAGTCTTACAAATGAGCTTAGGGATATATGATAGTAGACTTTGAATGGTTTCGGAAAACCATCAAAATGTAGCAATATTTTCTATTGTTTTCAATGCAATTTTTAAGATTTAGGCCCATTTTTTCCCTGTGTAGGAGCTCTAGCTGGACGGAAAGTATTTATGTGCAGAGCTGGCTTTTCGGGCAGAGCTTCGTAGTCGCTGCCCAGGCCGGACCTGGCCAAAAGCTTAATGAAGCTGACATCGCCGAAAACCCGTTCCGATTGCGAGCTTTGGTCGGGCTGATTATATAATGCAAACGGCGACGCCGACTGACAGCTGAAAGGGTTTTCCAACGGTTTTATCATCCCGAGGATCATCCCCGGGCCCAGGGCCCACTGATAAACACCCAAAGTCGCAGGAAGAAAGAAAAGCAGTCGGCAATTAATGTCGCCGCGGCTTCAATTAAATTTCAATTGTCGGAGCGCTTTCCATTGATGTTCTGACGCGCTAATTCCAAGGCTTGTCTTTGGGGAAGAGCCCGGTCCCTATTCCACCGAGTACCGAGTTACCTATTACCTGTTACCTGTGCTGCCTTTTGAAGCCCCACCTTTTGGCTTGACTCTGTCTGCACGTTCCACCACTCGGTGGGTCAATTGTGTGGCTCATAATGAAACGCTGTCGTACCACTAATATAATAATAAGCACTTGTCCGACCCCGCGACCTCCTTCCCTCTGACCAGTAAATTCTACTGGCTGTCTGGCTTTTGTTGTCGGCCGTTGAAAAGCAATCAATAGAGGCGCTTTGTAACTTCTTCAAAATATTGCTGAACAACATTCCAAACGGTCTTCTCCATGGGTTATTTATGTTCGCCGAGGAATTCTGTTCTCCAGTAGCTGCATGTTTTAATGGTTTTTTGACCAGCTGGGAAATTATGTTAAGTACTATCTGCTTACAAGGGCTGGTCGTGTTTTGAAAGTTTCTCTAATTGAATTAGCCATCTGTGGCAGCCAAAAATGGGCAGGTTTCTATAGGCATTATGCACACAGACCAGATCAAGTAAAGAAGGCTAATTCCTTGCTGGCAAAGTCTGAGGGAAAATGGAAATCTATCTTGCCTTCGATAAGTAGAGAAACTTAATTGCATTTATGAGTTCTAACCACTAGTCTTCTTTACGAATGGGATCTAAGAATTGGGTAAATTCGGGTGCATTAACACGGATTTGAAGCCGAAGCTTTCGTTTCTCATTTAGCCCTTAGTCATCATTTAGTTGATTCAAGCAATTGGCCGTCGTGATTTAAAAGTTGTCACACTTTCTTTGACCATTTGCCTTAATTGCTGTCAAAAAAAGAAGCACGCTGCACGAAAAAGCCATTCCAAAGACGAACTGAGTTCCCAGCAGCCCTCAGTATGTCTGCAATTTTCATAAATGTGCACTTTCCATGCGCATCATCTCGGACAGAATCTGAAAGCAAGCCCCATACTGAGTTTAAAATTACCCGAAAGCCATGCGCCTCAATGACAGTCGCCGGTGCAGCGATACAGCGTACAGCTATACTGGGGAAATAGAAACAGTTTTCCCATTAGTTTCGAATAAAACCTACTTTTACCGCCGAGGCCCGAAGCTGGAGCAGAAAAACAAAGGTAAAAACAATTGCTAAATTGTTTTGGTTTACTGACTGACGGGGCTAGAGAGTTGGGGGCAGGGAAGTAAAATAGAAATAGAAATAGAAACAGAGACAGAGAAGCAGGGCAGGCTGCAGGTGAACAATGCAAGTTAATCAAATAATGAAATGTGCTAACCGAGTCAGAAAAGTCTGACAAAGAAAGAACTTTCTCCGCCCTGGCTGGCGGATGGCAAATGGCGACCAGAGGATGACCCAATATGCCAAACACTTTTGCATACATTTTCATGAATTTCACGCTACAGAGCACAACGAAAAAAATAAAATAATTCGCACTGAGCGATCGGAGCGGCGTTAAATTGCGCAGCCGGATTGGTTTGATCTCGTGGCTTAATAGACATAATGGTGCTTCCATCAATCTACAGAGAAAACACTATAAATTGGGACAGAACTTTACATAATACGGGAACAATTTTATTCATTTTCAAACCCGCCATAGCCATGCCCATAAAATAGAGTCATACCTGCCCATGCCAAAGATCTCCATGTGTGAATGTTTCGGTGTTGACATAAACATGCCGTTTTGCTGGCGCTCCCCGGGAGCTATGCTCGATCTAATGGCCCAGTCGCGCAACTCGACATCTCAGCCAGCATCTAAGACGTCGAGAATGGCAACGGCTTCCTGTCCAGGGGCCAGACTCAGCCATCAGACGCGATACTACTAACCCAGTGCGGAGCTAGAGTTGCGTGCAGTGACCAAACTGGTTGCTCTTCTAATTGCCCCGGTCTTCGGTTCAAGTCTCTCGGCCCGCTTATGGACAGCCGATCGGGTGCACTTCATTGCACCCGGCATTTGTGGTCAATATGCAGCCAGTCAGTGGTCATATTTTCTGTTAATTAGAGCATAATGGCCCGAGCCGGCATTCTGCGGTTATCAGTGGCAGACAAAAAATAAATCCTAGCTCGTTTTGATAAAACTCCGAACTGTATCTCCGGCAAACCGTTAGCACTCAGAAATAAAAACCAAATAGGTATTCACAAACAAGAACCCAAAGAATTTCAATAAAGTGCCAAGACAATCAGCGAGTTTGTTGTCTAAGTCTTTTGTTTGTTTCCGAAAAATTGCCGTTGCCGCTGCCTTGGATGGGTCATCGGAAGTTCTAAGAATCATGTGCCCGACTTAGTGTTAGTCAGAGGCGGGCTGTGAATCATATCTTCGAGTACACTCATACTCATACGCAGCATATCAAATATTGTACATTTTGTGGCCACCGCAGTAGTAATTCTGAAGGGAGGAGGGACGGCGGGGTTAAAACCACTTCAATTGGCTTTTGGCAGGCTTGGGAAGCACGTGCTTGGCAGTCGAGAATGGGTTTGCGGTTTAGTTCTCGATACCCTCGGATGGGGAGCACCATAAGTGGGTAGCTCAAGTTGCTCTGCTCTAGGCAAGAGCGTTCCAAAATCGTTTCCTAAGTGTTTTCTGATTTTCATGCCAGAAAAAAGAGTTCGGTCATCAATCATTTGCAAATGGTCAAGAATGCTATGAAAACAGAATGCTGACTTGGATATTTGTTTCTTCAGATCTGTTGTACTTTAAATAAATAAATAATACAAGTATTCTATACTCAATCAAGTAACGAGGTCTTAAAAATTCTCATACAAATTCTTCAAGGGTCTGAAAGCAATTAAACTTTGTATGGCTTTAATAATAACGATTAAGATTGTTTAATTTTTTGTACGAGACCATATCGAATTTATGAGGGACTGTATCAAATATCCCCAGTATGCTTGGCTTCCACACACAGAAGTCAGAGCTCTTAACGGAGAACTCTGTTTAATCCCCAGGAAAACAAAACCACAAGCCAACACAAGCTACCTGTGGTCGCATTCAACGCGTCATTTCTGGCCAAAAACACCAGATTCTTGCTGGTTGTTTGGTTTTATTTAGCTTTTTCGAGTCGCTGGCTGCTGGTGGGTTGTTGTTGGCTTATATGGCGGCTGGCAGGCCAGAGCCATGACGACAGACTGGCTCATTGTATGCGCATATATACTCTGCTCGGATCGCCATATATTCATATATTAAATTGGAATTGGATGGCTTCGAGAATTAGCATATTTCGTTCGCTTTCAGCTTATGTCTGTGCCGGTGTGTGCGTTGACATTGAAACTGATTTTAATGGCCCGTAACAACAAAAACATCCACGGCAGTGACAACAAGTACACCGAAACACGCTAATATGCAAGTCAATATTTAGGCGTCAATTAAAATGAGTTATTTGTCGGCCAAGTTTGGGCATCTCGATGTCAGGCAGTGTGTGCGGGAACTACTAATCCTTAGCCGGAGTCTTCTGGGCTTTGTGTGTTAACCACCTTTTGGGCCTTTGGCCCGAATAAGGCTTTAGTTCGGTTATTGTTTAATGAGTGTGAAAAGCGGGTAAGAAATGAAGAGCCGACGAGTACCGTAAGCTTCGAGCCAAGTTTCAATTTTAAACTTAACACACGCACACTTTCGCACAAAGCGGTTGTTTACACATGTATCTCAGTCTGGCACCCTCCTACCAGTCTCTCCGCCCTCCTACCACTTATTTCATTATGGGTAAACTTATATCATTATCATTACCATCCTCATCCTCATCATCGCCATCACCAACACTCTGATAATTAACCGAGAGACTGCGTTTTGTTTGCCGTTGCTTTTACGATTTGCTTCAAGGTTTTGTGAGTTTTGCATTTAACCAACAGCCAACTAACCTGGCCGGGTGTCGGATGCCGCCGTACTCGAGGTCCCCGGGGCCTGTGGGCCGCCAGTCTCTGTTTGCCAAGCCCAGAGAGCGAATTCGACGCCCACGCCCTCGCCCCTGCCGGGCACTTTATGATGTCATTCCCCGACGGCCGCTGACTTCGACTGATAGTTCAACATACCCGTTATCAATTTTGGGTTTTGGCATTTCGGCTTTTAGAGGAGTGGGCGGGAGTCACAAGGGCGGGTCGACTCAGATGTTTTCAGAAGTCTGAGAAGCATCCAAAATGGGAAACAATGCCCAGTATCAAGGTGTACTCTCAGATGAATTAAATTAACCGATTAGGATTATTTAAGTCAGTTTCTGGATTTTAAACAAATCTATGCCAAAGATCACAGAAGTAGAAATAATTATCCAATCTAACTACTTTCCCTGGTATGATTTCTAGTTCAAGCGACCAAGAAAACTCCAGAAAACCCCCGATCGGTTCAATCCAGACTTGAACCAATTCGAATTGATGCCAAGCCCTGCCGCCAAGTCGCTCTCACCGCGATGGATTTGTGCCATTTAATCGGAGAACCGAGTTCGAAGCAAGCCAAATCAAAAGTCAAAAACCAAAACCGAAAACTGAAAACCAAAAGCATTCCTGAAGCGCGGACGAACAATGGAACCGGAGAAGTAGAAGGGCCAAGTGGGGGGCACTCGGTTGGGTAAAAGTTAAGATATCGGTCAGTAGTACATCTTGAGTTGAACGGCGGGGGGAGGGGACTTAAGCATGCTGCCCGCTGAGTTATAGTTATAGTTACAGGCTGTAGTAGTAGTTATGGCCATGGCCATTTCCATTGCTATTGATAAACTGGCCCAACTGCACGGCCCAATGCTGGCGAGTTCATTAATTGTCTGGCCTGGAAAACTGCCGTGGAAAATTCTCAAAGCCGCCGTGAAAATGCTATAGGCCGAGTTGGGAAGGGGGAAAGAGTCGAAAGGGCTGATGGCCCCGTTTTCAGAACATTATTGTATGCAAATGAAAAGTGAAATGTCCAAGAAAGGGGCCTAATTATCTTTCACTTACCTGTCCGACCAGCACGAGGAGTGGCAGGAGCCATAGGAGTGGGGTTTCCTTCGCCATTATTCTTCTGCGCCTGTGTCCGGGTGGAGTACTCCTTTTGACCAACTGAAATTACCCACTTTGTTTATCGGCCAGTTGAGCAATTGTGCAATTGTCTCTGACTCTGATTATAGCCCACTTCATGCAGCTCACGCAGTTGTCAAGTCGCAACTGGCAGCTGGCTTATTGGCCTTTATTGTTGCCTTTAAATTACTCATCCCAGTGTTTATACTCTGGTGACTCAAAAACTAGGCCCAGCTGAACTCGGATCTACTCAGACTCAGTATCTTCTAGTTTCATCTACTCAGCTGCATTTTTTAGATTCCGGATTGTGCGAGGGCATAACTTTCTAGGAAACTTTAAGTACCTGAACGTGATGGCAGTGCATCGGATTTCTAATTTTCGGATCTTCTAATATGCTCTCATTATCTGATGAAGCTCGGATCCTCACGTCTGGCTTTCGGTTTCAAGACGACCCCGACCTTATTGAACCTCCTAATGAAATACTCCGAAAAGGGTTTCGCAAATCGAAAACAATGACTCGGAATGCCGAAACGAGTTTGCTCGAAAAATATATATAGTATTTTTTTGTTTGCCGGACAAAGCTTAAAAACAGTCTTACGTCATAAGCTGAAAATGCTATGAAAAAGGCTAAAGCGCCAAAGCAAATAATTGCACGAAAGGTGACACTTTTGTGAATAATTTATGGCTTATTCTCAGAGATCGATGCTTGGAATGGGCAATTACTGGGTCTAATTTTTACTGGCCAGAAGTTTTTTTGGTAGCAGCCAGGCGGAAATGGCCCTCACACCTACACAGACACCTATCGGATCTGAGAGCCCAATCACATTAGCACTTAGATAGGTGCTTAGCTCATTGAGGAGGTATTTTCGAGTGCAACCCGTAGCCATACCGGGCTAAGACTATAAGCCAAAATAGTTAGTCATTTTTATTAGTTAATGAAAAAGACTAAGCAGTAAAATAAGAGATTTGTGCACAAACTAAGAGAACTGAAAAAGAGCTGAGAGCCAGAAGGAGTGGGAAGATTAATCTGCTGAGCCAGCCACCTGAGCGCACTAACTTGGCTAAAATATTTCTTTAAAATTCGCGACAATTCCAGGCCATAGCTTACAAATTCTAGAACCAATTTACATTTTCATGAAGTGGACCATAGTCAGCTACATATATTAGTAGAGTTTTATATTAATTCAACAGATTGTGTTCACTTTGAGAGTTGGCAACGATTTGAAGCTCTTTTGGGATCACACGTCGCTCTGCAACACGTGAAAACGAGTTTTATGCAACAGCCAAGTTGTTTACTTATTGCTGGTTGGAGCTTCTGTTTAGCGTTTCTGGTTGTTTATTAATTAGTTAATCGTTTACTCAGCTACCTGCACAGCACACAAAAAAGCAACACGGTCGTTAGCTTTCAGAACGCGCAACACACAGAGTTCGGGCTTGGATATTTTATCTTGTATCTCAACTATCCGCTGACACGTTGACGGCTCGAGAGTTTGTTGGAAACTGAAACTGAATCTCGCAGAGACGGAAATCGCTCTAAGCCAAGCTTTGCTGTTTTGTTTTCTTTCTACCCCCATCGCTCTCGCTCTCTGCCTCTTTTCGGGCCCCCCTTTTTGGCCACATCTTCGTTTGTTTTGGCCGTTCGCGCTTTGTGGCCAGTTCGTGCCTGGGTTGCCACATTGCCGGAAAAATTACTTTAAGCCATCATTTTTGGCGCTCTCGAATGTACTCATGCGGCTATAAACTCTCCGACTCTCTATTTTTATCACTTCCCCAGGCCCTACACCCATGCCTGTTGATAAAAATATAGGGCCATGCCAGTGCACTGGGAGAAATGGTTAGTATCCGTAGAAGATCCAAATATGTATGTATATTTGAGCTTTAAATTTTAATTATAAAAGAAAAGATGATACATCGGAACTAAAAATTTACCTAGATAGTAAATACTATTAATCTATACCAATCATAGGTATAAATATTTCTCCTTGTGTAACTTTCGAGGTGGTTGTTGGAATTTGTAGCGTAAAGTGGACCTCAATGAATCGATACGCCCGCAGGTTTCTCCACCTTGCACCTGCGCACTTTTTGGGGTTGGAACTCTCTCCGGAGAAAGACCAGTGTTGGTAAGTTCCATACAAATAACGGTTCATTTGTATATTTTATTAGATTTATGAATTAAACTCCTTTTTAAATAAAAATTCATCTCCAGAACCTCTGTAGAGATAAAAAAACCTCCCATTTTATTCAATAATTTATGGTCTTAATTATATTTAAGCCTATATAAGCCTATAAACAACTAAGTATTTATCTCTCTCTCCTAATCTCTTGCAAACAGTCCACTCTCCTGCTCTCTTTTGGCACCCACATGCCTTTGGACTCGCTTTCCTTTTTGGTGGGAAACTCGTGTTCGGGAAAAGGCCATTCGCTCAGTGAAAATTTCATCACCGTCGTTGACAGTTCAGCCAGAAAGAGTCCTCTAGCTTTCCAGTCTCTATCGAAATCTCAAAATTATCTAAACTCATTTTGTGTTCACTTTTGATCATCAAAGTCATCGTTTCAACTCTCATTCGTTTGTCAAGCGACAAGATAGCGCGGATTCCAGCGGATTTCTAGCGATTTTGGTAACATAACCAAGTGCAACTGCCGAAAAATCGAAACACGGCTAAGAAAAAAATATATACGAAATTTCTGTATCAGCCAGTCCTAGTGTTTGTATCTGTGTTTGCCAGTGTGTGAGAGTGTGAGTTCGAGTGTGTCTGTGTGGGTACGTGATAAGCGTAGACGACGCCGTAACAACAAAACGGAGGCCCCGAGGATAGCGAGGCACTGTGGCATCGCATCGCATCGTTTTATTGAATTACAAGTAAAACAAAGAGCGCGACTTAGCTGGCGATTAAGGCTTTCCCCCCTGCGAGGGGAAACGAGTGTCATAGGGGCGGGGTGGGGGTGGAGACCTGCTAACCCACAAACCCACTGCCAGCGGGGTGCCGAACAGCAAACAATCCTGAGTGGTGGTTTAGCAACTGCTAATTGGTTGGAAAAAAATTAATTAAAAATCATAGAGCTCATTGCTGTTCAAAATATAGGGTATAAAGTTAAAACTTTCGGTGGGTAGACGTGTTTGGGACTCTTTTCTAGGAGCCTAGCCCCCGAGTCTTTGACCTCCCGAACGGAAATAGCTGCCACAATTTGCGTGCGGCAGCTCCGCAGGTCTAGATAGACTCAAATGCTTGGCATTTTTAATTACCATCGAAAAGACATTAAGCCCTGTTTTATGACAAGCCAGGTCCCAGGAAAGGAAATTCCGTTCTTCCGCTGAAAATGGGTTAGGTGGGACTCCGCTCGGATGCCCCCAAGAGTTTCCTGCGTTTTTGCTGCAGTTTATATAACGCACGGGTGGCAGTAAATGCAACTGCTTAAGCTGCCACAGAAAGAATCCGAACTTTAATTTTGCCCCGACGTTGATGGATTGTGGTGGGCAGACCGAGTTGAACCCAGGGGTTGGAGGCAGGGGGCAGGGGTTAAGCCTGGCTATAAACTTTTTCTTGCCACAGAGCGAGCACAGATTTCGGAGCTCGGAGCTCTGGCAAGCCCAGACAGGCGAGACCCTCAACACGTTACTGTGATTATTAATTCAGAAACTTTTCACACAGCCTGCCAGACAACGGGGCGTATGAAAGTTTTCGGCCAAATTAGACACTATTGCCGGCCAAAGGAAAGCCGGATTCCATGCCGACTGCATGAATTATGTAAGCAAGGCCAAAAATTTGATGGGCCCGACCGACTTAATTTTTCTACTAACAAGGCCCAAACGGAAGCATAATTCAATAAGACTGAGCTTTGGGCAACCGGATAGGTTCACCATTGCTATTTTGGTTGGCAAAACAAACAATCGGGGCCATCAATAATGAAATCGATTACCAGCACTCTGTTGAGTCCTGGCGGCCCGTGAGCTACAATTGTTTAACGTTTTTTCCGGCCTCCGCCGTCGAACTTTGGCATTTCGGGCCACGACTGCTCGTGAAAAATGCCAAATGTCAGGTCTGTCTCTTGGGAGACCCAGCAGCTTCGTGGGCGGCGGATGTCCTCAGCTGCTCGCTGAAAGTAATCCGCAGACAGCGAGGCGTCCGAGGCGTATACGTAATATGCTTCAGCCACACAGACTCATAATTGAAGCTTATGTCATGAACCGGGGATTAAGGGCGGGTGGGTCCTAAAAATAGGGACTTTTTCCCCGGAAAACTTATTGGTTTGACTTTGTAATGAACTTAAATTTGTATGTGCATCTCATTGCGTCACAAAGGACTAAAAATGAAGGCTTCTAAACAGTTTCTTTTTAGCAGCGAGATTAAAATGTTAACTATTTGATTTGCATTTTTTGAAATTGCCTATTACATCCTCTCCTTAGCAACTGTTTCAGTTATGATTTTGTGAATCAGAATTTCGTATGCCCAGGGTCTCGAGGGATCCATTAACGCAATTTTCCCGCACTTGGCTGGGACCAGAGCCTGCCGATTTGTAAAGGTGTTGTTTACCCGGCGCCTGGGGAGGCCATTTCGGGGTATTTACATACAACATTCCGGTGGCGAATGTTTGGGGCTTGCTTCGGTGTGGTAGTAAGCTTCGCCCCAGTTAGCGGCCACTGTCAGTGCAATGAACCAAAAACAATGTTTGGCCCGACAGGCTGGCAGGAAAACAGAAAGCGGCCACAAAGGCGAAAGCCAGTTGTCCCAAGGGAGGGTCTCCTGTCCGTCATTCAGTCAGTTCTCATTCGTTTGTTCAATCACTCGACTGGACATCCTCGAACTGATGGCTGTCTCAGATGGTTGAGCGCTTTGTGGGCTTTTTTTTCTAGAAGTTTTGTCGGGTACCTCGGCCAGTCTAAACAAGATACGATTATAATGTCTTCTCCATTGATTATTTTTCAGATTCTCAGAGCTTCCGGCTAGCAAAGGATACTGAACCCCAGGATCCAAAAGAGGGACCAAACGCGAGGACCCACTGTTCGACTTAATTGTCGACCTCTGCCAATATTAGCGCCATTGCTACTGCTGGGTGTGGGCGAATCTGCGCCCCGCCACCGGTAAGAATGTTCCGAGGCCCTCGGACGCCACTCGCATTTTATTCCACCTCGGCTTGGCTCTGGCACTCACCAAATAAGAAAACATAAAATAACCCAAATGCCACACACACGTACTGCTTGCTTCGCCTTCATCAACAAATTGCTTTTCGGTTTTCCATTTTCATCTTTTTGTTTCTCCGAGCTGGCTGGCTCACAGGACCTCTTTTGCATAAAACCGCACAAACTGCGCCGCAGGCGGAGATCAACATTATACACATACAGCTGAAAAGTTTCAAGTGGCTGTAGGCCTGCGAGCCGAACAATAAACACAAGCCGTCCTGCGTTTTGGCCACAAGTGTTTGACATTGTTGACATGGCCCAGTCCTCCCCGCTCCATCCCGCATTGATTTCTGGGCCACAAAGACCCTTGGAATATAATAGCCACTTTGCGTTGCCAGCTGAATGCAATTTCCCTCCAAACTGGCCATTGTCCTCGGCGTGCCATGTCCTTGCACCTGTTGCCAGCTCAGCCAGCCCGACTTCACCGCCATTCCGTTTAACGCTCTGCTCGTGTGCTTTCCTTAATTTAATTTAGTTTCAGTTTGAGTTTATTTTCACCTTAATTGCAACTCCTAATGGAATTTCAGTTTCACGTAACTTGACTCCTTCCGTCCTTCCGTTTTCAAACACACACTCACCATATTTCCCTATCAGCAAATGCATTTTCCACCTCTACTCCAGTTCAGGCAGTTCAGTAAGTGAAGAGTTCTGTAATCCGCTAAATGTGAAATGTACTAATCCTTTCAACCAGCCGACATATGAAATTTGAAATGAGCTTTCCTCCGACTTCAGCACACTACACCCCATCGCGGAGTGTAGTGTTTTTTACGATTTTTACCATCTTTCACTGTGAAAATTCCCATTCGAAGTGACTGTATCAAGCATACGCCCCGTGGCCGAGTGCTGAGACTCAACTCAATTAGGTTACTCGTATATTTATTTACCTATAAGTTTTGCGATGCTTTTACTGTATGCCTTAATGTTCAATGTCAATGTGCACCATTAACTATCAACTATAAACAACCAGAAACCAGTGAATGCCCTAAATTCAAAGCACTCTAAATACTCTCTAATTACCAAAAAGATATCGACAAGAATATCAACTCTATTGGTGTTTTCTGTACTCTTTTTAAAAGGAACCAAAAAGCAGCACCCTGAATTTCTCATCGTTCAAATCAAGCTTCACTTCCAATGTTAATTTCCTGAAGAGAAGGTAAAGACCTTAAAAATGGAAGTGCCCCCTGGAAGAAGGGGGCCCAGTTGAACGAAACTAATTTGAAATTTCATATGTTCTCCGTCTATTTCTCTCTCTCTCTCTCTGTCTCTCTTTCTCCGGCGAATCCATCCCCGGTTTTTCCCCCACCTTCCCCTCAATCACTATGCACCGACAATCTCACAACACCACCGAACCACTAACAGATTCAGCTCGGGAGACTTGTCTTCCGAGGTCGACGATGTCGACCCCAATAGCCTGCCGCCGGCGGCCCGACCCATCCAGGATCAGCCGACCAAGCCGCCGTCCGTTGGCGGTGGTGGTGGCGGAAGCGGTCCGCCAAACATGCCGCCTCCGCCGGCACCGGGCCAGCCAGCCGGCGCCGCTCCGGAGCTCTCGCTGAGCTTTGGCGCCGGCAAGGCTCCGCCCACCACCGCCGCCCCCGGGCCACCGCGGGGCGTGAGTGCGCCAACCAGCCCGGCCAAGTCCAGGGAAAGCCTGCTCCAGCGGGTGCAGAGCCTGACAGGCGCCGCCCGGGATCAGGGAGCTTCCATCTTAGGTACGGCTTCAGTCACACCGCGCCCTACACTCAGAGAAACAAAGTCATCCAGACATGTCGCATAAGATCTTCATAAACCAGAGTAATTTTCAGTAGATTGTAGTTTTCCAACTAAAATCGATTCCTTTCAGAGAACATTATCAGAAAATACTCTATTTTTGTTCCATAAATTAATAATTTAATTGAAAATGGAATTTTCTTTCAGGATTTATTATGACTTAGTAGCTATAAGATTTTAAGTTTTGAGTAACAAGGCAGAGTTTTTCTAAGGAAAATCTAAAATATTTCTTTAATGTTAAGTAGTCGGCTGTGACTTGATTTTCTGAGTGTAGGGACCTTTTGTTTTTCGGACGTGGTCTGCAATGTATCCCCTAATCTGTTCCACAACAGGAGCTGCGGTGCAGAGCGCCACCCAACGGGCGCCGACCTTCAACAAGGACAAGTACTTTACGCTCCTCGTTCTGGATGACCAGAACACGGACTGGTCCAAGTACTTCCGCGGCCGCCGGCTGCACGGTGACTTCGACATCCGCGTGGAGCAGGCCGAGTTCAGGGTGAGTAGCGGCCATTGCAAGGATCCTGCACAGACAATAATCGGGCTAATTACTGGTCCCTCTGCAGGACATTACGGTGGTGTCCAGCGCCGACACCGGACCGGTTGTCACCATGGCGGCCTATCGCAGTGGAACCCGGGTGAGTTATATAATGCACTCAGAAAAATTATTCAGTTTTGTGTGGCTTAAGTATTTCTTTAAAAGGATTTTTTTGTGTCTCAGCACAACAACCTATATTCATCGGTAGATCCCTTTTCCAAACAAAGTTGAATCTTTCTGAATTTATTTCCAAGTGTCTCTGTGTTTGCCTTTAATTAGTGCCATTGGTCGTAGTTCCGACCCAAGTATCTGTCCGGCTTTTATTATACCGAAGCACTCTAAAGCGTAATAGAGGCATTGGGAGTGACTGGCCAAGGCGAGGAACAATCCAATGTCCTGGGAACTCTTAAGAGCTGCCATTTGTCCGTGCCCCGTATTCTATATTCAGTATGTACGTAGCTCTGAGTCGGACACTCTGACACTCCGCCGCTCTATTTCCACTTGTTTATTTCCAGTCGTTTGTTCAATTTACGGGGCTGCTGTTGCAGTTTCGTGTGTCAGTGGCTGTAAAGGACACTTGTAGCTCAGCAAAAATAAAACAAATTTTATAGCTCGACAGAAAGCTAAATATGACACACTTGTTTCTGTCAAGGTAATGACTTTAAATTTTTATGAGAGATAAGAGTATTATGTTCTGTCATATCTAATGCATAAATATATTAAATAATGGCAGAAAACTAGTCGTATATAAAACATCTAATGAGAGAAAGCTTAATAAAGCCATACATTGTACAAGAATATATTAAGATCGCATGTTGAAGAACCGTAGCATACTTATAGGAGGCAGCTTACAGTTTTAGAGTAACTGCAAAGTAGCTTACCAGCTACTGCAAAGTAGCTGGCTTGATTTATTAAGATTTTTAATAATATTTAATCTTAAAACCCCCCCAAAGTTCAAACCCAAGTACTCTTTTTAGAAATCGTATATTTTCGCACTAAAAAACTACATGAAAATGCTTTGCGAGAGTTAAGCATTCTTAAATCTAGAGAACCCTTTCGTCCTTAACATTTCTTCTTCTCAACGCACAATACAGGTGGCGCGCTCCTTCCGGCCGGACTTTGTGTTGATTCGCCAGCCTCCGCGCGATGGATCCAGCGACTTCCGCTCCACAATCCTGGGCCTGAAGTACGGCGGAGTGCCCAGCATCAACTCGCTGCACTCAATCTACCAGTTCCAGGTAAGGCTCCGATCCATCCCAACTTGCAGATGTTTCTCATATATATATTTCTTCTCTTCTCTTGTTAAGGACAAACCCTGGGTATTCTCGCACCTGTTGCAGCTGCAACGCCGCCTGGGACGCGACGGCTTTCCACTGATCGAGCAGACCTTCTTCCCCAATCCACGGGATCTGGTAAGCTCCACGTTAAGAATTAAGGTCTAGGCACTAATTAAGTAGCTGCTCGAGCCGGTTACATTTTCGTCAAAAAGCATCAATTAATAAATAACACATTAGCATAACGTACGTATTAAAGCTCTAGATACAGATAGAGAAACGATAGCATATAACAAGGGAGGGAGGGATTCGGGGGAGTATCCCCGACACGACCCTCCGTTTACGGCTCGCTCATGCACTTTCTGTAGAGCTGCGTGCGCCGCCAGCGGCAGCGGGAGATGCTACCGTTCGCGGTCTGCACCACGTGGGGCATGCAGGCACTGTAGTTCGTCTCGCACCTTCCGAAGGGCGACCATTGGCACGAGTCCGCGTAGTGGCGGCGGTTCAGGCAGTTGTTTTTGAAGCAGGGCTTGGCCTGAAAGGGTTGAATATTAAGGATTTTCTTACGATATCATCAAAGTTGAAAGCCTACCTCGCAACTACAGCTCTTGGCGTAGCCACCGCTGAAGCCGTGGCGCTCCGTGATGGTCATCTTGGTGTACTCCTTGTAGTAGTGGCACACGTTCAGGGCCGGCATGCGTCCCGCCACTATATACACCCTGCCGATGTCCAGGCTTATGCCGCACATGCCGTCATCCCGGGGCGTGGCCAGTCGGCCATCTCGCAGCATTCGCCGGGCCTCAGGAGTCGCCTTTAATAATCATAGCTCGTTAAAAGAAATCTCTAAAGAATTTAAAAGAAATTCCAGCTCACCTTGTAGGTCCTCTTGATGTGTACTTTGTATGTGGTCTTGCCCGGTTCGATGGTGTTTGATTTGCGCAGAACTCGCAGTTGCACAACTGTTGGCGAAATATGGCAGCGATTTATTTATTGGATTCCCCGGAGTCTGAACCTCATAACCCAGTATTACTCACCGTAGTCTGCCTGGCAGAAGTGCGTTTGTGGGTGGGAGGGCATGCAGGAGCAGGCGTCAGCCGGGCGCCCGTACAGAGCCAGGATGGTGGCCAGGACGAGCGTCCATAAACCCAAATGCTTTCTAAAATCCATGGCTGTGCTCTCTGTAGGAGCAGATAAAATGGCCTTTCTGGAGTCACTGAAGTAAGAGAGGATGCGCGGGAAAGTGAGATTACTTTTTTTACGGCAACGACAATGATTTAATGGGAAAACTCGTATAATGGGCTATCACGGCGGACTGAAGGTCACTGAAAGTTTAATTATCTCTGTCGTACTTATGTCATTCCCGCAGCGGGTTATCAGTGGAGGACAGCAGAAGGCAGGCAGGCAGGAGCCGTCAGACAGCAGCCTTCCTTCAATCCAGCCATCAATCCTCTGCTCCATTATGCATTTAATATATTACACATACGCCCTGTGTGACGGCAATTAATCCCGCCTGCTGTCACAAACACGCATACCCAAGTCGGGCTCGTCATTATCGCACTCTTTCTTGTGCCATAAATTGAGGACTTTTCTGCGCCTTCAACGAAATGTTTTCCCATTCGGCAGTCAATTTGGAATGCATAAATCTAGAAAAGTAGTTCAATTGCCGGAGCGCTTCAATTGAAAATTGTTTATGGGGGAAATTCATAGAAAAACTTGAGACGCGCACAAATCGAAATCGAAATCCATTACAGAACGGCCGCCGTACCCCCACACACGTTGCTATATTTTAACGCAGAAATATTGTATAATATGGAGCGTGGCCCGGCCGGGGCCGGCAATCAGCTTCGAACTGCACTGGCTCATCGAACTGATCGGCGCAGATAGGCGGCCCGAGTCCATATACATATACTTGTACGTCTACGGCTATCTATCCGTCCATCCTCCCCCTGAGAGTCCCAGTTCCCGCTCCGTCGGCTCGCCAGCAACCCGGCAGCAATGTGGCAATTAAATCGAAATAAAATTGAATTAAAAGCATTTTGCGGAAAAGCCACTATAGAAGCATACGCACACAGAGGCGTGGGTTGTGGGGGCAAGACTGCATGTGCTGATGGGGAAGCAGGGGCAGGGCTATTGATTGAATGCAGCAAGCAAGCAGGAGTAATGCATCAAACTATTTATTAAGTGGCAGCCCAAGTGGCGGCCAGACGAGCAGGCGCGCTGACTAATGGGATAAACTGGAGCACACACTGCGAGAAATTCGGTAATGGCGGGTAATTAGCCTCTATCGTGGACCAGACTCAATAGCAGGCTTTTGGAGCACATTTCCCCTCAGTGAAGACAAATATAGACACCCAAGCACAGTGTTGGTGTCGTAATGTCATGAGAATTTGTGCGGCGCTGAAGGAAAGCTCCCTTCATGTTTGCACGGCTTTTCTTTTCCTGACGGCTGTGACACTTTGCCCGGCAATTAACGGCTCGGATTTGTTTAACAAACAGGCCGACAACAACTAGCACCGGCACAGAAAAAAAAACTAAAGAAACAACAAACAAACAAGCTAGGCAACAAAAAGTGGCACACAGATCGAAAACGTCATCGGCGTTTCGCAGATAAATCAACTCGAGAGCAAGAAAAGCGTTTCAGAGGCGATGAAAATTCGCACGATTCGGTGCACGGTGCCTGGCCTGGTGGCTGGTGCCTGTTGCCTGGTGCACAGTCCCCCGTCAGGGCCTATTCGTATATCCATTTAGATATATGCACCCGTGGCTGAATGCACAATTAGCGTGGCCATATATCAAGGCATAGTTTAGAGCCGGCCGGAGCGACTTTTTCGGGGGAGCTCGCTCCCCGTGTTTGTTGACAAGCTTAACACATGTCAATTATTTGTTATATATTATGGCACACGGCGGCCAGTGGCAGAGTGCCGTTCGTGCGGCATTTGACGTCACTTCACGCCTCGGCCAATTGACACAGTTGCCAGTCCTCCTCCCCGGCTCTTGGGCCTCCATGTGTGTCGTCATCATCATGTCATCGATGCTGACATTTGACACTGGGCCACTCACTGGCTGATCAGTCGCTCGGTTTCATTTTTCAGCCAATTATGCGGGCCACCACCAGTCGCATCAACAAGTAAACAATTTCGAAAGATATTAAGTCAAATATCGGCTCGAGACTCGAGTTCAATTAGCATTGATTTCCACTTAGCCCTTCGGCCACTTAAGTTTGTTAAAAAAGGCTGTTACGAGCCCTGATAGAATGTGGTATACTCTATAGACGAAAGATATCACATGTGTCATGTAAAAATATAGACTAGTGACTGCACCTTCTGAGTCAGAACTTCTGACATAGGATCTGAGTGCTTACAAGACTAGTCAAGTAAGCAAATAATGCAATAAAAGTGAATACCCCAAATAAACAAATTTAAGCTATACCCTTGCATTCCAATTCCAGTGACAATGTCCGCCGCTTACAATTTGTGGGCCTGAAACGCGGCTACTGCTCCGTGAAATTTAAATCGCTTCCAAGAGCATCAACAATTTAAAACGATGCAAATTTTATGATTAACACTTTGGGCTGAAAAGCAGAAAGCCGGACAGACCAAGCCGAAAAGAGAGAGATTACCCAGGTGAATTGAAAGGGACTTCCTAGGGTCAGACATCAAAAAAGGCCACAAAGCCCGCAGTTGAAAAGCGGCCAGAGCGGATGAGCTGGGGATTCTTGGGCTTTTGGCAAAGCCGCATAATTAACGCGATTTTGGTTACTGTTTTTTCAGAGTTTTCCCAAAGCGAGTAGCAAATCTGGAAATGGCCACAGCCAGCTACCCGCTAGAAGCAATGAGTTTGGTTTTGGTTTACGAGCACTTAATCGGGCCATTAATATCGGCCTAATGTGGGGTAATATGTGAAGTCCCACTTCAGCTCAACAATAGGGCGAATGCATCGCCATAAAACCGTATTTATAGCTCTCGGATCGGCGCACTCTCCAATTTACGAGGTTTGATATTTTGCGCCTTCAACAGAGCCCTAAAGCCATTTCCAGTCGGCTTGGATCGCTTTTCTGGGGATCAGTTTCCAGTGAGCCGAGCTAGCAATTGTCTACTTAGTGATTTATGATATCATCAGAAAGGATTTTTAGGTCATCTCTTATCTGATTTCGCTGAGATAAGACAACTTGCAAAAGTGTCTTGAGAAAATATCTAAAATTCCACTAGTAATCGCTGAAACTCAAAATATGTAAAGCATTTTCGAGTGCTTTATGGTTTTTAGCGGTCATTTACTTTTCGATATTGTGCTTTGTGGCACTTCGTTTCTGATATTGTTTGCTTTAGTTTGCTGATTGACTTTCTAAACAGTCGGGATGGGGGCTCGCTGGGGAACCTAAACTGCGCAGTTTTGCATTGGAATTTTCGAACTGGCGACCGATATTACAACGAGATGATGTCACTTTTTGCACAACCTATCAGTAGAGTCTCCGATAACAAACAACAAACAAACTGTCTAGTCTGCCCGGCAGCTGGGAAAGGTACCCTGTGCAGGCACTGCATTTTCGCCAATTTTCATAACGATGCTGGCCAACTTTCTTTGGCCGGCGGCATCCGCTGACTTTGTCGGCACAGGCACAGGTCTTGCAACAATGAAGCAAAATTAAAGGGGAAATATCAAAGTCACGATCTATGGGGAGTCACAGGTCCATACAGAGCCACCATCAGGGGAACAAAGGAGGCCGGCGCTGACTATTTTGATTAATGCCGCTTGATCTCTGACCGGACAAAGATTTAAAATGTCCGAGGTGCCCCGGTACCAGAGATAAGATCCATCTATTGGCCCTTACACGGCACTAGACGACACCTTACACCCGAGAGTGCTTCGCAATCCGAGATCTGAGCTGATAAGAAGCTGGTGGAAGTCTAGAAGCTGGTGGCTGCTAATTGAGTCGCCACGAGATGACAGCTCCACTCAGGTGTGTCGAAACCCAGACCCGGCCCGGGCCCAACTATGCCCGGAATGTTTATTGCCTTTTATGCATCATTAATTCATGCACAAGTATGCCAGCCGTCGATGGCAGTCGCACAGTACGTACGATGGCATCATTGCGCCCAAAATAAGTCTCTCCTCAGTGCAGTCAGGGTCGTCTCAGGCGAAGGGGTCTTCGTCCTCGGCTGAAAAACAAACAGAATCTGCCAAATACCGAAACAGTTTCTGCCCAAATTCGTCATCTCGGTGGTTTCTCTTTGGAGCAAAATCAAAAAGCGAAACAGTCACAGTTCCGATTTTTGACACAAGTCTTGCAAGAAAATAAACAAAAACGTCATTCAGGACTCAATTAAAAAGGCTAATGTTTCGAGAGGGTAAACAAATTCCTATATGGGGGTCTCAGATTGCATTGGCAGGTCATAAAAATATAAATTTTTAATGAGCAGAAACCAAGGATGGCACTTAAAGAAATCCAACTAAACAAAGTTTGAAATCATGCTATACAAGTCTATATAAATATATGATTCACAGTTTTCTTAGAACTTATAGGCCATATTGTGCGAATTATTCGTAAAATAATATAAACTGTTTCTGTTGCCAAAATCCACAAAATGAAGCCTTTTTTTTCAAGTGCTTGAGGGCATAAAAGTCCGCAAAGTAAACATTTGTGTGTTTGCCTTTATGCAGCAAATAATAATTGCGACTCATAACGAATGCAGTCCAAACCCGACCCCGAGCACAATGGACTCCAGTGTGGGCTCACGTTTCATTATCAAATTGCTGCATTAGCATAAAAATCAATAAGTCAAACCGGCTGACAGCTCAATTAAATATTAAAGCCGACTTTTCGACGAGCAGGCTGATTTGTGATTTGTGTGTGCCTTCAGAATTTGAAACCTTGGCGGGTCTGGTTAGGAGAAATTAATGAAGGGACAAGACGGCCTCACACCGCCAAAGTCGTCTGACAGACTCCGGGACTCAAAAGGCCAAAATCATCGCCGATAAATTGCCGGCTGACTTGTGAAATTTACGCAACAACCTCAGGAGTGGGGGCAGAATTATTAATGGAGGGAACGCCAAGCTCTTTGTCGCGGCTCGTGCATTTCTTCTTAATTGTACAATAATATTTAATTGCAATATTTGCCCAGCGACGTTATTAATGGCGAACATGAGTGTTTCGGGAGGATAAGCCAAAAGTGGCCGAAAGCGGGCAGTGTGTGGTGGGTGTGTCGGCAAAAGCCAGGCAAGTGTGAACGAATAAACAATCTCTGGATCTGTACCGGCACCCGAATATGGCAAGAGTCTGCCAGACTTTTTTGGAGCTCATATCTTTAAAGCCGCGACAAATAAGGCGAATTGAACGATGTGCCAGGGAACAGTCGACTGGCTTGACAATATTATTCGAAATGTGAATCGATTGGCGAAGTCATAGTGGAGCATTACATTCTCGGAATGGCTGAAATAGGCTGAGTAGGTAACCGGGTTGCCTTTTTACACAACCGGCTGGCCAGAGTCTGCCTGCTGTTGCGGTTGAGGTGGTTTCGGAGGCGCCATATGGTGATCGAAGCCGGGTAGACCCAACCTGGCAACACAACAAAATAAGGTTGGGAAAATCAACAATAGCTCCTCATTATCTGCCTGTCACGATGCAAAATGGGTTACTCAAACAGATTTCTTTCGGGTCAGTTCCCGGTGGAATTTAAAAAAGGCAAACGCCAATTGCTAATAAAGTAAAGTCAAAATGCAAAATGCGGCAAGTGCCTGGAAGCACGTTTAAGATCTGCCAATCCACAACAAAGCCAATAAGCCAAAGTCAAATGAAGGAAAAATGATTATGAGCAGTGGGGCGACGTCGGTGTCGTGTCCATGTCCATGTCCGTGTCAGGAGAAAAGACAATGGCACCGACATGTGGGAAAATGGAAAAGCACTTGAAGTGCATTTTCACCCCGTTCGCCCCCAGGGGAGGAGATCTTCCTATAAACTTTATGGCTTGTTTGTGGCCGGACCCGAATTTTTTGATGGCCCCAGCATATTTTTAGACATCAAATGGCCAATGCCAAAACACAAAACACACATGACGTATACGTGATGTGGAAAAACCAGCGCTTTCCTTGACATCCAGCCGACTTTTATTTAGATCGGTGTATAGGAGGAGGTGTATAGCCGATCGGACGACATTGCACAACAAACACACAGCGTGTATATTTTTAATGGCTGCAGTTTGTTTACAAATTGGCGACATTAAAAACTATTAAGGCGAACTGAGCTGGGCAGCGGCGCGGAGGACAGATAAAAAATAAAAACAAATTATAAATAAACGCAAATAAATAGACGGGAGTGCAGCTGTGTGCGTGCCGTGGATGGAAAACTGTGTCGCCGTGTCAGCGCCGCGCGATTTAAATAGCCCGAAAAACGCGCGTTTTGCATGCCTTTCTGAGGCTTTTGAGTTCCAAATGCAAATCCCAACTTTGCATTCCATGTGGGTTCGGGGGGCTATTTTACCTTGGTTAACACTTGAACCCGAAATCGGTGTTCCGCAAACAGTGGAATCGCGGAAATCTTCAGGAATGTATTTTCACTGGCAAATCGCAAGGCACTCGCACTGGATCTCACATATACTTTTCAGCCCGGGGCCGCGCGTTTCCTCCGTCCGTGGCGACTTTTGTATCTTCGCGTGCCGTTCTGCACTGAATCGCCAAGTCGAGCGATCCGTCGGTTTTCTTAAACGAAGCCGAATCGCCTCCCAAACTCACTCAAGTCGTTCGGCTCGGGAAAGCAGGCCCGTTCTCCCGATCGTCAGAGCGTCTCGGGCCCCCAAATCTTTGAGTAAATTCTCCAGCTCTCGAGTGGAAAGCTCTCAGTGCAGCTAGCTATCGAGTAGATTGCATTATTTTACCTTGGCAGCTTTATTAATTGCGTGCAGGGGTCTTGTTTATGCTCTCGGGCTGTGGAATAAATATGGGATATAGCCAGCATAGCCAGCCATACGAATCCACATCCACCGGGTACTTGGCGCCGCAGCAGAGGAGATCGCAGAGAGGCAGCGTTGCATCGCCACACGAAACCGCACAGAAAATAGCGCATCTGTCAGGCCGCAAATCAACTAATAACCCGGCTATTCATATACGTACTATGTACCTATTCATTTGTTAGTGGCTATGGCGATCCACTTCCACTTCCTATCTCTGGCCATGTGGCGCACACACGTGCTGCAACTGCTGCTGGTGCTGCTCTGGTCATGCTTCATGCTTCATAGTTCATGCTCCACCTACAGCACGTTGCCATAATCTGCATACCGACCAGCTAACGCCACCGCACCGTGGATGCACTTGGGGAAAATATTTCAACTTGGTAGTTGGTACTCCCCTTCATGTGATCGAATATGGGATCTAAGATAACCCTTTAATATTAAAATATTCACCGTTTAGTGTATTTATGCCTTCTCTTGTAAACTTGTAAATTAATGTAATATTTGACTAGCTCATTTTCGTGGAAGTTTTCCTTCAGTGTACACTGATATGGCCACTCAAGCAAGTCACCCCCCCGCAACACTGGTCCCCCTTGAGGGCGTTGCGGATGCGTCACAGTGCATATTTTAGGGCCGCTGATATAACCATGTATCGAGAAGATACACATTTCCGAAGAGTGGAGAGTGGCGGTGGGAGGTCGAATCAGACGACCGCCACTCGGGCGGAAAACGTAGCATCTTCCAAGAACTCCCGCCTAGTGGGGGTGTGACGTCGACGATAATGATCGCATATCTGCACATATAGACTATATAGTATAGTACCCACATCCATCGCCGATCCATTCATTGAGAAACACTTTCTCGACTGCTCCTCACTCGTCGCGGCACTTGCGACAATTCTTTCAGCTGCGTCATAGTTTGTTGTGGATTTTCATTCTCCGAGCTTTTATTTCATATTTTTTATTTTTATTCATGAGCCAAATTAAGCCCATGTGTTTACTAATGATTTATCAGCTGTTTAAATGGGCCTCGGCCGGGATGATTAACAAGGGTGATCTGCTATCGGTTTACAATGTTTAAATATAATGCCATGAGCAATGCCTAAGAATTATTAATTATTGACAATCACATGTTTGGAGGCGGGCTGGGCCTCACTTATTTAATAAGAATTTGCATACGGAAAGGAATTTTAAATAGGCACACATAGCCTGACTAATCAGTGATTCTGGGAAATCATTCAGCATTTCCACGGTCAGGTTCCTAATCGGAACTCGAGCAATCACAACAGAGGAAACAGAATTTGGCATTTATCCAACGGATTAATAAGCGATGCCCGTGATTTTTGCAGCAAATATGATGAGGGAAAAAGCTAAAAGTGCTTCTCGAGTGCCCTCATCGGCAACACAATAATTTATAGAATCCAAGGCTATCGGAGGGCCAGCTTTTCACTTCCCAATCTTAGGAAATAAAAAAGGGTCAGAAAACCTTAATTTTGTGCTATCCCTATCCTATTGCTAAGTTTTCCCTCAAAAGCCAAAAAGTAAAAATATTCATTCTGTTCTGTTTCAGTTCCAGTTCACCAAGTTCCCTAGCGTTCTGAAGGCTGGACACTGCCACGGCGGAGTGGCCACCGCCCGACTGGAGAACCAGAGCGCCCTGCAAGACGCCGCTGGGCTGGTGAGCGGCGCCGGCAACGATTCCCACTGCTACTGCACAATTGAGCCCTACATCGACGCCAAGTTCAGCGTGCACATCCAGAAGATTGGCAACAACTACAAGGCATTCATGTAAGTGACCGCACCGACCGCAGACGGCCCTGTATTGGCCACAATGCGGATGGCCGAGTGGAGTGGTGGCGTCTCCGACCTTGAGCCCTCGACTGCAACTGTCAGCAGACAAAAGCCGCCGCTTGGCTTTCAATTGGCAATTATTCTGGCTCGGCGGCGGGTTCATTGTTTGCCAACCGAATTGCAACGGGTTCAAAGATCTGCCTACCACTGCCCTCCACCTTCCGCGGTGGATCCCCATTATCTACGCTCTTTTAGCGGCTTAATTTATTGCCCTCCGCTCTGCTCTGCTTTGCTTTTCAACAGGCGCAAATCCATCACCGGCAATTGGAAGACCAATCAGGGCTCCGCCATGCTGGAGCAAATCACCTTAACCGAGAAGTACAAAAGCTGGGTGGATGAGGTAAGTCTTCTCAAGCCTGGACTCTGGATTCCGGGCCACTAAATCAAAGGGGAACCGATTTCAATTAATAAGCCGCCCGTGGCGACTGTTTTATGCAAAAAGAGACAATGAAAACTCGCTTATAAATAAAACTAATTCATTGTGAAGCTTTTTAGATTGGTTTAATGTAGCTAGTGATTTGTCTTTACCCATGAAACCAAGGGAATTCCTGCCCCAAAATCCAGAGCACACATTACCGTTAAGGCCTGAAACTTAAAGCCCCAGCATGGAGACCAGAGCTGCCTTTCTTAGCCCAACTCGGTTCACATTTATCAAATTTGGCCAATCAATATTGCTAAGGAAAATCGCTTTAAATTACGTGCGGCATTTTGGGTGCACAATTTTGATTTCTGCCGCAGGGGCGACAAAGGCAAAGGCCCAGGCTCCAGCTCAGGCCCAGACATAGGCCAGGCTACGGCATTCATAATACTCCACTGACGTCAATCGAGACGGCTGCCCTCCAGCGTCGGCTTTGCTTTAATTAGAGCTCATGAATATGCAAATTCGGCTAAACGGCAAGTACAGTTAAATAGTCAATCGGATTTGGCCGCCAATAAGTTGGCTAGAACGGCAGTTGGCGTAGGAAACAATTTCAGGCAGCCGCCTCATAATGGCCTGATGATGGGAAGGCCTTTTCCGATACATGGGAACTCCATCAGTAGTGGCATTCCGTCAGCTGGGGTTCCTTCGAGTCGCGACTGACTCACCCCGCGTTGGAGGTTGTGGCATATGTGCATTAATTAATTGTTGATTTACTGGCGCAAATATTTCTCATTTATTCGATAAGGTGGCAGCAGTTTTCCTGAACACTGCAGAGCAAGAAATGTCTTAGAAATGTGTGTTTCATTCTTAATGGCAACTAGTCCAGTTCACCTTCCTTCACCGTCCACCTTAGCTTCTTTGGTTGTAGAAACCTCTTCCTGATTAAAGTAAATCATTGCATAACTCAATCAGACTTTGTCTCAGTGCACACGTAAGTGGGTGGGACTTCAACGTCGACGACGTCAGCGCTTTTCTAGGCAAGTCCGAATCAGCCTCCATATCAACATCGGCATTAGCGTTAGCGTTAGCTTGAGCTTTAATCAAAACAAACTGTGTAATTAAAACCGGCACTGCGACTGGCGGAAGCCCACACAGAAATGTTTGATTGCGAATCAGACTCCTCCCCTCAGCCCTCTGCCGCCTTGGGAATGCGCTTGAATCAAAAACACATTTTGGGGTCATGACTCAATCGCAGTTCTAATCGCCGCCATCCGGGAAATTTTTCAGATATCGGAGCTCTTTGGCGGCATGGAAGTATGCGGCCTGTCCGTGGTGGTGGCCAAGGATGGGCGCGAGTACATCATCAGCGCCTGCGACAGCACCTTCGCCCTGATCGGTGACACCCAGGAGGAGGATCGCCGCCAGATCGCTGACTTGGTCTCGGGACGGATGCAGGTAAGCAGGGATTCGAGCAACCCATAAGACCTTCAAGATCTATATATGTCCTTCATACACTTTTCAGAACGTTTGCCGTCCCAGCATGGCTCAGACCGGACCCGGCAAGCTGCCCTCCCGCTCTTCGGTGTCTTCGCGCGCCGAGAGCCCCACTGACGAGAGCATTGCCCCCACTCCGCCTCTTCCGGCCGGCCCTCGCCCGGCACCCATGGGCGGCCCGCCGCCGATTCCCGAGCGCACCTCCCCAGCCGTGGGCTCCATCGGACGGCTTAGCAGCCGCAGCAGCATCTCGGAACTGCCGGAGGAGCCTTCCTCCTCGGGCCCCAGCACTGTGGGCGGTGTGCGCCGCGACTCTCAGACCTCGCAGGCCTCGAGCATCTCCTCGGCCTCGCGGGTGGGCCAGAGGCCGCCCCAGAGCCAGACCTCGGTCGTAGAGGATGCCGAGGACACCATGAAGAACCTGAGGAAGACCTTCGCAGGCATATTCGGGGACATGTAGGAAATCGCTAACAAGAAGCGCGGCAGGACGGCGAGCGAGACGAGCAGCGGCCCGGGCAGTGTACCCGGAAGCGCCGGACCGGGGACTGGGGGATTTAGTGGCTCCTTCCTCGGTAAGCAGTTCTCGTTCGCCAGCAAGACAGGCGCAGGTGCGGGCGAGGGGGTAATATCTACCCAGCCGACCCGTCCCAGCGAAGAACCACCTGCCGTGCCCGGAGAGGCTCCGCCGGGCAGCAGCGTTTCGGATAGCGGTTTAAAAAACACGGATACGGACAGAGCCGGCTACCAGCCAGTGACCAACTTTGAACCCCAGGAGAGGGTCAACCCGTTCGACAAGGACCCGCACAAGTCGCAGAGTGCGGCCAGCATCAACACCACCACCTCGTCATCCTCATCGATGTCATCCTCGTCTATCTCGTCGAGAGTCAATCGGAACGGTAATGCGATGAAGTCACCGCCACCCCCGACAGGACCTCCGCCGCCGCCTCCTACCCATAGCGGTGGCTACAGGAACAGCTTCAGCAGCTCCCTGAGCAAGGACAAGACCAGCTACGGCAACTACGGGAGCAACACCTCGGTGGAAACCATCACCAGGATGGACACCACCAACACAGGCGCCCCAACGATCACAGAGGCCAACGGGGTGACAGCCATAACCAACATCAGCAATAGCGGCGTGGGATCGGGAACCGGACCAGGATCAGTGGGAGAGACTGCTCCGGCCATTGGAACCATCACCACATCGGTGACCACCAACGACTGGCGGTCGGCCATCGGAATGCGATCGGCCAGCGTTTACAGCGCCCCGGCAGCAGTGACCACGACTGGAGCCCTGCCCGGAGACACCTCCGGGTACGACTCGAACTCCATAGCCTCCCAGGGCGCAGGATACAACAACCCCAGCGACCTGCCGTCGTACACACGGCCCTCGTACTCCCGCTCCGAGAGCAATGGTAATTATTTAGCCGTCGGCGTCCTCCTCGTCAGCCTGACGCTCCGAAAGACCTGAGCGCTCCACCTCCATCTACCAAATATATATATATCATGCCATTTAATCTCATATATCGTACTAATCAGCTACACCCCATTAATACGTACTTATACGAGTGTAAGAAGATCGATTTTAGCCTAGCAACCTAGCCAACCTAGCCAAGTAGGCAGCCGTGTCAAAAAGCCGCGTTAGCCAAATTAGTTCCCTAGCCAATAACGTTTTCCTTTTCCAACTCAAGCCAAGCTCAAAGAGTAAGCCAAATATTACGTATACGACAAGTCAGCCGCTCGAGTGTTTGTAAGTCTCCTTGAAAAAACCAACCAATCGCTTGCCTGCACACACTCCACCCAACAGACAGTACAGACAGTTCAGTACAGCTACAGCTACAGTACACACTCGCTAGAGTGCACCGCCACCTGAGTTTAGTTCTGGCTTCTGGGCACGCAACGATAACCAAAGGAAAACGAATGATACCCCATGATACCCTACATAGTACATTCACACCACAAGAGTAACAACAGCTTTTAGATCAACAAAATTCGTTAGTCATATAAGTGCAACCCTTTAATTTCTAGTCTGTGTGTGTGTAAGCGTAACCCGGAATAAAATGCAGAGTTATCAAAATACGAGCCTCGGAAAACCCCTATCGAACAGCTCTCCGATCCTAGCATTTCAAAATTATCCATTATCATCCACTCATGGAGAAAGCCTGTTTTTGGTAACGCTCATTTTGCTCATTCCTCATCACTCCAGTCGCAATATTAAAATAGACACTTAAACGGTTGAAAGAGGAACCCACCTATAGGAAAGTGTTATAAAGTTTCAATCAGAAATTGGTGTCAAGGGACCTCTTTCAGCCGTCTCTTTCATAAAAACTCCATTGGCCTACGTAGTGCTAACAACAAGTGCTCCTAATCGCACCCACGCCAAATTGATGTGCACCCTTCATAATTTTCTAAATAATAGAGATACTAAAGATCGAACCCATTCGCTTTTTCAGCCTCCAAGCAGTCCGATCTCGACGTCATCTTCGGCGACACCAAGACCACCCCGATCTCCTACGGAAACGGCAAGTACACCCGGGCAGCTGGATCGCTTTCGGACGCTGACATGATCTTCGGGGGACCGCCCTCGAACTACAAGAGCGACCGCTTCGGGGCCGCCAAGAGCATGAGCATGAGCTCCAGCGGAGTGGGCGGATCCGGCAACGGGTCGGGCAGTTACAAGATCTACGACGGCATCCAGAATGCGGCATTCAGCGATTTCAGCGACTCGGGCAGTGTGAGCAGCATGGGTTCGAACAGCAAGCGCTGGAGCAGCCACAACAAGGAGGAGGACGACGAGCTGGACTTGAAGTAGAACCATCAGACCCAACACACACATTGAACTATAAACATTCGCGAGAATCTATCTGTTTTCTGCCTCTGAAGTTTCCTGGTTTCATGGGACTCACTCATTTGAAGCATCAACCTTACGTTACTATCTATGTATTCATCTATCTATGTATCTATCTAAACTCAGACTATACTCATTCTTGCAACTTCAGTTGCCACTCACGAGAAGCGAAAGCAGAAGATGCTATTTAGGACACACTGTAGTACTGTACACTACTAACATATAATTATAACCACCAATGCCACAACAATAATGCAACAGCCCCTATTTGTGTAGAGCCATGTGCGAAATGACTTGACTGGTTTTGCAGCATGACAGAAAATGAAGAATGAATTAAGAAAGAGGACTATTTAATTACCACTCTTGAACATTTTGAACGAAGGTATATATATATATTAAATATATTATTGAGACAGATATTGATATTATATAGCAGCATATATTAAACCAATTGAACGTTGACGTAAAGTATTCATTTTTATGAGAAGAACTTTTAATAAATCGAACTATTAATGAATCTGTTATATACCAACATGAGACACGTATGAAATCCTAAAACTATAAAATAAAAGACAATATAAGCAAAAGTTTAAAGAAGCAAGCGTTTAACACTAATATATATGCGATATTAATGTATTTGGAAATTACTATGAGCAAATGTTACATACCCAACACAGAACACAGCTACTCACACAAATTAAATGTTTACCACAAATATTATGATTATTATTACGTATTAGCGTTAATGTTTGCGGCAGATATGCGGCAGGAAGATATATATTATATGGATGAGGACATGGAGAGGAGAAGGCAGTACCGGGCATTATGACAAGCAATGTTAGTCTAGGAAGAACCATAACGAACCAAACATATTCGAAGACCCTTCGGGGTCTCTATAGGACGGCTTAGTCGGTACAGAAGAGCTGGAGCGGAAAGTTAGATAATTGCATAAACAAATATTTATAATTGTTGCGAGCGACAACAACGAAGTCACATTGAATAACTGAAGATATTATTTAGCAAAATGTTCGTTCTGTTACGCACATGTGAGAGCATTATTTAGAGCAATAGCCAATTTATTGAACGTTATTAGACACGAGATCATTTCCTCTGGGTTGTATTCCTCTTCGATTTTATCCAATAACGGCATGAGGATTTTAAGGATAATTGTTAATTTGTACTATTACTCCCTCGATTTTAGTAGAGTTTTACTTAAAGACAATTTTACAACTACTATACGCAAAACATTCTGTTTTCGGTTAGTCACTTTGTCATCCTATCGTCTATATACAAATATATATATATATGAAATATTGTAATTGTAAGGAATCTCTTTGGCTACAAGTACTTTCGTCAACGTATCATCATCATTTGAACCAACCGGCACATATTCACGCAATGTTTTATAAACATATACACTTATAGCGACAAGTTAGAACGAAAAGTACACAAATATATACAGGCATCACCCCACATACCATATATCTCGACGAAGAACAGTTTACACCCCATAACGATATCATGCATCAAAGTGCTGAAAAAATACTCGTAAATTGAAATTCAAACGAAATACTCAAGCATAAAGCGTATAACTTACACACGACTTCTAATCTGTTACAAAATAAATACCGAAATAAATACTCGTATTATTGTGAAAGTAAAGTAAAGTTGTATGTATTTATATGTTGTCCGTAATTGATTCAGATGGTGGGCCCTCGCCCTTCCCCTTCCCAGCCATAAATCGGCAACCACATATGTGTGAGTGGGTGCACTCTTGCTTATTCCGATGAAACCCAAAGTATCAACAAATGAGCTGACGAATGATTCAAGAGCCACTCAATTGCCTCAATCCACTCTTCCACGCACAATTTCGCGTGCGTTTACCTGCGGAATAGAGTTAGCATTGACATTAGCCAAGTTAGCCTGCTCTAATCCTTCGGCCGGAAAAACGCCGGCTGCCAATTTCAGGCTAATGACACCAGGAAAAACACTCTCGCTCGCGGAAAGCGAATCTCTACCTGCCAAGGCGGAACCCTCGGCGACAGACATAAAAGACGGGCCCCTATCGCAGCACCGAACTAGTCTTCAGTCACGACACCTTTACCACGGACCGTAAACCATGTCACAGCCGTGCTGGAATTATCTAATCTTCCTCGGGACGTGCTTCCTCTGCCTCGTAGGCCTTTCGCAGGCAGCCAGCTACCAGCTGCAGACATACGACGTGGAGGGCAACGCGGGCATCGAAAGTATGACGAACGACACGGAAGGATATCCCCAAGGAGCGGTAACCTATCTGGAGAAGCCATTTTCCTGGTTACGGAACGCCCAGAGTATGTTCGGGAGCCCTGCCGGGCACGTCGTTATACAGGTCGCCAAGGAGCTGATCCACCGGTCGGCTGGAAATAGCCAGGTTCTAAGTCTCAACCTCACCAATCTACTCATCATAGTTCTGCTCAAGGTCCTGATCTTCTCTGCCGGAATGCTGGGCGCTGGACACTGGAGTGGCTATGGATATGGCTACGGCCGCGGCTCCACTGGACGCAGTGACAGCGACTTTGGTCTTGGGCTGCACTCTGGAGATGATTACATGATAACAGGGTTCCTGGCCGCCCAGGGAGCGGGTCGGGACGAGTGTCTCTATGCGGCGAGCTGCGCGTGCCCCACGGCGGCCTACGAATATGCCAAGGCAGGACGTGCTCTTCTAGGAGCCATTGAGGTGTTCGAAGGGTAAGGTTTAGACAGAAAATCAAACCATCTAGTGCTTTATACAACCCATCTTCCCAGGGCTCCTCTGGAAAAACCACGGTACAATGACCTGATTGTTCTAATGGAGAAAGCCGCCTACGATGGCTTCCGGGGAGTGGCCTGCAACACCACGGAGACTTGCGACGGGCTGCTTTGAAATTCCTAAGTTTTATATCTAGACCCTTCTTGATGGAGTCTCTAAAAGTATAATCCATCCATTGCGCTTTTTGGAGAATTCAGATCAAATACTTTTCCAAAGTGAAGTTCATTTGACTGTTTCGCCTAAAAGTTTGCAATGATCTCATTTCCCACGTTGTACTTTCAGATATTCCATCAAGGGAGCCTTCCTTGAGTAAAACTACTATTTATGTATCTATTAAATGTATATTAAATTAGATTGTAGTACAAACAAATTGCAGCCTAATGATAGTTTTATTCTGCTCGTGGTGTGTACAGTCTCAATGGTTCAGCTGGAAATCAGATTATTTGCTAATATTTATCTACGCTACTCTAATATTGTGTCTACTGCGTCTTTAGGGTGATCAACGTGCTGGTACTGATCCTAGGTGGGATTAGCGCAGGATATTCCTGTCCACACTGACCTGCTCCTTGCCGCCAGTGATGGCCTTCACGAACTCGGGATAGTGCAGCAGACCGTCGTTATTGTCGTCGGCAATCAGCAGAAACTTGTCGATGGCCTCTGAAAACCAGAAATACATCAAGTTAGTGTAATCTTCTGATTGGAATTCCTTGCTTCATACCTATGAAGTGCTCCAGCTCATCTGTGGCGTTCTGCAGATACTCGTCCCTTTCGGTGTTCTTGAAGTAATCGTAGTTGTGATGCATGGCGGACTGAATCATCTCCAGGCCGTCCAAGGCATTGTTGTTATCATTGTCGTGGGCCTGTATAATAAAATAAGATATTAATTTATTCAGATATTACTACTTCAGCTACTTACCTTGAACATGTAGAAGATTTTCTCCTCCTCGGTCATGTCCTCCAGATTCGCCTGCACGCCCATGTCCCGCAGGTCGTCATCGATGCGACTGAAGGTAGTAGGATTTTAAAATTGTTTTGTATATACTACCCCCTGTACTTACTGCTCTTCGTGGGTAAGATGTTGGTCCACCCTCCTCGTCTCCCCCCTAGGGTGGTGCGGTCCCCTCTTCACGGCCAAAGTGCCCTCGAAGTTTTGGCTAAAACTCGCCACGCAGATGATGAAGTTGAGTAGGTTGGACAGATTGCACATTTTGTACATCGGATAGAAAATTTGTTTTTGGCTGAGGAGTAGAGTTCGTGACTTGTTTGGGGGTGTGCGAGCGTGTGTGTGTTAGCCACAACTGTCACCGAGCTGTCAAAGCGGTTCCCCCAGGCGCAGGCGCCGGATTCCCCCGCCACGACTGTCAGAATTCAAACATAGCAACCTCGCTGACAGCTGTCCAGAGTGTGTTGTTTGTTCAATAGGTAACAGGCACTATCTATCGGCTTGTAGACCTACACACACCAAGCGTTCAACAATTCCTTAAATTATTCTGCCCCTTGCGAAAATGTGCGAGCAATATTGTGACAAGTTCGAGACCTTCAACCCGGAGGTTGAGTTTGCAAAGTTTCAGAAGCGCAAGCCGGTGGTGAGAACCGCTGAACTCTACCAGAATCTTCACAAGCGCGAGGATATTAAGTGTCCCTGTAAGTAGCCATCCTGAAAGCTCTCCCCTTCATCCTACTATTTTGGTTCCTCTCCTCAGATAGCTTCAAGGGTTATGGCGTGGAAACGGACTCCAACACCATGTACCGTACCTGCAACTCGGAGTACGGCTACTATGCCCCCAACGTCTATACCATTCCGAAACGCTTCTATCCACTGCCCCAGAAGTTCTCCAACGAAGTGGTTCGTTTCGGAATGTATCGCAATTTCTCCCTGAACACGCACATGGATCGCACTTTCTATTGAAGTTTCTACCTCGTTTTATGATTTTCCATTCGATTTTCAAATTTTACGCTGGTCAACAAGTGATAAATCCTCCTTAAGAACTTCAGAGCTAAATTCTTACAAATTATAAAAACAAAAACCCAAAAATAATTCAGATGTAAAAGTTCGAAATGTAAAAAATAAAGTTTTCAGGCACTTGCCGTAAAATGTCAGTGCCTTTGATTATTATGTTAATTTGAACAGTTCTTTTGTACTTTTTATAAAATAAATTAAAGCAAAAAAAGAAAAAATAAAAGAAAGCCAGTGAAGAACCGTAACCGTAACTGGGACCAATGCAACCGTTTAAATTAAAAGTGAACCACCGACCACTGAGCCTTATCTACGATCCAGCAAAATGAGGTGAGCATTAGCATAGACCCTTGGGTGTCTAGATTTTCAGACTGAAGCTCCCTAGCGAAACCAAGAAGCTACTCGACGCATTACTGTGCGACATCTACGGCCGGCAGGAGCAGATGGCCCGCCAATTGCGTCGCTGTTGCCAGGATCCCGCCTTCCGCTGCCGTTCCCCAAAAGATTCGAAAGGACAGCTCGCCCGTCTGGCCAGCGGCATGACCGGCAACCGTTCCACCCTGGAGCGCCTGGACGTGCTCAAGCTGATCGACGTTTGCGCCATCCTCAAGGTGGAGATCCTGATGCTGGGCTACCTCCTGGAGCAGGTCCTTATCGTGCGGGACCGTCTACTCCGTCACCAAGAGGTCCTCTGCGAGTTTGTCACCGCTGTGCTCGTTGTGGAGAGTGGTAAGTAGTATTCACTGGGGTTAGAGGGTACAGAAATCCATATTTTTGAGAAAAGAACCAAGGTTTTTTCGAATCTAAAAGGCTTAAAATTTAGAAAAGGAAATCTTAGCTTAGCTTTAAACTTGAAGAACCACGGAAAATTTCTTGCAGTGCAGAAACTGTCAGTGTGTGAGGGTTGGTGGCTGGCCAGGACGCAGTGCGCCGACTCCGCACTGACAGCTGGAGGCTCGGTTGCTACAGCTCCGAGTCCAAGCCCTCAGTCAAGTGCGGAACTCTCAGCTGTGTGCCTCGCGAAGTGCGGATCGGAGAAGCCAGAAAGTCGCAGAACGCTGAAAAACCCTCGCCAGCGTCACGCAACGTGCATGTATGTGTAGTCCGTGTCCGTGGCTTTGTTGAATGAACTCTGCTGGCCAGTGGGTGTGCGTCTGTGTAGGTGTGGATGTGGATGTGGGGGAGAGCAGGTGGGAAAGCGAGTGTGTAAAGGGAGAGGTTGAGTTGATGACGACACGGAGCGCAGCACTGAGACTGTCTGACGGTTCGCCAACACACACACACACACACACTCGCCGCTCTACGCTCTACTATGTGTAAGTGTATGCATGCAAGTGTTAGTGTAGTGTGTGGGGGAAAGGTTACGAGGAAGAAGAAGAAGCGTGTGCGGATGTCGCTGATGGCTGCTGACTGGCCTCCAAAAGCATTTTTGCCTGTCTTATCTATGTTTAGTGCCCCTCCAGACCCTCTATGGCCCGCTCTCTCTATGGCCCTGCCATCTCTTGTCCTGCTTGTAAGAGTGTGTCAGATTGTAAGAGTGTGAGTGTTACCCTTGATATCGCTCGAAGAAATTCCGCAGCCACAACAGGAGCCATAAAAGCTAGCGCGTGCAAAATGTTGCGTGCCACCACAACAGTGTACTTATTCATTTATTATTTAATTCACGCAAACAGCGAGGAGGTCGCAAGGAAGACCACCTATTAATTGAATCTCCAGCAACGACATCCACGTGATGGAATAATGCAATTGTATCGATCGATAAATGCAATTATAATCTGCGCCCGCCTAAAAGCAGGCAATGGAAAACAGGCGGCCGTTTTAATTCGCTTTCCTGTCGGGAGCACTCGTCGCGGGCTCTGTCGGCTTACTTTCCGGGTTACAGCGGGACACACATGCCACCCACGCCCACTGACCACCCACTGGATATGGCCGTGTTTTTCGGATGTGCAGAGGTGCCACTTTTTGCTGCCATTGTTGTTTAAGTATGATTCATGTCACGCTCGGCAAGCACTCGCCCTGCAAAAGGCCCCCGAACTGGCGGGCTTTGTTTGGCAAAAAATAGTTGCCTGTGGATTGCATAACTATGTACATACATACATGCACATGCCCTACGACCACCACAGAAGAATGCCCCACAAAAGCAGGCAGCCAAAGAGTTGAAGGTTAATCCGAATATCTGGGCCAAACCAAGTCAAAATCCATTGAATGAGAACTCTTGCCATTTCCCATATAAATAGAAAACTCAATAAAGCGAGAGCTTTCCGTTCTTGAGGCTGCCTTCCCAATTTACATACCACGTGGCTTAAAGCCCTGTTTACCGTTCTGCCCGAAACCAATCCCGGGCATTAGGTCTTATTATTAGACCGAACGACTATCCTGGGACGCAGCATTGGCTCCTGCGAAATTATACATTTAAACGGCATAAAATTTTCAAAACGAAATCCGCTCACTGGTAATTACTTGGCCAGAATGGTTAGCCCTAAACGTAGTAGAGAAAGTGGGTCAAGACATTGGTTGGTGGAGAGCAGTAAGGGGAATCGATGAATGCACCACCGGTAGTACAATGGCATGGCTACACTCAACGAAATCTGTAAGGGACTTCTTTAGTTGAGGGTTTAAGGATACATTCTTTAGGAAGAATCAGATATGAGATACAGGAAGCCCCGTATTTTAAAAAAGTTCCTTAAAAACTTGTAATTTTTTTTTTGAAGTGTGGTATTAAGTTACCGTTCTGTGTCCAGTGCTTTCCTTGACAGGGCCCCCCAGTCACCTGAAGCAGCGTTACAGAACTGGGTCTGCAATTGCTTAGTTTTCAAGGTTTTCCCTAAAATACTGAGGGTGTGTGTGAGTTGAATGCTTTGGGTTCTCTAGCAAGGCGAAAAAAATACTTTTCAATGACGTTTGTTTTTCTGTTTGCGCCAGTCTGCAGTCCTAGTCTTCTTCGGCCATGTTATATAACCAACTTCAGCATGCCACCACTACCCAAGTCTATATAGTATCTATATAAATATCTCTATGTGCATGGTATGTGTAAGTGTATCTGTGTATTTATGTAAATCTTGTGTAAATAATACTATAGGCCACAGCTACAGCAACAGCAACAACAACATCTAATACTACAACGACAACAAGTACAACGTAAATGCAAAAATGTAAAACCATAAATAGAGAATCCCCACAACAATAACAACTACTACTAACCTACTACTACTAACGACAACTACAAAGGCAGTGGCAGAAATCATAGCACACCGTCAGGCGCACGTTAACTTAACATGGGTAACTATTCCCCAAGCCATGTCGCACCGCCGAAACCAACACTCATTCCGCCTCGTTTGTGAATACAATTCATGCTCCCATATACAGATAATTAAATACTATCCATAGGCCTGCTAATAAGTATCTGTCGATCGATGTATTTCCTCTTTTCAATGTTTTCTAGCGCCTCGCAGAGCAAAACAAGCCGTTTGCTTTGCCAGTTTCGATAACTTGCTTGTTTTAAGACAAATACTCACCTGTTCTCTTCTCTCTTTTTTCCGTGTGTCTTTCTCTTTCGTTTGCCATTATTTATTAACCAACTACGAAAACAAAAATACCGACAAAATACAACCAAAAGGTAATTTATGCTCCAGAAGTTGGCAAGAAACGCTGATGCATATTTCATACAATACTCTTTAAGCACGCTTACATCGCGATTAGGGTGGACCTCTTTCAGATTCAGCTGCGAGTCCTTCTTTGAAACAGAAAATATAACGTAATAGTGACCAATGCGGCGTATGAGTAATACGAAATTACGTATACGCCAAGTATGCATGTAGTCAGAGTTTAAGATTCATTAGAGAGGGCTCATTAATTTTATATAGATTTTCAATTTGTATATCTTAAAGCTGCCTCATTTAGAACTAGGTCCGCCCTAATAGGACACCCTCTTGCCCATCCCCGCAGTCGTGGCATATTACTCATGCTAAGCGCGCACCATTCTAATTTTGGCGGCCTCTTGTAATTAACATTTGCATTTTTCGCGGGGCAGGGGCCTTCCCTGCCTTCGCCTTCCTGCATAAATTTCCATTATTTCGCTGCTCGGAGGAGGCGTTCGACACCATTTAACCCGTTTCATCCATATCCGCTGGCAGCGCTCACTTCACTTTTCCCTTTCAAACGTGAACCCGCTTTGTTTTTTTCCAATCTACTGCCACACTTTCAATAATCGCTGTATTGTCACTTTTTACACCCTCATCCGCCTCAGCATACACACACATTTGTAAATATGTACATACATCTGTTGCATGTTGGCCAAGTTGTTGTTGTTGCCTAACCATTTCCCGTTATTCTCACCTTTTCAGCCATCATTTTACGCTCTGGTGATTTTTCTAAACACACGTGGGTTGCTTGTACACCTCCTGGTGTTTTTGTTTCACGCGTTTCCTGCTTTGGTTTTGGCGTTTTTGATATACAATTTTTTTTTCCTTGTGTAGCAATTTTGAACCAGCACCTCTCACATTTCGCCATTAAACTGTAATTACTGCGACGCAGTTTATTCTACACCCGCTGACGGTTAGTTTATGACGGTACAGGTTGACAAGGTATCCTGTGTGGGTGTTAGACATGTTTGGACATCTAAAGTCAGAAACCTCTCACATAGCCTTAAGGCACACCGCCTTTTATTATATAACAGTGGTTTCTATAAAATTTAACCAGCAACGTGAAGGAAGAAAACTCATCTTCTTCAAAAGTTTGCGAAATAAAACCAACTCGCCTGTCACTGGCACAGATCCCTCGTCAAACTTATTTCACTGCAGCGGAAAAATTTTCCAAAAAAAAGACAAAATGGAGGGACATACTGTGCACTTAAGTTTTGAGAAGCGGGCTTATTGGAATTGACAGGCAGCCTCCAGTTTTTGTAATGCAAATTGATTGGCTTTTATTCGGGCCCATCTGGCGTATGCGTGATGTCCCTACCGGGTAGCGCCAAAATTCAATCAAAGTTAAGCTGAAGATTAAGAAAACTGCAGCGGAGGGTCCCGGAGGGCAATCATGTAAGCCATCAAAAGCAGGATTGTGCACCACTCGTCCTTTCACCCCACTTTCCCATTATTCTTTTGCATAATCGCGTGCTGAAGTGCTTTTGTCTGGAAACTGCAATCGCTAAGCCGCTCCGCTTCGGGACTTAGCCCTGCAATAGTTTAATGAACCATTAAGGCTGGAATACATCTCACCCGGAGAATTCATTAGCAGATATAGCCGCTCAAATTGACACTAATGGGTGTCAACGTGCCGGCGCATCGGAGACTTCAACTGCAGTGAAGATTGGAGGGAGACCCTCATTTTCGGGTCATCCCATCCCGAGGGATAAATACGGTTTAAGTACGTGGCTTTAGCTGTCTGTTTTTACGGAGCTTGGCCTTTATATAAAGTCCAAGCGAATCTCTTTTGAACTGCTTGGCATCTTGCGTGAGGAAATAACAATTTATGCTGACTTTTACTCTTTTTTTAGGGGAGTTTTTATTTACAAACACAATGGAATAGTTGGTATACGACCATAACTTTACCAACAAAAGTAGCTGACAGGAGCCAGCTTTTGCGGCTCATTAAGCCAGCATTTGAAAAGCTACACATGGCCAGCAAGCACGTGACTTTGGCTACGGTATAGATATAGATTCTGGTCAAGGCCCCAGCAGTTGGTGAGATTTTTCCCGACAGAAGCAGCCTTGACTGAACCAAAACGGAATCTGCAGGAGCCCGTGTCCTTGGCCAGGCGAATTTAAAATAATTACGCTCCCATGCGGACAATACAGAAGTGTCACTGTTCGCACATAAATCTCTCATGCAAAATGCATTGGCCAGAGCCAGGGCCGACGCAAAAAATATGAGCCCCCGTGGCTAAATGTCTATCCTCGTCGGCCGTAAAGCATTCTTTACGTCCGGCGCCTAATTGGTACGGAGTTGGAGAGCCCATTACATAAGAGTCGGCGCAATTATTATTTCATTAGCCAGGGTCTGGGTCTCCATACTTGGGGGGGCGATGCGAAAAAAGCTCAGCACACAAACATCGAGCTCCTTCTGCGAGGATACTGCTCTCCCATTCGCTGAGGAAGTAAACAAGCCGATGTTTGCTAAGCTTTAACTTTGGCAATTTCTAACTGCCTCTTCATTATACAAATGCCTTCCTTCGAAGGAGTAAACATCCCAGGACAGCATCCCATATATGTGGATTTGCATAAGTATGTAAATAAGGCCAGGCAATCAGGAAGAATGACAGTTTATCATAACTAAGGATAACTTTTCCAGTTAACGTTAAATCAACACAATTTTAGAAAGAAACTGTGGATAAAATTGTAGTTACATTATAATCCTTTATTATGTTAATAATATCTCAAACTTCCAAGTTACTTATTTAGCCAAGCTCCACCGTACCTTAGCCCGAGAGATGGTTAAGTAAGACCATTGTTTTCGCAAACAATTTTAGTGCCTTTTCCTTCCATATCCACAAAGCAATGCTTTCAAGGCAAACAATTACACCAATTTCCCGAGGAATTCTTTAAAACGGAAATTTATTTCCACGCATTCCAATCCCCGGTTTTATTCCTCAACATAAGCTTGCGAGAGCAAAACAGATTTTGGCCTTAAAATTAAACTCACGTCCCGCCCGAGCTGCTCGAGCCTGATAAGCCCCTGAAAACACGCAACAGAAGTAAAAAATAAAACGGAAATCAAATTATCAGCCGTAAAGAGCGGGCTTCTATCGCCCACACGAGGCCATTCAAATGCGCAGCCTGCAAAAAATATTGATTTAGGGGCAAAAAAAAAACTTAAATCAAACGCAACCTGAATTTATGCTGCTATATTTCCTTCGGTCGGGAACATAATTTCTATACCCTGCCCAAAGATATGATAATTTATACGGACATACACTCTAAAGGCTTTTTATAAAGAAAACGTTAACAATTTTGATTAAAAATGTTTATTCTGAGAGTGTAGAGCAGGGTATATTAGTGTCGCCTTTAGCTGATTATGTTATGTTGTTACTCGTTTTTTATTAACTTGACCTTTAATGTTGAGTATGTCATGTGTGTGGAGGAGATTTCTGATGCCAAGGAGGCGATAAAGTTGAGCCGGGGGATATTGTTCTCGTGTCAGAATGTCAGCATGGCGCATGGATCTCCGGCAAGCAGCTAACTATGTTGTACGACACACGACAGGACCCATCCTCACCCACCACATCCTCCATCCCACATGTCAAGCGAAATAAATGTCATGGTCAATTTAACACAGAGACACTTGCTCGGTTGTGTCTTTCGGATTTCACTGAGATTTCTAGCAAGGATGAAGCACAAATTGCATCCTCGAATCGCATGCTTCATTTCGTTTCGCTTCGCTCCCAAGAACCATCTCCCATTCGGATCAGAGCACCGATTGATTAAGTGTCTACTTAGCTGAATATAATACTCGAACCTAAATATATAAATCTTTTGTATTCTTTCTTCTTTTCTCTTTTCGCGCTCGACTACTAACTCTATATCGAATCTAATGTTTGTAACGAATAACCATAATTATTTTGTAAAGTTTGCATACTGCACGGATATTGTAAGTGCTGAGGATGCGGGCCAACCGCGAGTGGAGAGATCCTTTTTACCTACAGAGAATAGAGCTGTTAGCCAAAGACCCAAAACAAATTCTTTATCTTTTTTACCATTCATTTTTGCAGACGATGCACAGCCTAAAATGCGTTTTAGCCTCTCACCACCGCCACAGAAAGCCATTAGCATAACCTCGCCCACCAGCAGCACCACCAACCGCAGCACCATCCTCGGCGGCAGCACCTCCTTCCCCGGTAGCAAGCATAAGAGCACCAGCATGCTGACCCGCAACGGCGGAGGATCCGGGAGCACTCCCACTGCCCCCTCCGCGGCAGGCACCGGCAAAGCCCCCGATGATGACGCCGCCTCGGACTATAACCAGTGGCTCCATGCCATGAAGCTGGTGGCTCGGCTGCCCGGAGGAACACCCCCGGAATTTCGACGCAAGGTGAGCTTTAAATTGATATTACAGGATTTTGATTAGGATTTTAATGTAGAATTGTGGGAAATCTACCTAAAAATCGTTAAAGCTACTCCGCTTGGAAATCGAATGAGAATTAGGGAAGATATAGCCATCACCGTGGACCCTATAGGGCAAAACCCCACTTTTAAGGGATCCCATCACGAAAAATGGACAAAAAATCTAAAAAATATTTTGTCTCAGGATTTTAATGCAGAATGGCGCAGAATCGATCTAGAAATCGTTTAAGGTACTCCGCTTGGGAATTGGATGAGAATTGGGGAAGATATAGCCATCACTGTGGAGCCCATAGGGAAAAACCACATTTTCAAGGGATCCCATCACGAAAAATGGACAAAAAATCTAAAAAATATTTTGTCTCAGGATTTTGATGCAGAATGGTGCAGAATCGAGCTAGAAATCGTTTAAGGTACTCCGCTTGGAAATCGAATGAGAAATGGGGAAGTTATAGCCGTCACTGTGTACCCTATAGGGCAAAACCCCCTTTTTCAAGGGATCCCATTACGAAAAATGGACAAAAAATCTAAAAAATATTTTGTCTCAGGATTTTGATGCAGAATGGCGCAGAATCGATCAAGAATTCGTTTAAGGTACTCCGCTTGGAAATCGAATGAGAAATGGGGAAGTTATAGCCATCACCGTGGACCCTATAGGGGAAAACCCCATTTCTGAGGGATCCCATTACAAAAAATGGACAAAAAATCTAAAAAATATTTTGTATCAGGATTTTGATGCAGAATGGTGGAGAATCGATCTAGAAATCGTTTAAGGTACTCCGTTTGGGAATCGGATGAGAATTGGAGAAGATATAGCCATCACTGTGGACCCTTTAGGGGAAAACCCCATTTCCGTGGGATCCCATTACGAAAAATGGACAAAAAATCTAAAAAATATTTTGGCTCGGGATTTTGATGCAGAATGGTGGCAAATCGATCCAAAAATCGTTTAAGGTACTCCCCTTGAGAATCGGATGAGAATTGGAGAAGATATAGCCATCCCTGTGGGGCCTATAGGGGAAAACCACATTTTCAAGGGATGCATCATAAAAATGGACAAAAAATGTAAAAAATATTTTGTCTCACGATTTTGATGCAGAATGGCGGAGAATCGATTTAAAAATCGTTTAAGGTACTCCCCTTGAGAATCGGATGAGAATTGGGGAAGATTTAGTCATCTCTCTGGGTCGTTTCCTTATAGCTCCCATATAACTGAACTTTCGGAAATGGGGTCATTCATGTTTTTGAAGATATCAAGTGGGAAGTTCCTACAGATTCTATCTCGCCTAAATCATATAGATTCCGTATAGCTGAACAATCGGAAGAAGTTTTAGGTATTTAGTAAAACTTCCAACTTTAGTATTTTTGAAGATAGTCGCAAAAGATGCGAATTTTTTTCAAGTTTTGTATTCTAATAAATGAGTCTTTTAATAAAATTCTTATACGAATCGCCTTACTACTATCGCCCTTCAAGGTTTACAAAGGTTTAAAATAATGTTTAATTTGTATTCCAGTTGTGGCTGTCTTTGGCGGACAAGTACCTTAAGTCTAAAAACGTGGACTGGGCACAGCAGCGGGATAAGTGCTTTTGCGAGGAATGGCGCGAGGACGACGAGGAGTTGGGCATCCAAATCGTCAAGGTGAGACCACGGACTCCCAGCTAGACTCTGGCTGTGACACTTTTTTTCTTTTTCAGGACCTTCATCGCACGGGGTCAAATCTGTGCACCGGTCCCGCGGGCTCCATCAACCAGGCCAAGCTTAAACGCATCCTCCTCGGCTATGCACGCTACAACCCCGAGGTTGGCTACTGCCAGGTGAGTGGAGAGAATAGGGTACCTAGTTACCATCGTACTTGAGACCGCGTGCTTGTTTTTTCCCTCAGGGCTTCAACATGCTGGGTGCCCTCATTCTCCAAGTTATGGACAAGGAAGAGGAGGAGTCCATGAAGGTCATGATCTACCTGGTGGAGGGTGTTCTGCCCACGGGCTACTTCTACGGCTCAATGGGCGGCCTTCAGGCGGATATGGGCGTGTTCCGTGAGCTGATGCAAACCAGATTGCCCCGCTTGGCCAAGCACCTTCAAAGGCTGCAGGGTCCCGTGGAGAATGCCTTCGAGCCGCCGCTGACGAACGTTTTCACCATGCAGTGGTTTCTCACCATGTTCTGCACCTGCCTGCCCATGTCCTGCGTCCTGCGCGTCTGGGACCTGGTGCTCATCGAGGGCAGCGACGTACTTCTGCGCACCGCCCTCGTCCTCTGGAGTTTGCTCGAAGAGTAAGTACAAGCTTCTTAGTAAGGATAATTTAGTATAGGATAACCAATCTCTAAGATATGAGATATGAACCAGCTTAAACCCCTTATTTTCTTCAAGTGCAGTCAGTCTGCTTTTCTAAACAGGCTTTGGGTGGGTGTGAGTGGGTGGTTATACCAACAATCGCCATGATGGCGCAATGCAAGGCGAGAATTCGTGTCAAGGCTGCTGGAATTTGGCAAGAGTTTTTCGCGCTTTTTGCGAATACAATTTGGGGATATCTGGGGTAAAGAATTTTATGTTCTGTCGTTGTTGTGAAAACTTTTTATGGGGGTCTGTGGAAAACAAGTTTTGCTAAATTGTTGTGTCGACATGCTTTGGCAATCTAAAAGACATTGAACCATGGAAACTAAAGAGGGAAAATGTTTTTCAAGGATATCGGGTCAATACTTAACTATAATAACTAGCTTTAATTTTATTGTCCTTTTTTCCAGGCGTGTTCTCAGTGTCCGCTCGGCTGATGAGTTCTATGGAAAGATGGGCTCCTACTCGAGCGAACTTCTCAACGGTCACCTGGTAGACTCCAATGGCCTCATAGAGCGAGTGGTTAAGCTAGGACCCATTGAAGATCTTCGGAAGCTGAGGGATAAGCATCTCTACAACATAGCCCCACTGCGCCATAAACAGGGATTGCAGTGAGTATTATGGAAATAATCTTAAATCCAATAATCTCATTGTGAATTCTCTTAAAGGTTGTACTACGACGAGGAGGACACTCACTCGGACGAGGAGCGCATGGCGGTGGCTACAGTTTGGGGCTTGAACTGGGGCAGACGAGGATCGGTGGGACCCGCGGCGCCGGCATCGACTGTGGCGGGCAAACAGCAAGCGGAGCAAAAGGACCGACTGGCCTTGGACATTTCTCTGCTGAAGAAGCAGTACGACCGGCTGAGGGAGCGCCAGAAGCAGGCTCACGTCATCCTGACTGCGGCGTGTTCCACAGCGGCGCGGCAAGGATCAGGGCCAACTCCGACCACCGCCCCATCCGCGACAGTGCCTGTGAATCAACTGCTCCTCGGTCGCCCAGCCATTGTTACCAACAAAGGCAAACGGGTGAGTGCCCCCCTGGGCGCCATTCCTCCTGCACGGAAGCCTTCTCTACCAGCTGTGCTCCACCAAACAAAGCCGGCGGAGAAGCAGCTGCGTCGCGGGGAGACCCTGCTCTGGAGGGACACGGACACCAGCAGGAGAAGGCGCGACAGTCTCACCTGGAAGGAGATCAAGGCGGACCGGGCGGCTATGATGCGCGAGGGCGTTGACGTGACCTCCATGAAAACCCAGAAACTCCGCACTAGGTTTGGGAAGAGCGACAGCTCCTCCTACAGCGAGGACAGTGATGGTGAGCAGGAGCCGGCTAGAAACGGGGGAGCAGCGGCAGGAGGTGGATCCAGCACGGATACAAGTCTTTGCGACGACGATGACCCCAAGTCTATTGAGAAAAGTCCCAAGCACAAGGCTAAGCTGGCGCGGAAGGTTCTTAAAGAGCAATCCAGGGAGTCTAGTCTGGAACGTCAGAGACCCAAATCTTGGGCGCCCAGCAGCCACGAGATTCCTTTCATGCTAATGGGTGCGGATAGTGGGGATGAAAAGGAGAGGGACGTGGGGCAAGACGCGGGAGACATGGGAGAAGACAGTGCCACTGAAAGTGGTCGCTTTGCCTTCGACAGGGATCTTGATTCAGTCAGCTATAAGTTGGAACCATTGAAACCCTACCCCGAAGATAGCGAAGTACCCGGTATGACCTCCATTAGTCCTTTGCCGCTGACCCCCATAGAAAAGGAAAAAGCAGCAGAAACCCTCCTCGATGACGGAGTAACTAATCAGTATTTCGAGAGGGTCAATAGTGTGGAGCGTCCCAGTCGCCTGGAGCTATCCTATTCGCTCAACGACGAGGAAACGGACACCAGCTCGGTCTTCTTGGAGCAAAGGGCGAATGTGGAGGGCCAGAGTGGGGATAGTTTGGACTACAAGCCGGTGCCGCCACATCCTCTGACAGATGACGGTAAAGTGCCTCAAATTCGAGACGACAACATTCCCGGTGAGAACAAGGACGACTACAAGGAGCTTCTCAGCATGACGATAGGGGAGAAGGTTGAAGAGTATACTCCTCCGCCCCCTAGTGTGAGTAGCTTGAGCAGCGCCCAACGGAAAAGAAGAGATCCTCGCCGAAGGACATTGACTCGATCGTCCACCATTGAAATCGAGGAGCGCTACCAAGCGTTGGAGCGGAGAATCAGCCAGGAGCAGGCCATCGGGGATAGTCGGGCGCCATCCAAGTACATTCCCACCACAGCTACTCTGGAGGAACGCTTCCATACCCTGGAGAAACAGCTGAGTGCCGAGAAGCAACGCAGCAAGGATCTTTCAGATATGGAGGCAGACTTTCAGGATAAGTCCGAACGCATTCCCTCTACCGCAGATCTCGAAACCCGATTCAATGCCTTAACCAAGCAACTCAGCTCCAGTGAGTCCTCTTCAAAAGCCCCAATTGATCTCAAAGACGAAGATGAACCGTCCCGGGGCAGTGGCTCGAAAGAGCAAGAGGATAGCGAGAAGACCAGCAAATTGCACAAGTCAGAAGAAACTGAAGCAGAGAGCAGGGAATCTACAGCCAAAAACGAATCCAGTGAAGGCGAGAAAAAGAAAAAGGAGGAGGACACAGAGGAGAAGCCTCGTCTTAAGAAGCTTCCATCCACTGCCGAGTTGGAGGATCGATTCAACGCCCTCGAGCGAAAGATGAGTGTTCAAAAGAGTAGTCCGGCCAAGACTAAAAAGGAGCCACCTGATGAGAACGAAGGTTCTAAGGACACCAGTGCCTCAAAAGAGCCGGATGAAACTGAAGAGCGTGCTAAAAAAGAATCTGAGGCAAAAGAATCCAATGCAACTCCCAAAACCGATTCCAAAGAGGAAAATCTACCTCCGAAACAAAGGAAAGCAAGCGACAGTGAACCAAAGAGATCATCTCCTAAAACTCCCCAGAAAGACAGTCCCACAAAGAAACCCGGTCCTTATCAATCAGAAAAAAAGGAAAATTCAAAACCGGAAAAGGCTAACTCTGAGGATACCTCTTCAGCCCCAGAAGGGCAGAAAACTGATGTCACCAAGGAGGTACGCCATAAAAAGGACTCTGATGAAACAAAACCAGAAAAGAAATCCGAGAAAGAACCTACAGAAAAGTCACAGTCGTCTGAAAAGGCAGTACAAACTTCAAAAAAGTCTCCGCCATCCACAGAGGAACTTGAGAAGCGCTTCAATGCTTTGGAGAAACAGTTGAGCTCCACCCACCTGGAGACAAACAAAGAGCCGGAGCAAACAAAGTCAACTGGGAAACATAAACCCTCTAAGGAAATAGAAAGCTCCCAAACGGCTACCGACGAGAAGCCCAAGTCCATCAAGTCCTTTGAAGACAAAATCAACGAAGTCAATTCAGCTTTGGTGAAAGGACCAACCAAAAGTGAGGTAAAAGATCAGGCTCATGAGGAGGTGGACACCGCCGATTTGAGAAACGCCCAAGAAACCTCCGAAAAAGAAAAGAACGTCCAACAGGACCTGGGAAAGCGAAGGGCTTCCGAGCCACCTTCCACAGAGGACCTAGAGAAACGTTACGAGAGCCTGAAACGCCGTATGAGCAGCAAAAACCATTTTGGAGCCCCTACCGAATCTGTGATAGAAGCTCTGGAGAGGATTGAGCAGGAGGTGATCTCCGAGTCTGGCGAGGAGTCGAAAAAGGCACCACCGTCCACAGAAGATCTGGAAAGTCGCTTTGAAGCCTTGCAAGGCGGCGGAAAGTCAAAGGACGTGGCCATAGAGGCTCATATTCCAGAGCCCCCTCCGCCTCCACCTCCTCCTCCCGCGTTGTCCGAGCCCGTTCTCCACCACCAACAGGCTCTGATAGCCGAGCTGCAGAGAAAGATGGGAGGCAAGTCTCCGGGCGAGGAGAACCTCCGGCCAAGTCAGATTAATCCGCAGAAGAAACAGAGGAAGCTACTGCAACGACCCCCGCCCATGGGCGATGAGACCTCGGAAGCACCTGCAAACACGGCTTACTACCTGCCCTGTCAGCAGCAGCGCATGGTGCGCCGGTTCTCCGACCTGCCCTCCAGGGCCGATCTGGAGAACCGGCTGCAGTTCCTAGAGAGGCAGCTGTACAAGAAGTTCTACAAGCAGCGCTGTGCAAGTGATTCCGAAGTTGCATCGAGAGTCAGGACGCCCTCCGACGACGACAAGCCGAGCACCTCCCGTCAGGCCAAGGATCAGCTGGAGGAGCGGGTCCTAGCACTGGAGAAGCAGCTGAGCGAAAACAGCTTGAAGCTCCTGGAGGCTATGCGGGAACGGGAGAAGGCAGGAGCCGCGCCCAAGAGCGATGATAGCGGTTCCCCACGCAGGCTGAGTACCGAAACCATCGATGCCACTGGCAAGGAGCTGGTACGGTACACACAGAACATCGGGGACCTGGAGGAGGTGGATGCCCACAAGCCAATCAATATAAGCATCAACATCAAGATGCTCCTGAACAAGGATGGGGAATCCAAACAGCCCAAGAGCGAGCCCAAGCCCACAGAAGATTTGAGGAAACGCTTGGAAGTCCTAGAGCAGCAGCTTCTGGAAGAGCGGGCCAAGAATGGCGCTGTGGTCTCAGAACCTGAGCGGCCTCCACAGGATAAGCCAGAGAAGCCGGAGGACACCGATGCCCTGAAGAAGGTTGAAAAGAATTCTCACAATCAGCACGTAAAAAGCGACGAAATCGAAAAGGTGGTCGAACCTGTCAAGGACACAAACTTAGAGCCCGCGGCTGCTAAGGAGACCAAGACCCTGAAGAACGAAGAAAGGGCTCAGGCCAGAGAAAAGGAAGTCGCTATAGAAAAAGAACCAGCCAAGTCAGAAAAAGAGGCTCCAGGCAAAGTTGATGCTGGTCAAAAAGAACCAAAAGAACTTTCGGAAAAACCTGTTGAAAAATCAGAGGAAGCCACCAAAAAAGACTCATTGAAAGTGGAATCTGAAAAACCCGTTCAGAAATCAGAAGTGAATAAAGAGCCTTTAGTTCCGAAAACTGAAACTGCCAAAGAACCCTCCATTGACAGCAAAGTTCCATCAGAAAACAAAAAATCCTTACCCGAGGAGGTAAAATCAAAAGCGAAAGAAACGAAAGTTGCGGAAAGTTCGCCCTCGAGATCCGAAAAACAGAAAACTGAGGAAGCTCCGAAAGAAACCAAATCTCAAAGGTCACCCTCGAGATCTGAAAAGCCGAAAACTGAGGAGACTCCGAAAGAAAAGAAGCTCGAAAGTTCTAAAGAAGATACTCCTGCTTCCGCTTCCGCTGATAAAGAGGATAGTTCCAAGGTAGAAAAGGGAAATTCTTCCAAAGAGAAGGAAGCAAAATGTGAAACAATCAAAACTAAGGAAAGCGAAGCGAACAAAGATTGCTGTGACTTGGGTTCCATAGATCCCAACAACAAGACCGTAGTACTCCTCATGGACAACGAACCGAGAGCGTCGAGAGTTCGACGACTCACCAGAGCCAACACTGAGGAACTGGAGGGCCTGTTCCAAGCACTGGAAAAGCAGCTGCAGAACAGGAACTTGATTAAATCCGAAGACGGTCGATTGATAAGGGCGGAAGCTAAGCCCAGTGCTGAGCAAGCCGAACAGGCCGATCAGGCCCAGGCCATCACCGATCTTACCAAGGAAATTGAGGACTTTACCAGCGGAAAGCCGGAGGAGAAGGAAAAGCCCCAAGCCTCTAAGGACGACAAAAGTGAAGAGCCCAAAGAGCCTGGAGAAGACTATGATTGGGGACCGAATCCCGTGAAGCATCACCTGAAAAGGAAAACAGCATACTTGCCCTCCACAAAGGAACTGGAGGCTCGCTTCCGATCCCTGGAACGTCAGATAAAGTTGCTCGAAGATGTGGAGAAGATCGATGTGGAGCAGCGGTTGAACGAGATTGAGCGAAAGATCAAGCTGCAGTACTCTCTTTCCCACGAAAAGGACCTGAACAAGTACCTAGAGCTCTGCGAAGGAAAGGGCTTGGACGACGAAGAACCCCCAGTGACAGAGGAAGTTTCTGTCGAACCGGAGGAGACACGGAATCCCAGGGATCGCTCACGTAGTCCTGCCCGGAAGGTAGCAAGTAAATCTCCCTACACCTCTCCCTCGCGGAGCAAGTCCGCAAAGTCGCCTTATACTTCGCCGTCTCGACAACGTAAGAAGACTCCGCACTCCTCGCCGACCCGGACGTCAGAACCAAAGACTCCCGCAAAGAGTCCTTATACGTCCCCGGCACGACGCCAGCCCCATCCCAATGATCTGCCCATCTCCGACGACCTGGAGTACAAGTACAGGGTGCTTGACCTGGTGCGATCCAAGTCGAAGGAGAACCTGGCCAAGCGCATGAACGATCCCAACCGAAAGCCTGCCGTTCATCCACTTGAATTGCTGCTGTCGCCCAGTCCAGACGAGAGCAAGATTCCCACAACGGGCGAGCTCGAGCACAGAATAAGAGTCCTGGACGACAAACTGAAGTCGCCATCTAGATCCCGGCCGAAGTCCCGATCCAGGTCTCCCACCATCGAGGACATGAAAAGGCAAAAGTTGCGTGATAATCAGAAGCCCAGGACACCTGTTCACAACCTGGAGCGGCTGGTCGGATCGCCCGGTCGGCCGGAACCGCCCACTGCCGAGGAGCTCGAGGAGCGCATCCGCCTGCTGGAACAGGACCACAAGTTCGACTTTAAGACCCAAAAGGACTACAAAGCATTCAATCAAAAGCTGAAGGACGTGATCTCTCCCTCGCTCTCATACGAAGAGTTCAGGGCGGCCAAGTCCCGGGAGCAGAGTCCCCGCCGCCAGGGCGCCACCACACCCAAGTCCGCCCTACGCCGAGACGATTTGGATGACGGTGTCACCACCCACTATCACCGCCCCACCAGCCCAAAGGTCATCCGCTTTCGCGACGAGGACGAAGACGAGGACCGCTTCGAGGAGTCTCCGCCCCGGAGGCAGCGCACATCCAGCGATCGAATGGTTAGCTACAATAATTTGGTTTTGGACTGTTTGAGAGAGAATACTAAAATCCTTCAACGTATTCTTAAGAAGACTCTTGCAGATCAGCCGTCGGCCACTCGCAGCTATGCCAACAGCTCGGAGGGTTTGGATGCCCTGGGGAGTCGCCTCATGAGGGTAAGTCTTGTAGGCTATAGATTTCAATTCCCTTTATAGAACCCTCTTATAAACCTTCTCAACCTTTAGGAGACCTCTCCCATAACCCGAACTGGAACCCACACAGGCGTGCCACTGCGAACCGGAGAGAACATCAACGACCGCCTGAGCTCCATTAAGAACACCATTAAGTCCATCGACACGCTGTGCGAGGAGAAGCCCTACCAGAAGGAGAAGTGCCAGCGGTACATCGACTCCCTCTTCTCGGACTCGCTGCACTTTTCCAGCAAGAAGAGCTCCCTCGAGGACCTGAGGAGCCACAGTAGGAGCGAGAGCAGGGGCAGAAGCCGTGACTACGCGCCCTCTATTCGAGTCACCTCCGAGCACCGGTCTCTGGGATCGGAGGACTCGCGACAGAGTCCGCTGCGGGCACGGGATCAGAGCCCACTGCACCATCGATCGCACAGGGAGCTCAGCAGGGAGGTGTCGCCGAGAAGGAGGCGCCAAGAGGAAGAAGAGGAGGAGGCGCAGCGTAGGGAGCGGGAGAGCAGTAGGGTAAGACGTGATAACTTGTTGCCAAATTATTTAACGGATAATCGTAGCGAACTAAGTGGAGGGAGTAGTTTAACCGGGTTTAACCACCACAAAGTAGATAGACAACTAGAAGAGACCTGCGCCAAGTACGCGGAGGACGCCCGACGCTCGGCCTGTCGAACACCGCTCAGCCACCCCTACGAGACACGATCCACCGCAGTTAGAGCCACACCACGTCACTACACAGATCCTGATCCGGCAGGGACAACAGGGACGGGATTAGGAGTGGGAGCAGGAGCAGGAGCCTCGACAGATAGCTTTCCCCGGCCCGTATCGCCCTACCGCCAGCCTTACGACCCTTACCGACCCATTGGTGGTGCAGGCGCCAGTTCCACACCTGTCTATCAGCCCGCCAAGCTGGATATCCGCCACACCACCGTGACCTCCACCTTCTATGACCGGTTCCTCACGGAAAAGAAGATTGAGCGCTCCCGTCCGCCCAGCCGCTCGCCCGTAGTTTCCCCCTCGGTGCCGGCCAAGAGCTACGGCTCAGAGATGGAGTTCCCCAGGAGTAGCACCACCACTTCAGTACCATCCTGCACCACCACAACAACTGCCTTTAGCACCGCCTCATTTATGTCCCGCAGCTATGGGGGCACCTCCTTTTCGCTGCCCTCCAGCAGCAACTACTCCTACTTGAGTGGAAGTTCTGGCATCTCGGGCTCCGCCACTTCTCCCCGGGCCAGTTGCTCGGACCTTCGATCCTCTCCAGCCACATCCTGTCTCAGCACCACCACATCCTCTGCCACCCCCGCCTCATCCTATGTGCCCTACTGCTTCAGCAGCTCGTTCTCCACTCGGCTGAGCGATCCCATTACCAGCACCCCAGTGACCACGTCCAGCTCCCTGACCCATTCCACGGGCGTCTACAATCCCATGATGTCCTTCACCCTGAGGGAGCCGCTTGGCAGCAGCCCTGCTCTAGGTGGGTCGAGTGCCTCTCCCCTGGGCCAGTATCAGTTCAAGAGCGTGTTCACCTCAAACTTCGGCAAAGACCCGGAAAAGCCATAGGGAATCACACACATCAGTCGTTAACCAAGGTTGTCCATAAGATAGCATTAACCTCTCGGAAGATCTTTTAAAATAATCCCTATTGAAGCTCAAATGGATCACGCTGGACGGAAAATCATCTAAAATCAGGAATGAGAATCGGAAAATTCGGAGAGCAGAGGCCTTAAATACTTAGTTTTTTGAACAGTGTTCTTGGCGTTAGATAATCTTCTTTCCCAGCGAATGTGCCAGCTCTTGCTAAGCAATATATATACAGTTAATATTACCTACGTTTATCAACAGTTTTAGGGCACGCTCCCTATAATACTATATAGTAATGTATCTCTATAATATAAAGAACCTTGCGAATCGGAAACTTACTTTCAAGCTACTCTTGCACCAAACCATTTGGCTTCTTGCAACTTACCTCATCTACATCCGACAGCACCAGCGCGTCACTGATCACTCACTCTGATCTGAAAAGATTTTTATACAATCTATATACATATTAATATATATAATATATCTACAACTACAATTATGGCTAGCGAAAACTGTAACCAGATGCAAGGCGGTCGAAGTGTTATTCCAACTTTTTTCAGCGTTAACTTAGACACTCCTTCGAATTATATATATTAATACACGATCTGGGCAACGGATCACTACACTATATTACCAATATCTCTCAGTGCATTTTGGGCCGAGTTGGTCGGGACGCGAACCATGCAATTATGTTAACTGACTGACACGAGCCGCGAATTAGTTCCCCAATATTGCCTCGTATAGAAAATGAAACCATGTATTGAACGATATAGTTATACCGACTCATATACCGATTGCAGTTGTTGAAGTTCAATTATGCAAATGCCCCGATAAAGTTACCAAATAAGCAGACAAACCCGAATGCAAACGCCTATAAAAACAAATATCACGCCAGGCAGCGGACTCGACAATTAATCAAAACGATTAGAAAAATTATATGAGGAGCAGGTGGCGGATTCGGATTCGGAATCAGAAGAGCAGAAGAGCACCTTAGTCCTCCCGAAACGCTATTGTTAAGTAGGCAGAAAGTACGATAACGGCTTCAGTTTATACAAAATGTACACTAAATTCAATATTAATATTGTTCTCTTGGAATTTCGTTACCGATTGTGTTTCAAATCCTTGCTCGTTTTCTTGTTAAGACCTTTGTAAAGCATTTCTGTTAACGTTCGAAAAACTAACAAATTGGAAAAAACATACAAGTAGCAAACATATTTTTATTAAAAATTGTTAAATGGTTTTAAGTTTTGAAATAAATCGAAAATATTGACGAAAACCCAAACCGAGTGTTAAATTTTCCATCGGCGAGCGCGTCTAGCTGATAAGACGAGATCAGTAGCCGGCTTATCAGCCGAGCGGGAAGATGCTTCCAATCCTCGGGTCTGGGATCAGTCACAGATTGAAATCCGCGTGGTGTGGACGTCCCCTGGAAACCTACTCTCTTCAGCCATGCAGCGATTTTTGGGAAGAAGCGGCCACAGCCTGCTGATGAGGTGTGGCCACCGCTACCTGGCCACCACCCCCGTGGAGGAGGTGCTGTTCCCCACCAAGTCCGACTTCCCCAGTCGTCACATTGGGCCCCGTAAGACGGATGTGGTAGCCATGCTGGACACATTGGGTTACAAGGTAAGACCCTATTACAATATAATCATAACATCTATAAAGATTCATCCCTTAGTCCCTGGCTGAGCTGACCGAGAAGGCAGTGCCCCAGAGCATCCAGTTGAAGCGCGATCTCGACCTGGACAAGCCCTTGAGTAAGTTAGCTATTTTCTACACCCATAAATAGACGAGGTGGTGAGGCAACCGGACCCCCTGGCGTGTTCGCAGGCGCTGATAGTCCGGCGATAAGCCGGGGTTCACGAGACCTCGCCTTATCTACACCCTAGTATGTCTGGGTGACAACAACTTCCCCTTCTTCTCTGCCCCCAGACGAGCACGAGCTGATCCGTCGAATCCGCGACATCTCGCTGAAGAACCAGCTGTGGCGCTCCTACATCGGCATGGGCTACCACAACTGCCATGTGCCCCACACCATTATCCGGAACATGTTTGAGAATCCCGGATGGACAACTCAGTACACACCCTACCAGCCGGAAATCGCCCAAGGCCGTCTGGAGTCGCTGCTGAACTACCAGACTCTGGTCTCCGACCTCACTGGCTTGGATGTCGCCAACGCGTCGCTCCTGGACGAGGGAACCGCCGCCGCCGAGGCCATGTGCCTGGCCACCCGGCACAACAAGCGGAAGAAGCTGTACCTCTCCAACCGGGTCCACCCGCAGACACTTTCCGTGGTCAGGACTCGAGCCGAGGCTCTGGAGCTAGAGGTTGTGGTGGGTCCTATTGAGCAGGCCGATCTGCCCAGCCGGGAGCTGGCTGGCATTCTTCTTCAATATCCAGATACCTATGGAGATGTCAAGGATTTCGAGGACATCGCAGCCCTGGCCAAGAAAAACGGGGTATGTTATGAAGTTCTAAAAAGGATTGGAAGGATTTTCTCATTTACTTTTCCCATTCCAGACCCTGGTGGTAGTGGCCACTGATCTTCTCTCGCTCACTTTGCTTCGTCCCCCGGCAGAGTTTGGAGCCGATATTGCCGTGGGTACCTCCCAGCGTCTGGGCGTGCCCCTGGGATACGGCGGACCCCATGCCGGATTCTTCGCCTGCAAACAGAGCTTGGTCCGACTGATGCCGGGACGCATGATTGGCGTCACGCGGGACATGGACGGCAACGACGCCTACCGACTGGCCTTGCAAACCCGCGAGCAGCACATCCGGCGGGACAAGGCCACGAGCAACATCTGCACGGCCCAGGCTCTGCTGGCCAACATGTCGGCCATGTACGCCATCTACCACGGACCGGAGGGCCTCAAAGCCATGGCCAATCGCATCCACCACTTCACCCTGACCCTGCAGACAGGACTTCTGGGAGCGGGACACGAGGTGGTCAACAAGAACTTCTTTGACACGCTAAATGTGAGGCTCTCCGGAGACTTGGCGGTCGAGGATCTGAAGGAGCGCTCGGAGCACAAGCGGATCAACCTTCGCTACCTGGAAGATGGCACAGTGGGAGTGGCTTTGGACGAGACTGTGAGCGTGGCGGATGTGGACGATCTTCTGTGGGTCTTCAAGGCAGACACCAGCGTGGAGCAGATCCTGGCCCGTCGCGACGTCTTAAAGAACTCGATAGAGAACTCCAAGTTCCTGCGCACCTCGCCCTTCCTGCAGCATCCCATCTTCCAGAGCTATCACAGCGAATCCCGCATGGTGCGCTATATGAAGAAACTGGAGAACAAGGACATCTCGCTGGTGCACTCTATGATCCCTCTAGGATCTTGCACCATGAAACTGAACTCTACAACGGAGATGATGCCGTGCTCCTTCCGCCACTTCACCGACATCCATCCCTTTGCACCGGTGGAGCAGGCCCAGGGCTTCCACCAGATGTTCAACGAACTCGAGCGAGACCTTTGCGAGATTACCGGCTACGACAAGATCTCCTTCCAGCCCAATTCCGGAGCCCAAGGAGAGTACGCTGGGCTGAGGGCCATTCGGAGCTATCACGAGCACCGCAATGAGGGCCACCGAAACATCTGTCTTATTCCGATCTCTGCCCACGGAACCAATCCCGCCTCAGCTCAGATGGCGGGCATGAAGGTGGAGCCCATCCGGATTTTGTCCAATGGATCCATCGACATGGCCCACTTGAGAGCCAAGGCAGAGGAGCACTCCAGCGAGCTGTCCTGCCTGATGATAACATATCCTTCCACCATGGGCGTCTTCGAGGAGACCGTGGCGGAAATCTGCACCCTGATCCACAAGCACGGAGGTCAAGTCTACCTGGACGGTGCAAACATGAACGCCCAAGTGGGGCTGTGTCGCCCCGGAGACTACGGCAGCGATGTCTCGCATCTGAACCTCCACAAGACCTTCTGCATTCCCCACGGTGGTGGCGGCCCTGGCATGGGGCCCATTGGTGTCAAAGCCCACCTGGCGCCTTACCTCCCGGGTCATCCGGTCATCAGCCCATTGAGTAGTGAGGAACACAGCTTCGGAGTCGTCTCCGCAGCTCCCTTCGGCAGCTCCGCCATCCTGCCCATATCCTGGTCGTACATCAAGCTGATGGGCAGTCGGGGCCTGAAGAGAGCCACCCAGGTGGCCATCCTGAACGCCAACTACATGTCCAAGCGACTGGAGCAGCACTACAAGACCCTCTACAAGGCGCCCAACTCCCAGCTGGTGGCCCACGAATTCATTCTGGACATCCGGGATCTGAAGAAGACCGCCAACATCGAGACCGTTGATGTGGCCAAGCGGCTGATGGACTACGGATTCCATGCCCCGACTATGTCTTGGCCGGTGGCTGGAACCTTGATGATCGAGCCGACAGAATCGGAGGACAAGGAGGAACTGGACCGCTTCTGCGACGCCATGATTTCCATTCGTGAGGAGATTGCCGAAATTGAGGCGGGTCGCATGGATAAAGCGGTGAACCCCATCAAGATGTCCCCTCACACCCAGGCCCAGGTTATATCCGACAAGTGGGATCGTCCCTACACTCGGGAGCAGGCCGCGTTCCCAGCTGTAAGTAGTTCTCATTGGGATAGCTTTTCAAAACTAAAATTTCTTTCTTTTTAGATTTTTGTGAAGCCCGACGCCAAGATCTGGCCCACGGTGGGCAGGATTGACGATGCCTACGGCGATAAGCACCTGGTGTGCACCTGCCCGCCCATTCTACCTGATTTATAAGAAACCATAGTACTAAGAAAAACCGAATCCTCACTGATAATTACTTTTTAATAAAAACCTATGCGTTTATCGTGACAATTATTCTTTATTTTCAATATTTACATGTGAGAACTTTTGATCGATCTGGAGCGGAGTCTCTTATAGTTAAGGAGCTTATATCTTTCCAGCTAACTGGTGATAGCTAATTGATGCACCCAACTGATAAAAACTCATCAATAAGCACTGTAGTTGGAGAAACTGTAATTAAAACACTGTACGGTTTTATCGAGTACTAGACAAACGATGGATGGCCAAGAAACCCCCCGAGCCACGCGAGCATGGGTGAGTCATGGGTGTACTTGCCCATGCGATTCCATCGATATGCAATCGATCAAATGCCCATTAAGCTGCACCCCCAGATAAGGGCGGCCTATAAAAGCGATTTCTCCTCGATCGCTGACCATTCACCTTCAGTACGGCAACCAGTCCAGCATTGAAATGACTTCCTTCTCCCAAGTTCTTCTCTTGGCCATTGTGGGCCTGGCAGCCGCCTCCGCCACTCCGGTGGTCCAGCAACCGGGCAGTGCGCAGTTCACCTCGTCCATGACCCGCTTCCTGGAGGCCTTCAGGAGCATCATGCCCTGCGGCTACGACGGCATCCCGGCGCTGGCTCCCTTGGTAACCCCCTTCTACAAGTTGAACTACACTACCGACGACTACACCGTGGTGGGCAATGTGACCAACATCCGCATCGAAGGACTCGACGGCTTCCAGGTGCTGAGTGCTAGCGATTACGGAAAGACGGGCGAAGCCGCCTACGACCTTCTCTTCCCCAAGATCCAAGTGCTCGGCTTCGCTGACTTGGAGGGATTCATCAACATCGGTGGCTTCAAGATTCCCATTCGCCAGAAGGACGTCATCAACGAAGCCCTCATCGACCTCCGCTTCGTGGGAAGCTACACCTTTGCCAACAGCCTGACTAACTCCTCCGGCCTCCGCATCGTCGACTTCCAGCAGTCGGTCTACCTGGCGGGCGTGCAAATGGACAACTGGAACACCCTCTGGAACATCTCCACCAACAACTTCTGGAACCGTGTGTTGAACACATATGTGCCCTTGGCTCTTCAGGAGATACAGCCCGGCCTCACCAACTTTTTGTACCAGAACTTTATGATTCCCAAGATCAACGACTTGCTGGCCAACGTGAGCATGGCCGAGTTGGTGGGTTACTACCAGACCTTAGCGAAGGATTTCGAGAACGCCAACTGCAAGGCTTAAGCTTTAATCTTTGATTGGAAGCAAGCAATTTTCGCATTTAAAAAACGTAAAAAAAAATTATAAAAACATCTTGAAAAGGTCGTATTTTGTATTTCTTATAAATACATCTTTTATATTGTGAACTTGTGAAGTTTTATCAAGTCTTATGTCAACTTAAAAATAAATTATTTCAAATCCAATCAGCAGCTCAATATGGCTTATATTGTAATTCTTTAATTACCTTAATTGCAGACTTTTAGGCTAAAAACAGAATGTTTTTCAGCGGATAACAAACATAAATGAAACACATAGACTTCTAAAGGTTACAAACGTTCATCTTTTTACCACCCATTTCCACGAATTCTTAGTTATATCTAAAATAACTATGTTCAAAAATGAGATTACTTTTAAAACATAACTACCAAATGCACCTACAAATATTTCCTAACTTTATAGTCTACATCTGAGCTAAATCGCCTATTTTAATGAAACTACTGACATTTAGTTTTCTTAGCTTTGGGTTCGTTTTTAACTTCTGCTTTAGAATCCTTAACCTTTGCCTTGTACTCCTTGTGGAAGCTATTTACATTTTTCATAGCAATAGTCCACTCGGCGGGACTCGGCTGTTTGGTGGGATCGGAAGACTCGGAATACTCGGGAATCTCTACGCCCAATAGTTTGCAGACCTTCGACAACACCTCGTCCACATAGCTACAAACTATGAGATTGGCCTTTTTATTGTGTTTCGTAGGCTGGAGATTACAAATCGCTAGTTTTCCGCCAAGCTTGAGGTTCTTCAGTGGCAGATCCCCGCTGGGAACAATTTGCAGGGTGGTGCCCAGGGCGATGTTCAGATCGGCAACGGTAGAGTGCATCACAGCCAGTTCGAGGTCCTTCTCCGGCAGATCGTGTTCCCAGTCCAATACGTTGTCGTACAGGATTCCCGCTCGACAGCTGCGTCCCTGGGCGTCTGTGGAAGATTTGCAGGGCCGGTTCAGAGACTTCTGACCGACGGTTTCAACCGCCGAGGACCTGACAAATTGCCGCCGGCACTTCTTGCACTGCTCGATGTAGATGTTGCCGTGCAGCTCGGAGAGATACCGCCTGTCCAGGCCCGACTTTAGGTGCAGTCCGTCGATATTTTGCGAGACAACATACTGGACGTGGCCACTAGCCACCAGGGCGAGAATAGCCATGTGGGTCTTGGTCGGCTTCGCCTCGTCGAAGGACACGTTAAAGTCGGGTTTTTCTCCTTTCTCCTGAAGAGTCCAAACGCCTCGTGGTCCCCTGAAGTCCGGTATTCCCGCTGAGGTACTGATTCCCGCTCCCGTGTGCAAGACCACATGACCCGATTGCCTTATCCAGTCGGCGAGTTGCCGGCATTTGGAAACACCTCCTCGTCCGAGTCGAAGGATTCGGGGGCTCCCAGGACTCCCTTGTCATCATAATCAGAAAGTCCGTCTGCGTAGTTGCAGCTCATGATGGACTACTCAACTTTTGTATTTGTTTATGTTTCTTTTCCTTTTCGTTTTGTTTACATCGAAGAATATGACCAAGCCGCGTTTGATGAACAAAACCAAAGAAGGAACTTTAGCCAGCCCTGACGTATCGATATATCGATATTTTGATATATTTCCATCCCTCTCGTTTATCGAACCAAAGTGTGCTTCTGTTTCCAATTTCAACTTGCCGGCAAACAGAAAACAAACTTTCGTGACTGTGGTAACAAAACTGTTTGTTTGATCGATTCAACACCGCTGATCTCCACCCCTTCATTGAGTGAAAAGCAGCCAGCCAGGTCAGGAGGACATACAGAGTCATGAAGATCGAGGAAGTCAAGAGCACCGTGCGCACCCAGCGCATCGCAGCCCACAGCCACGTGAAGGGACTGGGATTGGACGAGAATGGAGCTGCCCTCCAGAGCGCCGCCGGTCTGGTGGGTCAAAAGGCAGCCCGCGAAGCGGCCGGCATCGTCGTGGATTTAATCAAGTCGAAGAAAATGGCAGGGCGAGCTCTGCTTCTCGCCGGGCCCCCGGGAACCGGAAAAACAGCCATTGCCCTGGCAATTGCGCAGGAGCTGGGCAACAAAGTACCCTTCTGCCCGATGGTCGGCTCTGAGGTCTTCAGCAACGAAATCAAAAAGACCGAGGTCCTAATGGAGAACTTCCGCCGCTCCATCGGCTTGCGCATCCGCGAGACCAAGGAGGTGTACGAGGGCGAAGTGACCGAACTCACACCCGTGGAATCAGAGAATCCCATGGGCGGCTATGGTAAGACCATTAGCAACGTGGTCATTGGCTTGAAAACCGCCAAGGGAACCAAGCAGCTTAAGTTGGACCCCAGCATCTTTGATGCTCTCCAAAAGGAAAAGGTCGAAGTGGGCGATGTCATCTACATAGAAGCCAACAGCGGTGCTGTGAAGCGCCAAGGACGCAGTGACACCTATGCCACAGAGTTCGACCTGGAGACGGAGGAGTATGTGCCCCTACCGAAGGGAGATGTCCACAAGAAGAAGGAGGTGATTCAGGACGTGACTCTGCATGACCTGGACGTGGCCAACGCTCGTCCGCAAGGCGGCCAGGACGTGCTCTCCATGATGGGCCAGCTGATGAAGCCCAAGAAGACCGAAATCACCGACAAGCTGCGCATGGAGATCAACAAAGTGGTGAACAAGTATATTGACCAGGGCATAGCGGAGCTCGTGCCCGGCGTTCTCTTCATCGACGAGATCCACATGCTGGACCTCGAGACCTTCACCTATCTGCACAAGTCCCTGGAGTCGCCCATAGCTCCCATTGTTATATTTGCCACCAATCGCGGGCGCTGCGTCATTCGGTAAGTGGGATTCAAGTCAAGGCTTTGAATGCCATAACATGGTATGTCTTTCAGTGGCACCACCGACATCATATCGCCTCACGGCATTCCGCTGGACCTGCTGGACCGTCTGCTCATCATCCGCACTTTGCTGTACTCCACGGCCGACATGGAGCAGATCATCAAGCTGCGCGCCCAGACCGAGGGCCTGCAACTGGAGGAGACCGCCTTCGGGCGCCTCAGCGAGATCGGAACCAGCTCCACGCTGCGCTACGCCGTCCAGCTGCTGACCCCCGCCCACCAGATGTGCAAGGTCAATGGGCGCAACCAGATCACAAAGGACGACATCGAGGACGTGCACTCGCTGTTCCTCGACGCCAAGCGCTCCTCGAAGCACCTCTCTGAGAAGAACAATAAGTTTATGTTGTAAGGTTTTCACGTTCCGATTATAATTCCATTCGCACCGATTTCAAATAAAGAATATGAATATTAGCGGGTATAATCAGTGTTATAAACAGCATAATGATTCGTTCTTTGGGCTATAGCTTAACCGGTTCATGAACCGGTTCGCGACGCAACATGTTGCGTATGACAGGACAGGGACGGAATGTCGGATCTCTCGTTCTGGCCCGATTCCACCCAACGCAACACGTTGTAACGAGCGAGAGGTCAATAGTGGATCCCATAGCCGCCTCTCGCTCGGGTGCAACTGCAACCGCGCTCGACTCGAACCAAAACACTCGAAAAAAAGCGAGTGGTAAAAACCCACTTGGGGGAAAATGTTTTTTCTCGCCCACCGCCGACGCGAACGCACGTGAAGCGCTTGGTCGCCGTTTGGATTTTGGGATTTCCTCGAAAATCGTTGTCCCTGAAAGCGGCGTCGGGAAGTGGAGGCGCCTGCTCCGCCCACAGAGTGCATGAAGTGAATATCCGCGAGATACGAGATAGCTTTCTTCGTGGCGTAGGCGTGCGGTGGCGTCTCGCGTACAAAAACAACGCTTTGCCGGTCCCAGCTGCATCCGTGTGCGTGCCAGTGTGTGTGCCACTGTGTGTGTGTGTGTTTGTGTGCTTTCTTCAATTCCCAGCACTCGTCGCAAAGTAATATGAAATCATAACAAAGTGTCACACGGCCCGCGACGAGTTGTTTTTGTCAAGGCCCCCTCCCACCCCCTCCTAACAACCAGCGACAGCGCAATTAGCCATTACATCCGCACATGTGAGGGCGTTCTCGCCTAGGAATAGGGAACAGCAGGGGAGAGAGAGGCGCTCCTGATGGCAGGATCAATGGAAAATGGAAACATTCGGGATGAATGAGCCCCAATAGGAGAGCGGGGAGAGAAAGCAAGCGACAACAACAGAAAGCACAGAAGGTAAGTGCGAGCCTGTGTGCGTGCGCCTGAGTAATGGTGGGTGTGTGTATGTGTGGAGGCCGCACCTCCCAATCAGACAATCAGTGTGGGTGCTGCTGTTACACTTTTCTTTTTTTTCTTTTTTTGCATTAACTGTTATTATTATTTAAGTAGCACGAACTCGGGAATTACATAATTTCTCCTATCATTGTCTCTTTCCGAGGGCCCGTCGAACCCGCGAACCCGCGGAGGAAAGCGAAAGTCGTACCATTCTTATTGGAATTCCATCTGTGTTTGTTTTATTATGAATGGCTTAGGGGGTGGTGGGAGGAGGGGGGGGGTCTGCGAGAATTAATTGCCAGCATACGTTGTGATTTGATTTTCTGTGCGTAACCAGTTGCCCCGTCTCGCTCGCACGCACGCTTTGGCGGCGGAGAGAGAGCCAGACCCGAGCCGAGCGGGCCATAAATCAAGCCATAAATTCCCGCAAAAACAACAACAACAAACAAAGCCAAGCGATGAACTCGCTGGCGAACTCGAGGCGGCTTGCAGGCCACTGCTGTTGGCCAAGAGGCCCAAAACAGAACAGTTTTATGGGCCGCCTGCAGCAGATCCGCCCACTCGCATGCGGCTCTCTGGCCAGTGGCCACTTTCCTCTCGCTCACCGGCTCTCTCACCCGATCGTTGCCAAGTTTTATTTCTGGCCCGCTGTTTTGGCCTTAATCTGCTTTCCATACAGTCATGTTTGCGAAATTAATTTCTATATTTCCTCTTTAATATCCTCTGAATGGGTATTATATTGAAAATAATTACATTTCTGTTCTGAATCTTGGAGGGTGTTTATATTTCGAGTTGGAAAATGTTTATATTTCGAATTTCGGGCCAAAAGCGACTTGGCCGAGGGGCTGTTGACGTTAATGAACTACCTACTAGCGGCGCAGTTTCTTTGTTTTAATTTGATTATTTTTTGTTGTTGGCCAAAATGCGAATTTATGCTGGCCATTTGCTGGCAATTAGCTCCATGAAGTCAACTGCGAGCTGAAATATATGTAGTTGTACTGCCATTCCAGTCTGTAGTGGTAGTGGTTATGGCCCTTGTTTTTCCTTCAGAACGCTAAGCTACTTAACGTCAGAGTCGCGGCTCGTTGTTATTTATGGTCCTGTGCAGTACAGTAGAAACCCGCTAGTACCTCAGTAAAATTGATAAATGTGCAACGTGTTTTTCTTGATTTTTTTCTAACTCCTTCATGTTAGATTTTTTTATTCATTTTATATATGTAGGTAGTAAATGTACAAATTGAATGAACTTAACATATATTTGATAGATCATTGTTTGATATTTATATAGGAACTTAAAACTATTATTCATAGAAAATTGATATATGTGCAAAACTATTTAAGTGACAAAAAAAATATTATATAAATTTGTAATATAAGTTAACTTTTTAATTAATATAGTATCGTGTCTCCTTTTTGCTAATCTAATAATTTCAATCGCTTCGGCATTGAATTTGCCAAGTTTTGGAGGACAGCTATATCAATGGATGCCCATTCATTAACAATGGCCGCCTTTAATTCCTTAAGGGTCTTAAATTTCGTTCCACCTCCGAAAACTTTTACTGACAGGATGCCCCAAAGATCCTCGATCGGATTTAAGTCCGGACTTAAAGCTGGCCACTGCATCAAATCGATAGATTTACTTTCCAGAAACGTCTTCGTACACCGCGCTACGTGTATAGGAGCGTTGTCCTGTTGAAAGAAAAAAATTTCCGGGATGAAACTCTTCGGAAAATGGTACTAGCTCACTTTCCAAGAGATTAGTATACGTTTCCGCGTTCATGCGACATGGCACAAAGCATATAGGCGATTTCTCGAAGTAACTAAAGGCTGCCTATACCATAAGGGAATCACCACCATGGTTGCGTCTGTTGCAAGTTTGTCTGGGATGCCTGGGGTCTCGCCAATACTTTTGATTTCCATCTTGGCCATCTAAATTAAATTTTTTTTCATCACGAAGATGACATTTTGGAATTCGGTGGTCCAAAATTTAAATTTCTCCTAATAGGCTAGTCGAGCCATTTTATGCCGCCGCAATAGCTTAGGTTTCGGGACCTTTGCTTCGTATGTGAGATGCAAATCTTTTCGGCAAATTTGTTACACCCGTTGCCTACATATTGGTAACTTCAATTGTGCCTTAATTTTGGCACAGCTCAAATTTTTGGCAGATGCCAAAGCTCTAATGTGCCGCTTAGTGCGGTTATCAATCTTTGGAATTGCACCTTTGCGATTGTTTTCGGCATATTTTTGGGGTGACTTTAAAAAGTTTCCTACAGTGTTTCGAAGCCCATTTATTGTTTTACCAATAGCACCAACTTTGACGCCACAGTCAGCCATAGTTCTTATTTGGATCTGCTCTTCTTTAGATAATTCGGTTGCTCGTGGCATTTTTGATATTTAATACAATTTATTTAACGCAAGCCTATTTTTTATAGCTCAAGATAATTTTTAATTAAATTTTAAAATGTAAACAGTCAAATTTGTTATCTTTGTTTTACTAGGACCTTGCCGGAACCCACTCCAAACGTGAATGAAGCTTTTTGCACATATATCAACTTTCTATTAAATTCCCCTCCTTTCGTTATTCTTTGGGATAGGATGGGCAATAGGATGGGGACAGATAAGAAACTAATAAATGATGTGTAATTGAGGGACATCGGAGAAAAATCGTGTGTACTCAAAACACTTCTAGAGCTAATAAAATGGGAGAAATATAGAAAACAAATCTTGCACATATACCAATTTTACTGAGGTATACCCGATCAGTCAGTACAACATCCCTCCCCCACCGCCCTCTAGCATCTCTCCGTCTTGGTTTTTTGTTTGCCCTTCGCAAGGTTGCGCCCACTGTGCGTGTGGGAGAAGAGGTTTTAGTGGCAGCGGCTTTCAACAAAAAACATTCTGCTGGGCTGCCAAACAAAAGCAACAGCTGCGTTCTGCCTTTGGCGCTGGCTTTGTGAATGTACAGCGGCAGCAGCAGCGGCAGCGGTAACCAGAAAGCAACCTTGTAAGCGCCACCCACACAAAGCCAGACCACACAAAAATTTGTATGGCCAAGACACCAACACACACTGCCCATAGACTCCCGTGCACTGGTGTTGGTGGCAAAGAGAACTATGACGTGAGCTGGAGCTCGTCAAATCGCCCACGCCTCAAGTCGCGCTTTAAAAGCGTCATGTGCTCAGCTGAGCGCGTCTCGCTCTTGCACCCCCCCTCTTTCTCCTCCCGTCTTAGCTTGAGCTTTGTGCACGTGTGCGTTCATGTCTTGAGCTCCTTGTTGGAGCCAGTAACTGTAAATGGGAGAGGATTTTGAAATTGGTTTTGACAGAGAAGCACTGAAAGAAATTTCCCTCTAAAAAGGTGATAAAATAAAAGTTGAACCCAATTTGCCAGTAAATTACATTTTCCCCGAAGCAGTGACGAGCGTGTTTCATTCGGGCCACCCACTAAACCACATCCATGTAGTAGTCTCGCCATGGCATAATAAACTTTGCCATTTGTGCCTCGTCTTCTCTTGTCTTCTTCTTGCTCTTCTGTAGACCTTGTGCCAATAAAAATTGAAAAACAACACAAGATGTGCACCGCAGACACAAAATGAAAAACTGAAACGTTTCTAACACAATTTTCTGCTTGTCTTGCCATCGTTGGCGGGGGGTGGCGGGGTGGCAGGGTGGCGGCCCAAAATCAAGCATGATGAGCTCTCGGTTGCGCTTCAGCGGCCCAGCTAGGTGGCGCCAGCCAGCCAGCAGCACGTTCCTAATTAATCTCTCACTTTAGTTGTTGTCTCTCCAGCCATCCGGCTATCGGTCGCCCGCAGCACCGATCACCGATCAACACCTTCGGCCATTAGAGTGGGCAGCGCCAGGTGAGTGGGCCGCTAAAAGCACCGAGGTGACTCAGCTCTCGCTCCCCACTGCTCTCTGCTCATCTCTACAGAGAGAGAGAGAAACAAACAGTCGATCGGGGAAAGCCAACTGCATATTCACTTTCTGGGGGAATGGATTCCTAAGGTGACTCGTTTATCGAAAGTACGTGCCGATAAGGGTCTCGAACTTATGGACTCCTATATAAGGTGCTTCACTCCCTCCTCCCACTCTCCTCTTTCCACTCACTTTTACTCTCTTTTTCGCCAAGTCACTTACTCGCTCAATAACGGTGTTTGTCGTTGCGGTGGGAGAGCTGCCCAGAAGTCTGCCCTTATCACCGACTTTCAGGGGGGCCGTGCCGCACCTTTGCCGCCAAAGCAGCCGACACCTAGCGGAGGTGAGACAGAAGAGCGCCCTGGCAAGAAGAAGCAAAAAATGCATGATTCATGCGCTTGGCATGCCGCAGTCGCAGCGCAGTTTGCGTCGGCGTTGGCCGAAGCTTTCTTGCGGTGGCGTGCACTCGAAAAAATTCATTGGTCTTTTGCCTTAAAAAATATATTATTAAAAATACATGTCCTAACAGGTCCTCTATAAGGATACTGTACCAGAATTTCTTTTTAGTGTAGGGTGCTGGTCGAGGCTTTGGTGGCAGCGCTGGCTTGTTAATTTTAATTGATTTTAATTTGATTTGGCCAAAGCGAGTTTAGTTTTAGCCTCTCCAACCCCCTCCTCCCCCACCCCTCCCGGCCGTTAAGTAAATTGAATTTGTGAAACGTTGTGGGCGGTGCTGGGCTGACCCGCTCGAGCACAAGTGTTGCTGGCGGAAATATTTTCGCTCGAATATTGCAGTGGAGGAGCACTCTGGAGGCACTGCACCAGCTCGCACCCAAACAAAGGAGGAGCTCCCCAGAGGATCCCCCTCACCTGGCAGCCTCGGCACTTTGTTAGCTCGTTGAGGTGCCGCCGGGACTCGCTTTTGACTCGAGTAGCTTCTCTAGCCGCAGCTCCCACTCCCACTCGGCTCCTCCTGGAAGGGAACCTACTTGCTCGCTTAATGAAATCCACAGAGTGAGACACGTACGGAGACTTGGCTATTGT